CCTTATAGTTCCTCCGCCAATGCTGATTTCATCAATCTTTAGATGCAATTCTGTGGTGTCACTGCGGCTATCGTTATGGGCGCTGTCGCTGAACGCGGTCGGCTTCTTCCTGCCATGGTTTTCGTTTTTATCTGGGCTACTGTCGTTTACTGTCCACTCGCTTGCTGGGTCTGGAACGTCAATGGTTGGGCATTCAAGTACGGCGTGCTGGATTACGCTGGTGGAGGTCCCGTCGAAATTGGTTCCGGTTTCACAGCTCTGGCCTATTCGATGGTTCTCGGTCGACGACAGGAACGCATGATGCTCAACTTCCGCCCACACAACGTCTCTCTCATCCTCCTCGGCACCGTCTTCCTCTGGTTTGGCTGGCTTGGCTTCAACGGTGGTTCTGCATTTGGAGCTAACCTGCGTGCAACCATGGCCTCCTGGAACACCAACCTGACCGCCGCTTTCGCCGCCATCACTTGGGTTCTGCTCGATTGGCGTCTGGCTCGCAAGTGGTCAATGGTCGGCTGGTGTTCCGGCACAATCTCGGGACTGGTAGCAGCGACACCCGCCTCCGGATTTATCTCGCCCTGGGCTAGCGTCATCCTCGGCATTGTGACTGGTATTGTTTGCAATTACTCCACCAAGATCAAGTATTGGATCCGGATCGACGACTCTATGGATGTGTTGGCAGAACACGGTATCGCTGGAATTGTCGGCCTGCTTTTCAACGCCCTCTTCGGTGACGATGCTATTGTCGGCCTGGACGGTGTCAACACTGGTACCGGTGTCGGTGGCTGGGTCATCCACAACTACAAGCAGTTGTACATTCAGATCGCTTACATCGTCGCTACCGCCTCTTACGCCTTCGTCATGTCTGCCCTCATCGCCTACGCGATCAACGCCATCCCGGGTCTAAACCTGCGCGCCTCCGAGGAAGCCGAGCTTCTCGGTATGGATGACGACCAGCTGGGCGAGTTCGCATACGATTACGTCGAGGTCCGCCGTGACTACCTCGCTTGGACCCCGCAGAATCACGACCAGCTCGCAGACGGCCACCAGATTCCCGCCGCGCAGCGCTACGGCATTGGCGAGCATAGCGAGATGATGCTTGGTAGCCCGCCACGCGAGATTATGCTCGAGGGTCATGCGCCCAATGGTGAGATCAGCCAGAGCAGCCGCGGCGGCAGTGAGGGTGACATGGCTATGCACGAAATCAAGATCGCTCCTGCACCTCGCCAGGCTGCTGAGCAGTATTCTCATGATACACAGGGTGCTGAACCAATCGTGATGACGCCGGTCCAAGAGAGGACGGCGAACTGATCGATTTTACCACATTCTCCTGTTATCTCCCCTTTCCCGAAGTCTCTTTCCCTCCATCTATTTTGCATGGCATACATTTCGCATACGCCATTTCGTCCAGCAAGCTTTGATTTTCTTCGCGTTTTCGCTTCTTTATCTCGATATCCCTTGAGCGTGCTTCTTTTCTTGCAACCAAAAGCCTGGGGCTTTTGCTACGTCTTCAACCTATACTCCAACTTTTCTCGATACCTCTACCACCAACTCTCTACCACCGATTTCACATACCTCAATATTCCACCATCTATTATTACTCTTGACTTCGCCCTCATGCCACCAAATGACATACCTCATCAACACCAAACCAAATACACCTCCCTCGGGAAAAGCAATTTGAATTAGTCTAATTTGGCCTGGCGTTCTATTGTTCTATGTTTTATGGCCTGTTATGGCACAGCGGGGATATTAAACTGGGTTGTACACAAACTGCTTTATTGATTTGCAAGGGGAATACCCTGCTTTCTGCCGATTGTTTTCTGGTTCTGCGTCTACAGTATAGACAGAGACAGCCTGATTTATCTAGGTAGACATTTATCTATTTTCCAAAACTTCTCTTGATGCTCTATACAAGCGTAGATGATATGTAAACATAAAAGGTTTATCTGATCTTGAGTCTACAAGTGCATAGACTATATATAGAACAAAAAGAAAAGAGAAACAGCAAAAAACAAAACAAAACATATCAAACAATCCAATCTATACCAAAATCTCCCCCAAGCCCTAAAACGAGGACCTCTACCTCCTAACCATTCCTCTGACCCTAATCAAATCCTCTCTCCCAAGCTTCTCAACAACCTCCGCCGCAACACCACCCCTCCTAACCTCATCCCATTCATCCTCATCCATACCCATGACAAGCGTCATCTGCACACACCGCGCAAAGCACTCCCGATACCGGTATCTCCCCGGCGCACCAGGAACGTACCCAACATCAACAGCAGCCCCAACAAGCCCCGCAACATCCCTCTCAAGACGTGCCGCGCCCAGCGCGTTAATCCGCGCCCCGTAAGACCAAAGCCTTTTCTCAAGTAGACGGGCCAGATACGCGAGTGTCACGCCGAGGACGCGGTCGAAGGCGGACGGCGTGAGAATACGCGCGTATGGCGTCAACAGGTCGTTCCAGAGAGATGTGAAGCGTGGCTTGACGAGTTCTTTGTTGTCGAAGTTGGGAGTTTCCGGGTCTGTGTTCGGGTTCGGGGCGTATTCGATGTCGCGGAATGTGTCTGCTAGGATTGGACGGAGACGGGGCTTTATGGCGTTGTTGAAGATTACTTGGATTCCGTCTGTTAGGAGGTCTGTTACTTTGCTTTCGAAGGTTGTTGAGAGTGCTTGGAGGGTTTGGTGAACTTTTTGTGCGGTGGTTGGGTTTGCGAAGATTGTGAGGAGGTGGGGGGTTGCTTGGGTGGTGCTGGTGTCTGCTGGAAGGGGGGTTTTTGAGCCCGTGTTGTTTTGCACGATTCGGCGAATGTAGTCTACTCCTAGATCGAGGTTGTTGATTTGAACTAGGAAGGAGATTGTGGTTTGCTCGGAGGGTTGGCCACCTTGTATAGCCCGTGGGTAGCACTCGTCGCGCATCTTGCGCTGCGTCATGCCGATGAAATCGGAGCCTAGGACGCGTGAGAGTGTCGGGACTACGTTGGTCACGACTGTTTCTTGGGAGGTTGCGAGCGATTGCTGGATGACTTTGTTGACAATGTACATTATGTCGTCGACAGCCGAGGTGATGTGTGGTGGGTCGGCTTTCAGTGGACGCTGGGGGTTCAGCGTGAGGCCTGATGGGGACTCGTCTAGTTGGAAAGCCTTTTCCACGGAACGACGGAAGAAGAAGGTTGTCATTGCGTTGAAGGGGGCCACTAGGCGATCATTGATCTTTTGGGCGAGGGGTGAATCTCGCACGAAGGTGGGAAGCTCGAATCGCTTATCGTCCTCTGCATCATCCTCGATCGAAGACTAGAGAAGTTGTTAGTGCTGGTATCAAAGAGGAGTTGGAGGTTACAACTCACATTACATGTATCAGCCAGGAATCGGCAGTACAGTGACCACCGGCCTAACATGATAGCCATTTCATTCAAGACGCCATCGATTTCTTTCATATCAACGCCCTCCTCGTCGGTGGCAGCGCTCGCCCCCATGGTAGGGGAGTGCGAGCGAGGTGGACCTGCGGGCAGGAAGCTCTGTACCAAGAAAGTGAAAGCATAAGATTTGATATCCATCAATTTGCGATCCACATGGCGCTCATCGCTCCAAGTATCAAGGATGATACCACCCTGTACATCAGCTTCGACCTGTAGCCGCTCGATGACCCGTCCCATCTTGCGGGGGCCATAGTGATGCTCAACGAGGCCGCCATGGCCATCAATAATCTGCGCAATATGCTCAAACAGCTTGGTAAGCGCATTGGCGTAGAAAAACCCATCCCTAGTCTGAGCACCCCCGGCAGCACCGTTAAGGTTAGCCCGAGCCTTAGCCGCGACACCTTGGCACACATAACGGCCATAAACATCGAGCCCAACCTCAGAGCGACCAATGAGTGGGAAGAGCTTGAAGAAGCGTGTGATCTTGGCCCCATCATTCTCCTTAACCGCCTTCTCGAATTCACGAAGGAACAGCCCGCACAGCGACTCCGCCGCGTTGTCCAGAGTCACACTTGGCGGGTCCGGCACTTCAGCCGTAGGAACCATCTCCGCAGCAAATGCTCCATTAACGACCGACGCCGGGATCTGAGCTGCGCGGTGCAGGTAGCTGGCGGCTTTCTCCCAGTCCTGGGGCGCACCCATCGATCCCGCCACGCCTAGCGCACACGCCTTGAGTTCAGCAACCTGCTCAACAACCTCAAGGGTGGCTTTCACCCGAGCCTGCTCGAGATCCAGCCGGCGCACCGCGCTGGAGATCCGGTCGGCGGTGCTAGCGGTTTCGGAGAGCATTCCATGGCTGATGGAACGGGTCGTGCTGGCGTGGGTCCCGATGTTGGCGCGCATCAGGTCCAGCCTGCCCAACTCACGGGAGAGGTCTTTCTGGGATGTTACCAGGGCATCGAGGCGGGCGGTCACCGACGCTTCTTGGGTGTGTAGGTGGGACAGCGTGGCTTTGATCTCGGCGACGGAGCTGGCATTGAAGATGTCGGGCTGTGGAGGAGATATCTGTATGGGGGAGGCATTGGTGCCTGGAGGGCTTTGGGGCATTGTATTATGCCCATTGGCGGTTGCAGCCATTCTGGGCGCCATTGGTTGTCGCAAGTTGGGTTTGTTGATGCCACAGTTGTAGGGGGTGCGGGCGGTGAGAGTGGGTAACACAGCTTCAAGCTTCAAGTTTACTGTGTTACATCAAGACCGGGGGTTTGAGACTCCAAATTGTTAAAAAAAAAAAATATAACTTCTCATAACGTGCCTTGGACCTTTTTTTTGTTTGTTTGTCTTTTTATCTGACATCCTTTCAATGTGGTTGTGAATCAGGCCGACGTCATTTTCCCCCACGCTGAAGATTCCATATCAATCGCGCTTTTTCTCTTTCCCAACTTTTTTTTCCCCTGCGTACCTTTCTCTGTTGATATTTTGACTGCTTTCATCTAATACATTTCAAGACTTGACTTTTTATCCGTCAAGTCCTCATCCGCCATCATCGGTCGTCGCAAACCAAGACGTCCAAACCGGCGCACCATGGGCAACGAATCGTCAATTGAGGTGGATGAATCCACAGTCCCTTTGGTGCTTGAGGCGCGCAACATCGAGGCTCTGGCCAAATATGTTAAACAGCACAATGTGAACAAAGTTGTGGTGATGGTATGCACTATGGACCCTGATACAGTGCACAAAAGCTAACTAAGTATGCAGGTGGGAGCGGGCATCAGCACTTCGGCGGGCATTCCAGACTTTCGCTCACCTGATACAGGAATCTACGCCAACCTGGCAAAGCTAGACCTGCCAGAGCCCGAAGCAGTCTTTGATATTGGTTTCTTCCGCAGCAACCCCAAACCTTTCTATGCGCTGGCGCACGAGTTGTACCCCGGACGCTATCGCCCAACCATCGTGCACTCGTTCATCAAACTTCTTTACAACAAAGGGATGCTCTTGAAGCATTTTACTCAAAACATTGACTGCCTTGAGCGCCAGGCAGGTGTGCCAGGTGAGAAGATCGTCGAGGCCCATGGCAGTTTTGCGTCACAGCGCTGCATTGAATGCAAGGAGACCTTCCCAGACGAGGAGATGCACCAGCTGGTAGCCAAGTGCGAAGTACCCCACTGCTACAAGTGCAATGGTCTGGTTAAGCCGGACATTGTGTTCTTCGGCGAATCTCTACCCTCGGAATTCTTTGAAAGCCGCTCTCTTCCAGAAGAGGCCGATCTTTGCATTGTCATGGGAACTAGTCTGTCCGTTCAGCCATTTGCTAGTCTTCCTTCGATGGTTAGTGAGGGTGTGCCTCGCTTGCTCATCAATATGGAGCGTGTCGGTGGCCTTGGATCCCGGAGCGATGATGTGTTGTTGATTGGAGACTGTGATGCTGGAGTGCGCAAGTTTGCAAAGGCTATGGGATGGGATGAGGAATTGGAGGCACTGTGGGAGGAAACTAACCCCGACCCGCAACAAAGGGCGGAGGAGAATGCCCCGCTACAGACCCGCGACGAACGACTACATGACGAAGTGGACCGACTAACGGAGGAGGTCGATCGAACTCTGGGGTTGACAGATGCGTATCAGAATAAAGTACGGGAAAAGCTGGAGTCACACGAGAAGGCACACCGCCAGTCTGGAGATCTCGACCATGTTTTCCCCCATTTGGCGCGTAAGCTGTCACATTGAGATGATTTTCACGAAATGACTTTAAGCAGAAATACGATATGCTTTCTTTTTTTTCTTTACATACTCGGTAGGTGTTCATAGATATAAGCCCCGGAGTACAGAGCTCCAACATCGCTAAGTATAACCAAGTCAATATGCCAAGAGATCTGTGTCGATCATAAGAATTGAAGTCATATAAAAAAACTTGTAATTAATGTAATATTTTTTAAAAAATCTAAGACAAAAGGAGTAAAAAAATATTTATAGTCGAGATGTTGCCCCCTCCAATTGACTTTCTACCTTTCTCTCCGACAGCCAAAACAAGACATCTACAACTGCCCCACGTTAACATCGTCATTTCCCCCCCTCCAATTCTCTTTTCCTTTTTATTTTCCCTCAAAACTTCAAATTTACATTCATCATGGTTGGACTTGGACCTAAGCACCCACCGTCCCGGAAGGGTGAGGCTCTTCATATCCCTGTCTATTATTAAACTAACTGTGTTGTACAGGGTCCATGCACGAACTGCCCCAGAACTTGTTGGGGCCAATTCAGGACTTCGAGAAGGCTTTCACAGTGGATCGTTCCAAGCTTAAGGAAATCGTGAACCACTTCGTCAAGGAGCTCGAGAAAGGTTAGTTGAGAGTCATCCGCAGCTCTCCGATTCCCCCGCATCGGCTAACAAACATAGGCCTAAGCGTTGAGGGCGGCAACATTGTGAGAGCGCCACCATTCCCCGGATCCCGATATAGACTGACCATAAGAAATAGCCCATGAACGTCACCTGGGTCCTGGACTTCCCTGATGGCAACGAGCAGGGAACCTACCTGGCCCTCGATATGGGCGGCACCAACCTACGTGTTTGCGAAATTACCTTGACCGAGGAGAAGAGCGCTTTCGATATCACACAATCTAAATATAAAATGCCCGAAGAGCTGCGAACTGGAACCGCCGAGGAGTTGTGGGAGTATATCGCCGACTGCTTGCAGCAGTTCGTTGAGACCCACCACGAGGACAAAAACCTCGCCAAGCTGCCTCTCGGTTTCACTTTCTCCTACCCCGCCACTCAGGAATATATCGATCACGGTATTCTGCAGCGCTGGACCAAGGGCTTTGACATTGATGGTGTCGAGGGTAAGGATGTTGTTCCCCCTCTGGAGGAGATCCTGAAGAAGCGGGTATGTTTATTGTTGAGATGTTCCCTTCCCTACGCATGTTCAAAAGACTCATAAGGCTATAGGGCCTCCCCATTAAAGTTGCAGCCCTTATTAACGACACCACCGGTACTCTCATTGCTTCTTCTTATACCGACACCGAGATGAAGATCGGCTGTATCTTCGGTACCGGCGTCAACGCTGCATACATGGAGAACGCAGGCTCCGTACCCAAGCTTGCCCACATGAACCTGCCTCCCGACATGCCCGTCGCCATTAACTGCGAGTACGGAGCTTTCGACAATGAGCACGTGGTACTTCCTCTCACCAAATATGATGACATCATCGACCGCGACTCTCCCCGCCCCGGCCAGCAAGCTTTCGAGAAGATGACTGCTGGCCTGTATCTTGGCGAGATCTTCCGTCTCGCACTAATTGATCTGATCGACAACAAGCCCGGTCTCATCTTCAACGGCCAGGATGTCTCCAAGCTGCGCAAGCCCTACTTGCTCGATGCTTCCTTCCTCGCCAATATCGAAGAGGACCCATATGAGAACCTCACAGAGACATTGGAGCTCTTTGAACGCACACTGGGAATCCGCCCCACCCAGCCAGAGCTAGAGCTAGTTCGCCGTCTCGCCGAGCTGATCGGTACCCGTGCCGCTCGTTTGTCCGCCTGCGGAGTCGCTGCCATCTGTACCAAGAAGAACATCGACTCCTGCCACGTCGGTGCTGACGGCTCCGTCTTCACCAAGTACCCCCACTTCAAGGCGCGCGGTGCCCAGGCCCTGCGCGAGATCCTCGACTGGGCCCCTACCGAGAAGGACAAGGTCACCATCATGGCTGCCGAGGATGGTTCCGGTGTTGGTGCCGCCGTTATTGCCGCCCTTACCCTCAAGCGTATTAAGGCTGGTAACCTTGTTGGTGTCCGCAATATGGCTGACATGAAGACCCTACTTTGAGTGGGACTGGCCTTGTAGTGGTGACGGTGACTACATCATCTGACCCATAACAAAACAAACCCTTACCGATGGGTTGGAGTACATGTTTTTGAATTTGTGGTTTATACCACCTGGTCGGGGGGTTTGATAAAGATTTAACGATATATCGATTCTGTGTATGTTTAGCCTTGGAAGGCTCGTGAATAGAATACCTGCTTATTATTCCCTTATGTATGTTGTATAAGAATAGTCGGCTATCTATGTGGTATTGGGTAGTCTTTTTAGTAGTTCAGCCATTCTTTTTAGATGTCTTTTAAAATGTCTTTGCCGTACACACATTTACCCAGAGGGGACCTCGGGGATATCTCGGGCAAATCTCATGCCGAGCCCTAATTGTTTGGCAGGTGGGATACTCCGATGTTATTCAGCGACATCTATCTCCAGGGCTACATATGTAGGCCAAATACGTACCCATCAGGCTAAGATATTTACAAATGTAGGTATCACATGACCTATGAGAATGTATTTATTAGCATGTAGTTCCCCCTCATTGATCTTCTTTCTATCTCCGCTTTTTGTCGGATACGATCCTTTCAGCGTCAGCCCTGTCTAGATCTTATTTGCCTAGTACTCCAGTATGCAGTAAGTGTACCAGTGATTTTTATAATTTGAATTCTACTCTAATACCTCAATTAGGGACCAGTCCAACCATCTTGCCTCAGTTGGCCAGACCTATTACGATCTTGGCTCGCATAATCGATCAGTGACTACCTCTTCGGCAGAAACCCAGCTGTGGTTCGATCGCGGATTGGTATGGGCGTTCTCTTTCAATCATGATGAAGCAGAAAGATGCTTCCAACGAGCAGCGGAAAGTGATCCCAATTGCGCGATGGCGTTGTGGGGAGTCGCCTACGCAGCCGGGCCGAATTACAACAAGGCCTGGAAGTTCTTTGATTCAGAAGATCGCCGGGCTTCTATTCAGAAGGTCAATGATGTCCTAGCACGAGCCTCCAAGCTGGCAAGTCACGCCACCCCAGCCGAGCAGGCATTGATCGAAGCCATTGGTGCCCGCTTTCCATCCGTCGATGCCATACCTGACGACCTGGGTCCCTATGATCGCGCATACGCAGATGCCATGCGACCTATGTATCAGAAATTCAGCAACGATATGGATGTCGCTGCTCTGTTCGCCGAGGCACTGATGTGTATCAGCCCACGCGGACTGTGGGATTTGGATAGTGGCAAACCTACAGGAGATCACACGGTTGAGGCTCGCAATGTCATCGAGCTGGGGCTGAAGCAGACTACCGGTCGCAATCACCCGGCACTCTGTCATCTATATATACACCTGATGGAGATGTCTCCATTCCCGGAATTGGCTCTACCAGCTGCGGATCGACTCCGTGGGTTGGTCCCGCATGCTTCGCACATGTTGCATATGCCCACGCATATCGATGCCGCAGTGGGTGACTACCGCCGTGGCATCGACTCCAACCACCAAGCAATGCTTGCCGACGACATCTATTTTGCCCGGGAGACAAACCCAATTATTATGTACACAGCATACCGGATACATTATATCTGTGCGAAAATGTATTCTGCTTTGATGTCTGGCCGCTTCTCCGACGCAATGTCTGCTGCGGAAAAGCTCGAAGAGGTCATAACTCCCCAAGTGCTGGCGATAAAAAGCCCTCCGATGGCAGACTTTGTCGAGAGCTTTGCGGGGAGCAAGGCACATGTTCTCGTGCGTTTTGGTCGCTGGGAGCAGATTCTTAGCCTTGAGCTTCCGAAGGATCGTGATACATATTGCGTGACCACAGCTATCATCTATTACACACGTGGGCTTGCGTTTAGCGCACTTGGACGGATTGAAGAAGCCGAAAATGCCCAGAGAGATTTCGAAACGGCGCGCAAGGCAGTCCCTAGTAGCCGTTTCAATAGCATTCCGTGCAAACAAGTAGATGTCCTAGCGGTAGCCTCAGCCATGCTTGCGGGAGAGCTGGAATACAGGAAAGGAAACATCGAGCAAGGATTTTCCTTCCTTAGGGAAGCTATTGTGCGCGAGGATGGACTTGCGTACTCTGACCCGTCTCCCTGGATGCAGCCAGTCCGCCATGCACTTGGTGGCCTGCTTCTAGAACAGAATCGTGTCGAGGAGGCGGAAGTGCTGTTCAAACAGGATTTGGGATTCGACCCGGACTATCCTCGGCGCAGGGCAAAGCTCAACAATGTATGGGGGTTGCATGGCTTACATGAATGTCTCACTCGCCTTGGAAAGACTGCGGAGGCGGCTTTTATTGAACCTGCACGCGACATTGCCTTAGCATCTGCGGACGTTCCAGTGAATGTTTCATGCTTTTGTCGAACGTCCGCGGTTCAAAAGGATGGATGTTGTGAGTGCTGATTGATGTGCTGATTGATATGCTTGGGCTTGATGATCATCGCTCTCTACACACTATATTACGTATATAGTTTTGTTTTACACTGCCTATATCGATGTAGGTATACATCTCCAGCTTACGTGGCTCTCGTATGATATACAGCCACGAATCTTTGACTTATATTTCCAGTGTACATACCTATCTGTTCTGTACCCAAACTACCAATTCGGGACAAATCGTGTAGATAAAAGAAGAAGATACAACGAAAATATCCACTATAAATTTGCGATATAAACACCGAGGAACGATCTACCTACACACAAAGCACACTTATAATCGCCGAACCCATCTAGAACCATGTCCCCCTAAACCCCCGAATCATCCTGGTCAATATCAAAAGTCTCATCGTAAACATTCCAAGAAGCACAATTATCCTCAAGAGCTGTCCGATCAATCAACGGTTCAATCTCACTCTCTCTCTCCAAAAACTGCAGCGCAAACCCTTCACTCACATGCCATCCAATATGACAATGCATAAGCCAGGCTCCAGGATTATCTGTCTCAAACGCAATAAACAAAAACCCATTCCCAACTAACATGGCCGTATCCCTCCGCGGCGGATTATTAGTTGCAACACTCCCATCCCACGGATTCGACCCCTGCGCTAGAATAAAGAAATCATGTCCATGCAAATGAATCGGGTGCGCCACCGGGAGACTCGTGTTGATCATGAGATATGCCCATTCATTCGGCCGCTGCAGCTCAATAACTCCACTTGATCTTGTGAAGTTCGGTGTCGTTTCGCTGTTGAAGAGCTGTAGTAACGTAGGATTTTCCCAGAAGACTTGCATTGTCGTGCTATTGAGGAACCAGCGGAAGAGGTTTTCCTCGTTGCGTCCGAGTGTCACGTCCGTTAGGTTATTCCAGTCTGCAGCTGAGACGACCTTGGGCACTTGCGGCACCAGACTTGCGACGGGCTCGTCGACACATTCATCCGTGAAGGGGAAAGGTGTTGTTGTGGGTTCAGTGGGACTGTCACCGTAGTAGAGGATTCCTCTTATATTGTCCGGGTTTGCATTTTCCGAACATGCTTCTTGGGGAATTGCACGGATCCAGAAGGAGTCGGCGATTTGACGTTGAATTGCTGTTACAATTACATCGTAGCGTTGACCTGTTTTCTTGTTAGTTGGTTTTCTAGAATCAGAGATAAAAGCAACGAACCCATTCCGATATTGACATGATCTGTTGTAAACGGCCTGATTGGCACAAAGTCCATCCCAATGACTGTAAGTGTGTGGTTATCAATCGAGAACTTCCAGTGCGTATCAACAGCTGGATTAACAAGCCTTAGCCGATATGAAGTTCCCTCATTAACCTGCATTTCGAATCTCTGGCCCGTAGAATTAGTACCATTACCAAAGACATTTGTCCCGTTGATCAAGCCAGTATCTAAAGTCGGCGGACCAATCAATTGAGCTTCCAGGAATAGTTGATCGACAGTGGGATGAGACCAGTCCATCAGGAATAGACTGCCCTTATCGACATCGTAGTTCGCCGTCGCAGGGCCATTGATCAAAATTCCACCAAACACACCCTCCCATGACTGTAGTCCAATGTGCGAATGGTACCACGATGAACCGTACTGCACGGCGCGCCATTTATAGGTTATCGTTGAACCCGGTGCGGTGGGACATTGCGTGATGGAGACCACCCCGTCCTGGCCATTTGTGTAGTTCTGTCTGATCCCGTGCCAGTGGATGCTAGTTCCGTTCATGGACTGATGTAGGCTGTTCGTGACGTGGATCACAACCCAGTCGCCCCAGTCTGCAATGATGGTTGGGCCGGGAATGGTACCGTTTACAGCCATTACAGGCCGTAGGAATCCATCTGGTGCGAGCATTATATCCTCAAGGTTGAGCCAGTACTCCCGTGTTACACCTGTGTTTGGTACTATCTGAGTGTAATCGGTGTTGACGTCGAATTGGCACCATTGGGACCGTGTTTGGGGCGTGTTGCCCGCACAGGGTCTTCCTGTTGGATGGGGGTGCTTGGTGGTGGTTCTGGTTCTCGTCTTGGTTTTCGTGGGTCTGTGGTGGTGTTGTATATCCAGTGTAGGAATTGGATCCCCCGGATAGGCCGTGACAGAAGCACTCAGGCCAAATGCCAGAAGAAGAAGAGCCTGGAGCTTCATAGCTGCAAGTCCTACCCACGTAGGAAACTTATATAATTTTTAACTCTCTTTGTGAGAGCTCTAGGTAGAGCCCGAGAGAAACAAAATGCTTCAAGTATAAGAAAAGGAATGAGACTTGTTGCTGATACACAATCAAGAGAGCTGCTCTCTATTTAAGCCACTATTTTATATATCATTACAGCACGACACGAGTGGGGAGATTGGAGATTGACTAGGACCAAAAACGCCATGTTTCTTTTCACAGGGTGTCCTTCATTCGTACCTCGCTGGCATACTCCACTAGGATATGCCGGGTAGCCTTACCGGCGAAACCGTAGGAAACAGGAACTTGTGTTACGCGTGACGACCCAGCAGATGAATGGGTATGGCGAATAGCTATCGTCATCGTCCAGCTCTGATGCTAAGGTCTGTCTTCAGCGGATACCCGAATAGTAAGAGTGAGTCCAATGCGCCTCGTATCCACCTTAGGAACTGTCAGAAGATTGTCGGGTCAGGGGTATCCCCAGTGGCTGGATCGATATTACACTGCCTAGCATAGCACGTGCGTACTGGCTGGTTGGAGTCTGCAGATATTGGAGGTGACTGCTGCTTTTCTCTCGTAAGAGTACCATTGAGACGGTAGGTGGCCTAGATTTCCCCGAACTAGGGTTTCGTATTTCTCAGATTACCAAAGTGAAACACTAAAAGAGCCAATGATAGAGATTACGATGGGGGATGTTCTCTAGTTCGATCGCAGTCAGATTGGCTTGCAGGTCGCATTAGGGTTATGCTCCCCGACACGCGGTTCTCACGTTGGTGTAACAGGGTTCAGCATGCATATGTATATACGAGCGTAGGTATCCAACGAATTATTATTGCATAGGTGTTTCTGTTTCTCCTTTGAGATATCAGCTGGTTGTCCAGGATTGTCAATTCTTGCGAGGTCTTGACGCCACGCATGGTGAGTGGATGAATTGATCTGACCATTGGGGTTGGAATAGCCAGGATATGAATGTGAAACACAGCCAGATGATGAAACTTTCTCTTTGACTGGGATCCTGGTCGTCAGCTCATGCCAGTCCAAATTGCAAAATGGGGCTGGATCACAATATCTGGAAATAAAGAGAATGACCGACGCAAACCACATATGTCATTGGGTAGTTCCTAGTGCACTGCCTGCTTCTAATTGCCAATTACAGCGATTATCATCTCATAGACTATGTCCTCGTGACCATTTCTTCTTCTATAAGTTATGCTTAATCCTGACACTGTCGTGTACACCCCTTCTAACATATTGTATGACTCGTTTATTGCAAGATGCTATCCTTTTCTATTCTTCCTCTCCTAGTCTTCGGGCTCGTCTGCTCTGCGAATCCACTTTATAAGCGACAATCAACCGATACCACTCCCTTCAAGCTGTATGCGTATGGCGCAGACATTAGTGGACTTCCCATCTTCTACATGAACGGTAGCTCAGCCATTCCAAGCCCCAAAACAGCATTAACTGATTTATATCACTTTGAAAACAGGTACTGCCCATGCCGCAGATGCATCCAAAGTAAGCGCACCAACAATGGCCGCAATGACCCCAGTCGACTGTAAGAACCCAAGATATCTAATTGATGGAACCCCCCAAGAATCTACAGCTAACTATATGTAACAGTTACTGCCGCCACCGACGGGTCAAACACCTGGACTGCACATTCCAGTTCCACCGAGGGCGTTAACACTCTCTCGACTGATACCAATAACCTGTGTCTAGAACAGGGCAGTGCGAACTCCAATCCAGTTGCATTCACTGGAGCATCGTCGGGAGATCGGACGAACCAGCTCAGCAATGTGTGGTCTACATATGGGGGCTATGTCCTAGTCGATGTGGAAGGGGCCAACTTTTATGCAAGACAAACTGAGGATGGCGTGTACTCTTTGCTTTGGAGTAGCTCAGCTGAAGTCATGACAGATACTATACCGCTAGTGCTGCGAACTGTTGAGCCGGCGACGGTATCTGTACTGAGCTGAGCTGGGATCAGGTAGATATCCTGGGGTTTGGTGATGTACGGGGTCTCTATATGTGGGAATCAGTATATTGTGTGGTGTCGTAGTGAATCGATCTCGGCTCTACTCAGCCGGAGATTTTGTGGAATATCAGCAGCTAGTAATGTGCTACCGCGTATCTCTTTATGTTGTATTGTCTTTATTGCTGAGTACTATACTATGCATTCACTGGTTCCAGAACACGAGAGTCCGTTATTTTCTAATTATACAGCGTAGTTCAATTGGATATATACGCCTCTCCAGCCACTGGTGCTTTAGTTTTCGGTTGTAAAAAATATCTAGTTCTCGTTTAGTTTCGGACTTGGAGTCATATTAGAAATGGAGTATTGGATATGACAATAAAAGTAGGAAAATAATGAAAGATGAATTGATAAACCTCGATGACAGAGTATCAGCCACTAGATCATCGGGCAGCAACTAGTATAAGAACCCACATATCAAAGAACATAGATTCAAGTGCTACATAACCCTGTTGCTATATGAGCGTTAACAACGTTGTCTCAGGGAAACGAAAAGGAAATACATATACGAGACTGCATAAACCGCCTCGTTGCTGCAGCCGAAGGGAGAGAGAAAGCCCAACAAAAGATTAGCAAGCAAAGTGTTGGTTGTGAAGAGGCCCCGGCATAAATCAAAGAATCCACAGGGAATAAAATAGAATAAAGAAAAGACTAGAAAGGGGGAAAAGGGAAAAGTGAAAACAGACGTAAAAAGAGCAAAGCAAAGCAGATTGACAAAGAAAAGCATCTGATGCAAACAATTGATATCAAAGGCCAAAACTCCCCAGTTCTCCCAGACCCAGAAAACGCCATGAAAATAACAAGAAAAAAAATAAACACCGAATTTCCCATCTCGAGTTGGTTGATACCCTGAAAACATAAAGCAGAACCCAGTCTACATCCCTGTGCTGCCTTCTGCTACACTCGCGTCGATCGTTTCCGCAAACCAAATTCTTGTTCCTGTAGCTCTCGTATCAAACGAAGACTTTCCTCGTCTGCATCTTCGTCTCCAGTGATGTGATAAGTATGCTTGTGCTGACGCGGAGATAGTGATGTAGGAGCGTGACGATGGAAATGCTTTTCATACATCGGAGAGCTCTTTTTCGCATGCGAAGACGAAGGACGTGATGAAGGCTTTCTTGTGGACGCTGGAACAGGAGTGGTTTTGCGTGGCCCAATGGTCGAAGATGAGGCTCGTGCCGCTGGTTTCTGACCCCGGGCTGTACTTGCGTCGGGCGCGAACCGGTCGACGTGTCGAGGTTGGCGAGACGAATGCCTAGAGCTAGAGTTGGGTGTCTGGAGAGCAGTTGACACTTCCCCTTCCACAGACTGTACGGCATCTCCCTCTTGGATCCCATCCATCTCGTCGGCCAGCGACGTAGGCGGTGACACTAAGGAGGTGGCTGGCTTGGACGAAGACACAGACACAGAATTTAAACCCTTTGCATCCACAGACTCAGCCTGGAAAGCAGGTGGTGGTGATGCGTACAGAGTTTGATTCTGAGCTACCTCATCTGCCTCAGGCAGAGGCCTACCTGAGTCAATTTGACTGAAAGGCTCGTGATGATAAGCATCCGCCATGTCGCCTTGCGCCATCAGTTCATCGCCGTCATGATCGAAGAGTACTGCAGGCTGTGTCGTGGGTGATGTGCTCTCCTGCTTCGCTTTTTTGGCTGTGGTAGGCATGTCATCCTCTTCAGCAGGGCGTGCTCGTTTGGCGGAAGCATTCGCACGAGGTTTAGAGCGCTCCTGGGCCTTGATCGGATCTATCCGACCGTACTCATCATGAATGCAACGGCGCTGGTAATAGGTCAGTAACAGGAAATGAACAATCAGTCTCTGGGGGTACAAACCTTGCTTTTCCGACAATCATCGCACGCCTTGCTGCGCCCCTTTTTCCCCCCGTTGGCTCCGTCAGGGCTCACATCAATGAGGCGATTGGCAGCTATTGTGGAGCTGCCCATGACCGCGGATTGGAATCTTGCCGAGCTCTCAAATCGTTCCAGGTCAACAAGATGCCCGTTGTTTTGGAACCCAGTTTGCGATGCAATCGCTGCCAAGGAATTCAAAGCAGACACAGCATCCTGGGCCAACGATGACGGTGTGCTAACCCCAGAGCCGGGTGTAAAGGCGTTGACTGCGACTTGCCCGTTGAGCACCAGGTCACCGGGTTCATCTTTGTGTCGGCATCGAATACGTCGTTTGCGACAGGCGTCACAGGCAACCCGCTTTGGGCCAAGACCTGAGGCTCGTTGCACGGCCCGGGGCTTGGGTGTTGCAGTATCTTTACTGCTCGCTTCTGGAGCAATACTGAATGGCGCCGGTGTTGCACTTCCATCAGACTGTGCATAAGCAAGGCTGCTGGATGGTGGGTTCGGGGTGGCAGGGGCCTCTTCTGAAGGCCACTGGACCGCTTGTCTTTCGGCATAGGTGCGTTGGTTATCGACGTTCCGTTCGGATCGACGGCTTGGCCGTCCTGCGGGCTTCTTGTCTGCAATAGAAACCTTAGGATTGCTTTCGATGACGCCAGGCCGAGTCCAGAGGGGTGCCTTTTCGTTACCACGCTTCCAGGCGACCCAAATTCCGAATTTCCTGATCATGTCCACGGGATCTCCCGTAATTTTCGGAATGGAGCGTCTGACCGCGTTTCGAACGTCCATGGAGACGACTCCATCGACGGTATAGCCACTCGCAATAAGTGCGGTCCGTAGCAAATACTTAGTTAACTCAAGTAGGCCCTCCAACTCCGCCTGTGAATAGAAACGTGCATTGTAATGGGGGGAGCCTGGAGGTTCCTGGTTGGCGCGTTCTCCAAACTCATAATAAATGGGATATTGACGGTGGAATCGATAATTCTCATCCTGCATGAATGCTTCCATCACATTTTGCGGGATGGGGTCATCCTCTAGATACTTCTGAGCCGTATACCACTGGATCTTTTGGAAGAAAGGGTATCGGAACTTCTTGGGGACTTTGGTCTCCTTTTCGATGTTGAGGATCTTGATTTGCATCCCGTAGTTCAGTCTGGTCAAGAAGTTACCACCAATAACCAAACTATTTTCGGGGGTCCAAACTGCGTGAATCCAGCCTGACGGGATGAGCATGGTGTCTCCCTCGGAGAGATCCACACGGTAGCACTCCTTGGTCTGGTTTCCAAGGAAAATGGAGTCCTGGGCTGGAGAATTGCACCACTCCTCATACTTCTTGAGGTGTTTGTCTTTGGGCGGAATGAAGAAGAAAGTCTTCTTGCCCTTCAGGATATGGTAGTACACCGAAGATCCTCCGAAGTCGATGTGAAAGTCGGTATAGCAGTCCGCAACAGACATCAGGCAGTAGAATTGAACTTTGGGATATTCGCCGATTGCTTTTAGTTCTTCTGGCCACACAGCATCTTGCAAATCCAAGTCACGAACAACCTTCGGTCGCCGGATAAGCCTGCCAAGTTTGCTCTGCGATACCTCCAAACTGATGACATTCCTGACTGGCTTGTCCTGCTCATTGCTTTCGTAGTAATCGGCCCATTTCTGCATGTTCCACCTCTTGTCCTCTCCTTGCTGAGACTTGACATCGATCACTTCAACCCTTTCGTCGGGTCCGTAAAGCTCTGCCACAGCGCGGACAGTGAGACCCCGTGGAATGACCATACCCAAGAGGTCTTGGCCACAATCGACAGTTTCTTCAATGTGGGTCTCTTGTTCTGGGTGGTTCTCGAGAAGATCATCGAACATCTCTTGAGATGAAGCCTCCTGTACCAGAGATTCGAAGTCTGGATTCTCCGAGGAAACAGGCTCGGAAGTGTTCCAACATGCAGGTATAACAATAGGCTCCGTCCACCCGTTGCCTCGTTCGAAGTATTCCGCTGTGACTAACTCAGGCTTCATTCGGGGGAAATTCTCAGGTTGAAATCGGATCTTTCCTTGACGAATGGGCTCAAGATAGTGGTGCTCCAATGAGTCAGTCGCAGCTTTGACAAGGCCTTGATTCAGGCCTGCATAGTCAATAGCTGTTCGGGCGCGCGAGGACTTGCGGACGAATGTTGTTTGGCCATAGACTGATCGACATGGCCGGCAGATGAACTTGTCGACTGTGCGAACCTCTCGATCATTCTTGAAGCCCGCGCAAACGATATGGAACCATCGTTTGCATCCATCGCAACTGATCCACGTGTCTTCATCCTGTTCCTCGGTCTCAACTGGGATGCGCACTAGATGGCACGCTCCGCAGCTTGCTTGGTTGGTATCAGATTCCTCCTCTTCCATTTTCGGTGGGATGGGCAGGGAATTTTGCGGGGACTGAGGTTCCTGGGGATCGGCGGGAGGATGGATCCCATAAGCACTAGGGTGAGGCGTGTCGGCTGGTGAATGCCAGGCTTTGCCTTCCTGTTCGTCCTCCCAAACAATTGGTGGGAGAGTGCCAGAGCTAGTAGTTGGGCGGATTCCACGAATAGAAGGGCGGAATATGAAGGCCGACCCGTCAGAGCGAGAGCGCATGCGGGAATGAGGGATATCCTCAGAATTGTGGCTCATCTTGACATCGCCCTGGCCCGGAGGTCCAAAAGCAGAAAACCCAACTCGAGCTTGACGGATCGCGTCGCCTGCGTAGTGATGGAAGGTCTCGTCGATGCTGACTCGTTTTGTGTGGTTACTCGGGTGGAAATTAGTAGGCCGCGCGAGATTGAGTAAAAGCTCTGCATCTGTTGTCATGCTTTCAAGCCCAGCTGGGTGTGGGTTTTCTGTCAGCATTCCTGGGCCCGGGCGGTAGGGTGACGGATGCCTCGCCGACCGTGCCCGCTTGGCTGGTCGTTCAGACTCTGCGGAGTCAGGTGGAAATAAGGGAATTGTCGACCGAAGCCCCGGGGAAGGCGGATTGGGAGGTAGGGATGCGAAGGTTGGACTTGTTGCGAGGGCGATCGTCGCAAGTGTATCGATAGTCGAGCTCGAGCGGCCATGGCCCGATCGCTGATGTGAACCACCCTCCGCGGGGACATGTCGATTGTGATTCGAAGGACGCTGATCGCGATCAAGACTGGCAGCTCGAGGAGGTCCGCGGCTAGCCCAAGAGGTGTGAAAATCGGTGGTTGTGGATGGAGTGATAGGCTCAACAGCGCGGAGAGGAGGGGACGGAGTACGGTACTGCGGCGGGCGGCCGCCGATGGGATTTGCGAATGATGCCGCACTCATCATTTTCGCAACCCGGTGAAATTATAGCCGAAAGAAAATTGAAGATGGAGATTCGGAGGTGCGAAAAGATGCGCTTGCGGTAGGTGGGTGCAAAGCGGGGATACTGGACCACACGGGCTAGCGAGAGGCCGGCGCAGGCGACGGGAATGTCATTCCTGGCAGGAGAGCATGCGCAAGACGGGCCGCAGGTATATGATTGATATTTGATGAAAGATTGAGAGCAACGTAGGTGGTCGACGATAGTTGCGGAGCGTTGAGGGGGTTCGAATCGAGCGGCGGGAGGACAAAGGCGCCGAGAGTCGCGCCGCAACCTGCGGGCAGGTAGGGAAGGGAATCGAATGAGATCCAGTAGCCAGGAAATGTTTCCTGTCAACTGGATGGAAAGTGACAAGGATTCGAGTGGATGAAGACCGAAAGCGAGAGAGGAGCGGATGAGCGCGAGGTGTTAAGTCGAAGGAGGAAGCGGGAGTTCGAGTAGCAACTTTGAAGGTATGTATACGGTACAGCTACGGGCTCCTACATTACGTTGGTTTCGTGCGATCACTTTTACTAGAAAATATTTAAAATGTATACATAATATCTCAAGATCTTAAACCACTCATTGCAGCATGCGATCGTGTTTACTTGGTGGTTTCCCCCCGAGCTCAATTCTCTGTAGTCCAAAGGAAGTTGGCGACGCCGAGAGCGTCCGTCTTGATGATACAGTCCAATACCATCACAATACCATCACGTGCTAAGTTTGGCAGATCACCACACTCAAAGAAATCACATGATCTGGTCACATACGGTTTAAGAACCAACTGCCACTAAACCGGGATAAGTAAGCGCACCGCCAAGATAAACCTCGTGGTTGTTCTTGTGCCTTGCACTGATCTTCTGCCTCTTCGCTATTTCAACCTACAACTGATACCTTGTGTATCTTTCTTGTCAACACTTTCATTCAACATCTTACAGGACTCTCTCACCTCTGAGAATGAGCCGAAAGCTCGCCCCCGAAGCCAATCGGTATGTGAGAATACTTTTTCCATGCCCCTCCCCCGATGCTCGGCACAAGGACCATTTCACCATCAAATGCTTGATTGCTGGGTCTAGGAGAATCTCCGGCATTTTGAAGTGACTAGCGCTAACCTCTTTTTCTCTCCTCTGGTAGGATTCTCTTCGTCAAGAACCTCAAGTATGTACCTGAATTTCGCCGCTTTGCCCCGGCTAGCTTTCCCGGCGGATCAGCCCTGCAACTCGTCATTTACAATCGCGATCAAATCGCTAACATCTTATTCAACAGCTACAACGTAACAGCTGAGCAACTGTTCGACTTGTTTGGGAAATTCGGCCCCATTCGGTAAATAATCACCCGTGGTCTCGTGTCAGAACTGATCTAATTCTATTTCATTTACAGGCAAATTCGCCAGGGTATCGCCAATACCTCCAAAGGAACCGCATTTGTTGTCTACGAAGACGTTCACGACGCCAAGCAGGCATGCGATAAGCTCAATGGTTTCAACTTCCAGAACAGATACTTGGTCGGTACGTATCGCATATGGATCAAATGAGCATCGGGACTATTTGAAGATGACTAACTTCGGGTGTTATAGTCTTGTATCATCAGCCAGAGAAGATGGTCCGTACGAAAGAGGACATTACGGAAAGGCAGGAGAATTTAGAACGGCTCAAACAGCAACACGGGATAGAATGATGTGACGAATTCTTTTTCTCTTCCCTCTGCAAGCATTTAGCTGCGCGTGGTATTGCAACGGCTCTACTATTCAATCGCGGTTTGGTTGAGGGGTTTCCGGCGTTTTTATTCCCTGGGTTTTTTTTTTCTTTATTTCAGAGGGTTTGATGGTGGGCGAGGCTGGTTCTGGTCGTCATATATTGACTCAGGAATGATCGTGTGTGCAACACGCCGGCGAGATCTGATTTCTTATGCTTATTCTATTTAACCATTACTATTATTACTCTCTTCGTCAATTCGACCCTCCACTTTGCTTCAACATTCTCTGTGCTGTGACTAGATGCTAGGTGCAAGGTTCTTGTGAAAGCCACACTCCTGAAAATGACTAACGAGTTGAGTCTTGAGCTGTATCGAGCTTTGTGTCATCTGAATCTTCAATATCAAGCTAAAACCGGGGTCTATCTACATACGTAAGGCTGGCGTATGGGCACTGATCAGTACCCACTCTTCTGCAGCTGGGGAATTTTAAGCTTGGCATATATTCAGATAACAAAATATGTCAAGATCAAGATCAAGACAAGCAAAATAGTATCATGCCAAGACCAAGACCCTTAAAATAGTGCTGTGCCATCAAAAACCTTGGAAGGGAAATGCTATCTTGTCGATCCCGCTGCGGGGACTCTGACACCGCCTAGGACCGCAAGTGGAAACTCCCTTTATCCTTATTCTTTTTCCTTTAGATAACTTCAGGGCTTCTTTTACCTACCCATAAAAAGAACTACATTTTACAAATTTAGACTTGTTTCTACTTATCCATTCACCCGCTTCATTGCCACTCATTTCGATGTCACGCGTATGACGTCCGGCTCAGCCGTCTCCGCCTTTGACCAACCCTCCTAGGTTCACTGTTACTATCTGGTTTCCAGCGTATGTCGCGTTTCACCTGAGCTTTCTAGCTATCTTACTGGTTTTACCAGACTAAGAAACGATGGGCGACACGACTGGTTCGTTGGTTTCGATGGCCACGACCACGCTTATTGCTGCTAGCAGCACCCTGGTCATTCCAACACCTTCCGGTGCACTATACTATCATGCAGCAAATTCTTCAAGCCCAGGGCAGGATCCAAATGATGAAGGAGGAGAATGCAAGCTGCTTGGTCCATTCTCCGTGTTTGTTCAGGTTGCTCTTGGCGGCCTCGCATTATTATCTCTAGTCTTTAAGAGATGGAGAGAACGACCACAGCGCCCGGTGAAGGTCTGGGCCTTTGATGTCTCAAAACAAGTCTTTGGATCGGTGATGCTTCATATGCTAAATCTGGTCATGTCGATGTTTTCTGCGGGCCAACTGGAGATTCGAAACTCATACAAGCCGAACCCATGCTCATTCTACATACTAAACCTAGGAATCGATGTGCGTTGCCCCTGATCTTGCTTTGATCTCTTTTGAAGATCTGCTAGCTAACTAATGGAACAGACTACTCTCGGTATCCCCATCCTAATCCTCCTTCTCCGTGTGCTCAATCATTTGGCATCCTACACACCTCTTGCGAACCCCCCAGAATCGATAGAGTCGGGAAATTATGGCCAGCCCCCGCGAGTCACATGGTGGCTCAAGCAGGCCATAGTTTATTTCATGGGATTGCTCGGCATGAAGATATGTGTCTTCTTCCTTATCCAGCTCTTACCTTTCATTGTCAAAATCGGCGACTGGGCTCTAAGATGGACAGAAGGCAACACTGCTGTCCAGATCTTCTTCGTCATGCTTCTTTTCCCAGTCATCATGAACGCGATGCAGTATTATATTATCGACATATTCATCAAGAAACCAGTCTCGCAGTACACGGTGGATGACACTATTGGGGATGCTACCATGGATGACGATGCTGACCGTCGGGAGGCTCTTCTTGCCGGTCTGGATGAGTCATATTCCACGGATTGTGATGATGAAGAGCCTGGGAAATCCCCGGGAACCACCTCCCAGCCGAAGGCTACTGCAGACGCTCTTGCCCTCGAAGAATCCGAGCATTTACTTCCCGAGGATCACAATCCTGTTCCTCCGTATGAACCTCCGAGCTCAAGTAGCAGTGGTGATGACTCTAACCCGAAGGCTAGTTCAACACATCATTGAATGCTTTTTATGTTCGGGTTTCGGAAATTTCATATTTGCTTTGCTGCGGTGTTACTAGTGATCCTTAACGTGACGTGTATACGATTATCTCGCTCTTACATATTAACATGCTTGTTACCATTTCCCCTGATACCTATTCTGCACATGTACAGGTTGTGCAGAATAACTGTTAGTTGCATTACTCGTCGAACCATTCAATAAAGTCATAATCAACCAACTATTGAGGCATCCTCTCTAGCGTAATTGAACCAACTAATGTCTTATTTTGTCTGCTTCTCCATCTCCTCCTAATATTTCCTACCGCTTTTTCCATGGACAAGGAAGAAAACTTTGGTTCTAATTATGGCTCTTTTCCCTCCAACTACATATGTACATCCATCAACACCCGGAAGATGTCGAATTGGTTATCAAACCTTATTTGGACTGCTTTTGATAAATCGAGCCGTGTCGCCTTAATTATGAGGCAGCAGTATATGCCGCCTTTTACACCGCCCTGCTCTGCCGATTCTGGAAAAATCAAAGAAGAAAAATATTCAAGCTCCGCCTAAGGAACATTCGCAGCCTAACATTGCATTATTGCATTCAAGTTTCAATTCGGTGACCGAGTCTGCAAGCAGCTGTGCTTGATTGGCAGATATTCCCACACCAACCACCATGCCTAACGTAGGGCTCAAGAAAAAGTCCAAGCGGACGACCGCCCGGTCTCCGTTCGAGAACACTACGGCCAATCTCCGCCCGGTGGACTCAGATATCGAAATGGACGACGAAACTAGCTCCGATGAGGATGATGTCCCCGAGAAAGACGAGGCGGAGAAGAAGCTAGAGCGTATGCTTTTTGGCGACGATGAGGGGTTTATGGGCGCATTGAAGGACCAGCAGGCTCGCGAGGCCGGTATGGCTCTTACTCTTCACAGTGATGATGAGAGCAATGATGGCGAAGACCAAGAGGAAGGCGAGGGCCAGGATTTGGCCGCTCTAGCCGATTCAGACGTATGCGGCCCCCATTTGTTCACAGGTCTCCGGCTTTCGATCTAACAATTCTGCTTCCATCTAGCTTTTCTTCCTTGACTCCGGCGCACCCCCCACCACTGATTTCATCCCATCGCCGGAAACCCCGTCGGACGTCGAGGACGAAGAAGAGGACGAGCCCGCAGTATGGTACGACAGTGACGACGAGCGTCTCGCCGTGTCGCTAGCAAGCCAAGCTAGACTGCGCAAACTGCGCAACACCGAAGCGGAAGATGTAGTCAGCGGCAAAGAATATGTCCGACGACTGCGCAGACAGTTCACGCGATTGCACCCGACACCAGAGTGGGCCACGCCTGATATCAAGCGCCGCAAGACGGACTCGGACTCCGGCGCAGAAAGCGAGGAGATCGACTCGGATGAAGAGAACGAGAACCTCGCCATGCAACCACTAGCCAAGCTCCTCCAAAATGCTTCCGACCTGACGCGCATAGAAGACAACGCGCGCTCCGGTGGCAAGCGCAAGCTGCGCCAGGAAGTCATCGACATCCAGAGACTGAAGGACATTGGCAAATCCCAGCCTTCCTCCGTCGACTCCCTCAGCTTCCACCCGCACTACCCGCTCCTGCTCTCCTCCGGACCTGCCTCCACCCTTTTCCTGCACCACATCTCTCCCTCCGCGCCCGCACCCAACCCTCTCCTCACTTCCCTGCACATCAAGCGCACACCAATCCACACGTCCGCCTTCGCCGCACCCACAGGCAACAAGATCTTCGCCTCGGGCCGCAGGCGCTACTTCCACATTTGGGACCTGGATACCGGAAAAGTCGACAAAGTCAACGGCTCCTCCGATCGCAAGGAAGAACAAAAGTCCATGGAGCGCTTCAAGCTCTCGCCATGCGGCCGCTTCGTCGGCCTAGTCGGCACATCCCGCAAGGGCGGCGGTCTGATCAATATCCTGGACGCCAACACTGCGCAGTGGATCGCACAAGTGCGCGTTGACGGCCGCGGCGGTGTCGCCGACTTCGCCTGGTGGTCTGACGGCGAGGGTATGACAGTCGTGTCGAAGAATGGTGAGGTGTCCGAGTGGGATGGACGTGTACGCCGTGTTGTGGCGCGCTGGGTTGATGCCGGTGCTGTCGGCACGACTGTTCTCAGTCTTGGTGGTCGCTCGGGCCGGACACAGCTTGGCGGTGATCGCTGGGTTGCGATTGGTTCTTCGAGTGGTATTGTCAACGTTTATGATCGTCGCGAATGGGCGGCTGCGTATGCGAATGCTTCGGCTGCTGAGAAGGAGTCCCCAGCTCAGTCTGGTATCCCGCGGAACCCTGACCCTGTGCGTGTGCTCGATCAGCTTACTACACCCATTAGCCATTTGGTCTTTGCGCCTGATGGGCAGATGATGGTTATGGCTAGTCGGTGGAAGCGTGATGCTTTGCGTCTTGGTATGTTTTCTGGCTCCTTTGTCTTTTGTTTCTCTGCTAACCGAGTTTCTTATAGTTCACCTTCCCACTTGCACGGTATACCGTAACTGGCCTACTTCCAACACGCCATTGGGTCGCATTTCCTCGGTGGCTATCTCACCAAACTCGGAGCAGTTGGCTGTTGGTAATGAGCAAGGTGGTATCAGACTCTGGGAGATTCGGGGATAGACGTCCGATACTAAATAAAATATTTATGTTTTCTTGTCATATATTTTCTACCATGGGGGCGCATGCTTTTATCTTGTACAGTCTCAGCCTTAAAAATCAATATGGCCATTCTATTTTATCCCCTCGCAGTCTTAAACCCAAGGTGGTCTCTTGGTATATAGTTAGGGCTGAATTCTAGGATATTAGGCACTTCTTTGGCCTGGATAACAATCCTCATAGATCTAAAGCATGCACTGACTCATTATACGCCAGTAGATTAGAGAAAGCAAAGGCACCGCAAGGCTTAACCAGATATACACACAATGGTACTTTCATAGCAGGCCAATCGTTTTTTTGGGATTGTTGGTAGCTTTCTATCAAATAAAAACAAGCACGCAAAACACCCAGGATCCGAAAGCAAAGAGTAGGGTTGGAATAAAAGCCAGTAAATACACCATAGCACATGCAAGTCGTGTAAAAAATGAAGGGTCATGGTCTCATTCGGAAGAGTTCTATACTGTTGGCCTTGTTAAGATTTTCAGGAACAAAGGGGTATCTGGGAGAAAACATAAAAGCATAGAAGCAAAAGAAAATATGTTAGCAAGAGTCATCTCCGGAGTGCTTTGCTAAATTTAGGCTGGGTATAAATGGGTGGACTTTCGAGAAGATCCTGATCATAAAGGCGGGAGGGCAGATAATTCATAGCCGTTCCAGATAGGCGAAAGTTGAGGGATTGAAAGGATCCCCAAGAAAAGCTACTCTTTCGGTCCATTCGAACCCCATCTCTGAGGTCGCTTCCCTTGCTCGACATAGTTCTTGATGACGCAGGGAGCACGATTGGGGCCCTGACACACCTTGCGGCGGTTGAGATGTTTGAATTTTGGGCCAAGGGGTCCATTCACGAAGTGGTACTGGCCTGCAAACCGATACTGACGAGAGTCACCTAGTGGGTAGAATTTGTCACCCCAATGGCCTCGGTAATGGAACCATTCTGTTGGGGCAGAGGGGCTGAAGGTGGACGCCCGTAGATTCTCGCTGGCGAAATCATAGGTGTAGGCCTGAGAGTTGAGAAGGGGATCCCATAGTGGACCGCGGTCAGTTACGTCGTGAAGCAGTCCCCAGGGGAGGATGTACTCGTGCACTCCGGTCGTGGCGTACATGGCATGGCTGCCCTCAGCAGAGTAGATGACGGGCTGGCAGGGTAAAGTTAGTGAAATAACCCACATTCGCTGTCTGCTTTGTTTAGAACTCACGCGTTGTCCGATTTTCTCAACAGCTTCATAACTGTAAGCCTCTCCGCCCTGGTGGGCGCTGAAGAAGAGTGCTTTGGGTTTGCCATTGTGGAATCGAACAAGACAATGCTCCCAGTCACCGACATGGTTACCAAACCGCACGTTCACCACACTGTTACCGAGGTTGAAGCTGTAAAAGTAGAACCAAAATGCATCGACAATTCCATTGCCTTTGTCCATCACCACCAGGATTGCAGGCGCATCGCTTCGACCCCCGGTACCATCCTCGTAGATTTCCTCTCCGCCGTAGCGTTTGCGGATCTCCTCTTTGAGTATTTGCTGAGCTTGAAAATGTTCATCGATGTTGGATTCGTGTACAGCGGCAGCCTCTTGTTGCACGTGAAAATCATACCACTTGGCACGATCTTCCTCCGTGTCACCGGGAATATCACCATCGACTCGACCATCCCAATCAGCCCAGGATTCTTCTTCATTGTTCCCATCCGTTTGCGGGATATTACTATCGCCCTCCAACCATGGTGGACGCGTCTGTACATCATCATTGCTCGTCAAGAAAACGTGCCTGCCCCTTTCCCACTTGTTCAACTCATCCAGATCGGCCAGCGTCGGATGGTCCCATTGGGCTTGAATCGGAGTGTAATTTAGGGTCGGCGTAGTATGATGCAGGTGCTCTGCGATATCCCCAGGCCAGAATTGCTCGCCAGAATAAAGGTGAACGAGTGGGGCATAGTGGAAAACGTAGTCCGGGATCTCCCGCCGAGCCCGCTCTTCGGCATCCCATTCGGCCTCACTAGCCCCGCTAAGCCACCAAGACCGCCATGCCTCTGGCTCAGCATCTTGCGCATTTACCCACTCCGCTGGATCGCGTTGTCCGAATTTGCCGTGTACGGTTTGTAAATGGGCTGCACCACATATGCTGAGCCATCGGCAGGATTTGCGGTCGAACCACGAGCGCGAGCTCGCAATCCAGCTCCGCTCCTCCCGGTCCTCCGCAGACCAGACAAAAGCAGCCGGTCGAAGTACGTGGATTATGCTGTTGATGGATACATAAGCGATCAGGGTCGAGAGCACGGCAATGGTTGCCTTGGCCTTTCGGGTCATCTGCTGGAGCGAGTCGACATAGACTGTCAAGGCCGAAGACCTATGTGGGGTATGTTCATAGACTGTGGTTTCGGGAATTGTAGTCAAGGCTAAGGGTTCAATGCAGTGGGAGTCAGGTGGTAGGGCTGCAGCGGTCGGGCATTCCCCAGGAACTATGGTGGGACGAGAGATAACGAGAGTTGAGACAAGAAGGGTGCACAACAGGACCGCGGGGTTGCCTATATAAAAATATATAGTCCTTTGTTAGCCCGGCTTTCCGAGTCTAGTTGGGGAATATATCCCGATTGATAATTCCAAGAAAAAGAGAACAAGAAAAGTAAAAAAGAAAGACAGAGCAAGAATGGTTCAATATCTCGAACTAGTCAGACCGGGAGCGTGCGGAATGCATAGAAATCATAGCCAAGCCGGATGCCATACACCGAATGCATAGTATCCGTCTAGAGCCGAATCGGAAGAGACGGGAACTTACGAAGGGATGATCCCATTGTCTAGGTTCAAGTTGTTCTGCTAAAGAGATGTGAGATTTTTTTTTCATAAGGCTGAAGGAACAGGTCTGGGCACAACTCTACTTCCAATGGTTCTAGACAAGGTTGTACAATATACGGATGTACGTAGTTCATTGTACTTGTAGAGGAAATAGTCAATTGACTACTGAATGACCCCTCCATCTGAAACATTTTTTTAAAAAATAAGCACATCTTTATGTCTTATTTGCCACCAGGTCCCATTGGTTTGTTGATTATATCCCGATCTGGAAAGAGAGGGGAACCATGCAGGACCCATAGCTTCACCGCTTGCAGAAGGCTTACTCAGCTTTATCTTATCTTGGCTTTTCTAGATCTTCCGCCTTGCTTGAATTCATCATGGATACAATGGTTGACTCGGAATCCGATGGAGAATATGAATATGAATATGGAACAGAGACTGAGGTGAGTATATTGATCTTGTCTTCTCTCAATGCTACTAATCCATGGATAGACCTTTTATCTCAACCTGGACCTGACCGCCCACCATGGCCCAGTGCGCCCTCCGCGCCGTCGCCCAAATGAAGCAGAATCTTTGGAAAATACACAGAACCCGCCAGAGGAAATGAGCCATGGATTCCCAAGTGAAGCTTATCATCCGATTGAGAGCGCCGAGACAAGCAGCCTCCCCAACGAACGAATCCAAATTCTCGACCTCCATACGACCAATCCAATCATCTCATACTACAACCAAATGTTCAGTTGCTCCTGGGCTGATCAAATTGGCACTGAGCTAGTTTTTGCTAGCCCGGACACAGAATCTGGCCCGGACAACCCTTTCCCTCAACCGCTACACCGTGGAGCTTCCTACGAGCTTGTGGCCGCCAATAGTGTGAAGATCCTCGGTCGGAAGGCACAGCTCGCCCCCAACGCTGGGCCAGGACCAGCCCAAGGCTTTACCGAAGGTCCTACGCCAGAGTCCGCATCTCAGGACGCTGACCCCCTCGATGTCCCCCGTCGTCCCACAGGCCCGTCTCACCAGGCGCAGTTCCTCCACAGGCTGCAGCAGATCAAAAATGCCAAGGGAGAGACCGATACTGTTCGCTTGGTTATGAGTACCCGTCGTCAGGTGAATATGGCGGACAGACAGCAGGGCTGGGCCCGTACTGAGGCGCAGCTCGCTGAAATCGAGCGGCTGAATGAACGTGCTTCGAGAGGGGACTTGGAAGCAAAGGCAACCCTTGATCTGCTGATTCAAGAGCTCAACCAAGAGCTCAACCCTGATGAGGCAGAGGAAGAGGCAGATGCAGAGTCTGATTCAGAATTGGAGTTAACGTCTGATAGCGATGATCTTACTTCATGAATGTGCAGATTGATAGTGTGCTGACATGGACAGAAACCGGGTCTAGACCCCGTGTCTTTGAGTCAAGCATCGCCTGAACAAGCTGCTGGGGGTCGGGATCCCACTGAATCTCCGTTATAGCCTCTTCACTCTTAACTACGTAGCCGAGTCTGTCACGTGAAAGTGTGCTGGGAGCAGGGAACCGAGGAGTAGCACTGACGAGGAAATATTGATACCCTTGCTGGAAGCAAACAGGCTACTATTGTGATGGAGAAACAAGGATGATTTTCGCTTTCTATGATACTGGGATACTGGAGAGAAGAATGGCATCACTACCCAGAACAATCATCCCAACAAAGCAATCACCGGGAATGACATGCCCCACCCAACTCGAACAGCTCATCGATGGTACCATCTTAGCCGGATTACTGTCCAGGCGGATCAAGAGGGTAACGTCACCTCCAAAGTCAGGAATGACATCCTTGTTTTCGTTGAAAAATCACCGATTATGCGAACCAATAAATGTGTACAACATACCAACTACAACATAGATTGCCTTTCCAACCAATTGTATGCTGTAGATAGTGTTCCCTCTTTCGGCACCTAGAACGTCTGCATAGAGTACAGAGCAGGCTGTGCGACCCCATCTGCTCCCGCAATGCGTGACGGGCGACGTCGCGATCGGCGGATCCTCGAATGCAGTAATCAGATGCATTGCTCGCGTCGGAATACAAATTCTTAGCTGGCACCATGTAGTTGGTACTTCGTATTCCCAACGCACGAAAGTAATATTTCAGCTACTATGCTGGCACTCATTCTGTGAGTCACAGTTACCCCGTCTCTCTAGCTTCCCGAGGTCGAGTGCAAATGCCAGATTACGTGTATAGTTGTAGTTTTGAATTCCTTGAAGGTAGCACAATATAATGACTGTCTACTATATACCGGGCCATAAGCATAACAAAGGTGTCGACTATCACTACCAAGGTCACACAGCATGATATAAATAAAACATCAAATTTTGATTTCTGATTTGAAAGCCCAGGGAAATATCAAAATTAGAAACACCAATTCCCCAGACTTTTGAAGGCGCCCCAGCACCCAAAACCAGTAGATAATAAATGTCCGCGCCGCCATGCAACACGCTAAATCCAACAGGCGACACGCAAAGACAAAAGACTGAAACAACAAGACATAAGGCTAACGAGCATCGCGGATATCAAGTCAGGGAGAATAGTAAAAAAAAAAGAGAACAGCGGACAAAATGGGCGAATTCGCCTCCCATATGTCCATGTGCGCAAGACCATTATCAGGAAATATTGGATGATGGTACAATAATTTGACAAGCGCAAGAAGAAGACGTATTAGGTTGAATCACTCCAGGCTCAAGCTGGGGATGTTATTGTAGCAAGCTTTGCCCTTGGCGTAGGAGACGGGGGATGGTGGAGGCGCGGGAGGCATGCCATCGATGAGGATTGAGCGGGTCTTTTCTGCCTTTTGGGTTGAGGCTGTCATGGCGCGGGAGAGGTCCTGCGACATGGAATAGGAGGGAGGCATGACGGGGGTTGCGGTTTTGGTTGCGACAGTAGCCATTGTTTTGGATTTGGATTTGGAGATGTAGAGGTTGAAAGAGTAGATTGAAGCTTTTTAAGATTGAAGAATCAAGTTGTTGCTTGGGGTTTTATATGGAAAGTATGCAGTTGATCGGCAACCTCGGCCTGGGAGCTGATGATGTTGTATTGAGCTGGATTCACAAGATTGACTGTTAGCTATTTGTGCAGAATGCTTGTGCTTTGTACTTGAATTTGGCATATGCTCCGTATAGATAGAGCTTGTGGCTCCGAAGTTGCCCGAAACCCCGGTTTCGGTGGATCGGATCGGAGTGATGTGATGTGGGTAGTGGCGGAAGTTATACTTACAAGGATCAAAGGAAGTTGGATCGGGTATTTCCGAGTAAGTGTAGGGAGGCAAGTGATGAGATAATAGTGATGGTGAAGAGGCTCAATTAACTTGATTATTGCAGTACTAGAATTGTAATAGTATTGCGGTAGTAAACTTGATCAGAGCGAATGACGATGGCAAAACTCTTGATAGTGAAGTATGTGAAGATAATAGTATAGGTGAACAGAACTAGAAAAAAAGAGTGAAACGATTTCAGGGTCAACGGGTGGTTTATATTTATTTTTTGTCCAAAAATAATAATCTAAAAAAAAGAGATGAGACACCTAAAACAAATTATAAAATAAAAATAAAATAAAATAAAAGTGTGGAGGAGTACATTCCCTGGGGAAGCATCCAAGTACCAAGTACATACCTGGCCAGACCTAATGCTTACTCCCTAGAGATCTGCCCGCCAAGCCTAATCGCCTCATTCTAAACAGCCCAATAACCCAGTTATCGAGGTAGGGATGGAGACATTCCCCATCGGAACAGCGGGAGCCCAACCCCGAAAACCAGTCGGGGAGAAAAAACAAACAAAGATGGAGCCTGACGCGTTAGTGTGTGGGGGAGATGCCCAGGGGGTGATATTCGATGAATCAATATGTTGACATTATTTGCCACAATAGCTAGCTTAGGGGCGGGAACAGCAGGGGAATAGCTAAAGCCGATCAAACCGGTTGAATCGGCACTTAATGAATTAATTAGGTTTTCTATGATTCTACGCCTTCTAGCGTGCTTCCCGGAAGAAACTCACAGGACCTCGGCATAAGAGCGGATACGGCGATCCTTTCGAGAACACAAGGGCTAGCTATTCTATGTAAGGACCCATTTCTGGGTAGGATATCGGAGGGCGACAGGAATTGGAGCTCTTCATCCAATATACTCTTTTGGGAAATGTATCATCCCGGCTTCGGATATTAGGAGTCTTTCAAGGTTACCTACTCCTGTACCCCATTAACATTTTCACCGTTTATTGAACTAAAATCAGGAATTATTATTTTGAGCTCACCGAGTTCCGAGGTGCATGGTTAATTCGGACGATCTTCTAAAAATTGAGACAAAATTGCCTAAAAGACCCTTTGGGTTGAGGATATTACAAAGGGACGGCTAAAGGGCGAAGCCACCTATAGTATAACTCCACAAATCCCAACGCCAGGATGAATATATTGCACAACGCCACAAATCAGCCTGTAAACGTACTCCGTACGGAGTAGTTCTGGAGCTTCGCTTAAATTCAAAAGGAGAGTGGATTGCACCAGGGGCCGAAACAGTCTGGGGCGCATATCAAATCCTTTGTTTGAGATACGTCTCCATCGTATACGGGCTAAATGCTACGGGCTAGATGCCACAGGGTTTATGGACGATGTGTCCGAAGCAGGGATATGATTCATGATCCGGGGTTAGCTTTTTCTCAATTACGATCCACGCTCACCTCCTTGATAAATTCAGGGGGCACAAAAACGTTGAGTTACAAAAGTACCAAACTCTCCTTGACCGTTCGACAACGGCGTTGATCGACCTCCGAATAGGGAACTCCACAATTCTTCTCCCCCAGATTCAAGGGGTCATCGCGATTCTACTATTTTCAATATGCAATGCACCCCACTCCTCTGCCACATACGTACGCACCATGTATCATTATCTGGGGGAAAGGGGGAAAAAGTGCTACTCTAAATTCTCTAGAATGTCCATTCCATTGATTTCCTGGGTGTCGGGTCTCCGACGGGGGTTCAGGGCGCATTTCCGGGGAATTTTGGACCCCCTTTCGATCGCGGACGCATTTCCACGTAGTATCTACCTATAATAGGAACACTACTACCCTAGGGAGTATCATATTGCGGTATCAGTAATGGTCTGTGCTATGTCCACTGTACTTGCATACTCTGGTGCACTATGTACCTCGTGAAACGGTTGTAGATAACATTCTTCTCGTGAACACGTAAGATATACTCTCGGCGTGGTGACCTGTCCTCTTCACCGCTCGTTTTTAAAGATAGAAGATAAAGATAGGTCAATGAAGGGAAGTGATGAGTTGGCTGCCCAGTGTGTTAGATAACACCATTCTCTACATTTGTGGCGCTAACTGTGGGATGGATTCGTCAGGTACAAGATGTACAACACATCCTATGCTGCTATGCATGATGAGAAACTGACGTGATCATGGGCTGATAGCTATCTGGACTACTTGAACATACATAAGGCCAATGTTGATCTACCCAACACGTCAGGTCAACTCGTCTGCCTTATCGACAGATAGGATATCCTTGTAGGTGCCAGACTTCTAAGGTTTGTGATAGGGGAGGACCTCAGGAGCACTCTTGGGCATACCGACAATAAGTATCTTGGTGTACACCCCTACCAGCCAAGAATAAGGCGAACGCAGGGGATAGGTACTTTGATCGGAGAAGATCGAGGCCAGATAATCGATTCGCCCTGGCGAAAAGGGTGCCCGATCTACAGATTTGCCCTGACAAATATCGGGTTTGAGATCACGATCTATCTTGGCCCTTGCACGTCTTTGAGGATCTATATCTAATTATAACATCCCTTGGGCTCTTCAAGATCTTTTCAGGAACGAGAGACCTACAACATAGTCTGTCCCTGCGACCCGAACTTTATGCCACTTCCAACCTTGCAGAGAATATGCTTTCAAAGACGCGACCTGACTATCTTCAAGATGATCTTCTGACCTGCTAGTGCCCGTGTCCTGTCTTGGGACTTGACACTTCAATGCACAAGGATCTCCCCTAACTGCCAGCAGTAGCTATGATCGTGGCTAGCATCTGAGCTCGTGTCAGATGGTGACACCGGTCAGGCACCCGGAACCTTTGGGAAACATGGGGAAACCCTTTCTATGTTTCTGGCAAACCTTGTACTAGGTGAACCAGGTGAAATAATTGAATTGAAGAACCTTGGAAAAGCTGGGGGAAATCGGAAGGGCTAGCCGAGCGGGAGTGGCCCCGGACTTTGAAAAGAAAAAAAAAAATGCCTGAGGCTAAATATCCGATTTACGTCACGGGAACGGAATATCATTTCCCCTAGAGGATAACAATTACTTCATCTTTCCGTGGGCGGCGGGGTCTTCCAATCGCAAACCCGCCTGAGAGTCCGCAATCACGTAAAGGCCCCGCCCAGCTTTTCTTGGAATGCGTGGAAAATGTCACCATATGTGTCTTTTGGGGTAAAAGATGTCTCAATGCGCAATTTCTATGGCCATGTGCAACTGTAGAGCGTGGATTGTGGAAGACGATAGTATTTTTTACCCCGCAAATCCAGGTACCAGCCCTGGAAAGCCCCGAAAGAGCCCCTCTAGTTGGAGATATGGAGATATTCTAAGGTTGGCACCGGCTGTTTTTTTGTCACCGGCCCGGGGACATTGACAAAGATTTGCATCAAATTGCAATTGGTCTTAGTCAAACTAATCAAACTCGTCAAACTATTCCCCCAATGGCGAAAATCCCCCGGACCGAAACAGCCACCAGTGGATCTGAATGAGGGTAGTCGATCACGATGCGATCTGGGGGGACGCTATTCGAATGTTGAGAATGAGGCATTTAGTACTTCGTAGACTTGAAAGTGAAAAAAAATGATGAAAATTTCAATTTGGGAGTTTCATCACTCAGCCAAGTGGGCTTTTTCATGACACATTGCATTCCACGATGTTCGATAGAGATCACATCATTCACATCATTCCTGATATACATCATACATCGACATAGTACTCCGTAAAGACATCTCAGGTGACCCTATATTGACTCTATTTTCAGCTCGACAGTCTCTTTCAGGTCACCTGCTTAGGTTTTTTTTTTTTTCTCGCCCCTGTTCCTGTAGGGCTCAGCCACGTTCCAGACTTTTGAGGCAATTCTTTTTCTCATATCGGCCCGCATGACGCAGCGGGATTTTTCCTTCGGCCTCAGAGCTCGGAAGGAGGGGAGGTGAGCTCCAATCAGCGTTCAATGTATCGCCGGCTCTTAGTCAAAAGTGGACAGAGATTGACCGTTTTGGGGGAGTAAGGTGGAACTGCGGACCTCAATATGGGCTTCGAGACTCTACGGTTGAACCTCCCGCCTACCATCGGTTATAACTGGTCAGGGATATTTTGCGGGACTAAAATATTAAAATCAAGTATTAATAGTGAATAGAGAAAAAAGTTACTATTAAAAGTTGAGATCCAAGTTTTGTATAAAAAGCTCTTGGTTCCCCGGATTTTCTGATTCTAATTCAATCATTTCCTTATATCATCACCTTCAGTCCATGGCGACGATCGGTGATAGTATTTACCAGTAAGTCTTTTCCAATGTTCTCCTTCCTCTCTCCTTGCTTCCAAGAGTTGTTATCTCGACTATCTACCCAGGTGGACCTTCTGGTAGTCGAGATAAGAACATTCTTTGTGTTCCTTATCTCCCAACACGTGCCGCAAGTCGATGATTCATCCTAGCTAATGCTCTTGACTTATATAGCTTCTTTCATCTTCTCACTATTACGTGTTAAGAGGTTTACCTCACATACTCAATCATGTCGTCTCCCATAACTACCCCACAGTCGGAGACCCCTAATGGCAATGGCGTGAGCTTGCCTAATCGCCCTCTACCTAAGCCCTATGCGAGCCAAGATGGTAGCTCCGGCTCCGGTACCCCCATCGGTTTCCAGCGCTATCCTCCCCACAACAAGCACTTGGACCATGTCGTTGGAGCCGCCTCGCGACAACCGTCCCCGCAGCCCACTCACTTGGGCATCCCCGGTACCCCGCACCGTGTACTCTCCGAGGAGGACCCGGGCTACATTGCGGCTACCTTCGAGGGTAAACAGAAGCAGATGGAACAAGGTTAGTAAAATTGACTGGTGATATTGAGATGATACAATTGGCTAATTCCCAGCAGTAATGGACATTTTGGAGGAGAAGGGCTTCTTCCCTAGTGACTTTGTCATCTCCGAAACCACTTGGTTCTATAACAAGCTTGGCATCGACGATACCTACTTCCAGACCGAGACGGTGGATGCTATTGTGACCCAGATCCTATCCCTCTATGCCGCTAAAGTCGCCGCGTATGCTCGTGATGACAAGCAGCTCGAGATTCGTCTGGACAAAGAGGCCGAGGACCATGCTGTATACATTGATACTAGCAGACCCGGTATGGCTTCTATCGACGGTCCACGCTACGAGCAGCGCATCGACGAGAAGTACATCAACCACTCCAAGGGTGCCAACAGCTACCGTGTGGAGACCTTCCGCTCGCCTAGCCCTCTTCCTGGCGACAATGGCCAACAACTCCGCTGCTACTTCGTGTACAAGTGCCAGTTCGCCAACCCTACCCCCTCACCAAATGAGACCAACATCGATATCATTGGCGAGAAGCGTTTCTTGCAGAAGGCCACCCCCAATACCAAGGCTATCTACCAGGAAATTATCAGCACCGCCGTTGGTCGCTCCGGTCCCGTCATCGAGATGTTCGAGATCGAGGGAAGCCGCGAAAAGCGTCTAGTGATTGCTTACCGCCAAGGATCTGCTATGGGCTTGTTCAGTGCTCTGTCAGATCTGTACCACTACTACCGCTTGACCAGCTCGCGCAAGTACCTGGAGAACTTCTCCAACGGAATCACTGTGATTTCCCTCTACCTGCGTCCCTCAGATAACTCCGAGATTTCCGCCAAGTTCCCTCCCATTGAGGCTGCTATCCACCAGATCATGAAGGAGGTCTCTCTTTTGTACTGTATCCCCCAGAACCGCTTCCAGGGTCACTTCGCCACTGGTCGTCTGAGTTTGCAGGAGACAATCTACGCTCACTGCGCGTGGGTGTTTGTACAGCAGTTCCTTAACCGTCTGGGCTCAGAATACACTTCGTTGTCCGCTCTTTTGGATAGCAACAACAGTGTCCACGCAGAGTTGCTCTCAAAGATTAAGAAGCGTCTGCGTACGGAGACATTCACCGCTGACTACATCTTTGAGATTATCAACAAATACCCCGAGCTGATCCACAAGCTCTACCTTGATTTCGCCAACACCCACTACGTGCAGACCCAGGAGTCTGGTGATGACTTCCTCCCCACCCTCAGTTACCTGCGTCTGCAGGTCGATGAGGTTCTCGACGGCGCGAAGCTGAAGCAGCTGATCCGTGGCACCGCCATGAACGAGCATGACGAGATGGTCATGACTTCCTTCCGCGTCTTCAACTCCTCTATCCTCAAGACCAACTTCTTCACACCGACCAAGGTGGCTCTCAGCTTCCGCTTGAAGCCGGACTTCTTGCCAGAGCATGAATACCCCCAACCCCTCTACGGCATGTTCCTGATCATCAGCTCTGAGTTCCGTGGTTTCCACCTGCGGTTCCGTGATATCGCTCGTGGTGGTATCCGTATTGTCAAGAGTCGAAATGGTGAAGCATATAACATCAACGCTCGATCATTGTTCGACGAGAACTACAACTTGGCCAACACACAACAGCGGAAGAACAAGGATATTCCCGAAGGCGGTGCCAAGGGTGTCATCCTCTTGGATGCCGACCACCAGGACAAGGCGCGGGTCGCCTTTGAGAAGTACATTGACAGTATTCTCGACCTGCTCCTTCCTCCGGTCAGCCCCGGTATCAAGGATCCGATTGTTGACCTGCACGGCAAGGACGAGATCCTCTTCATGGGTCCCGACGAGAACACCGCTGAGCTTGTCAACTGGGCCACTGAGCACGCTCGCGGCCGTGGTGCCCCCTGGTGGAAGTCATTCTTCACTGGAAAGAGCCCCAAGCTTGGTGGTATTCCCCACGACGCTTACGGCATGACCACCCTCTCGGTCCGCCAGTACGTGCTCGGAATTCAGCGTAAGCTGAACCTTGAGCCTTCCACACTCCTCAAGCTGCAGACCGGTGGTCCTGATGGTGATCTTGGATCTAACGAGATCCTTCTCTCCAACGAGAAGTACGGAGCCATTGTTGATGGAGCCGGTGTGATCTACGACCCCAACGGTCTGAACCACGAAGAGCTCCTCCGCCTGGCCAAGAAGCGCGCTATGATCTCAGAGTTTGACATGACCAAGCTGTCTCCCGAGGGCTACCGCGTCCTGGTTGACGAGAAGAACGTCAAGCTTCCCAGTGGCGAGGTTGTCCACAACGGCATGCTTTTCCGCAACACATACCACCTGCGCGCACAGGAGAAGTTCGACGAGTTTGTGCCTTGTGGTGGCCGCCCCGAGTCCATTGATTTGTCCTCCGTCGGCAAACTCATCAAGGACAACAAGTGCATCATCCCCTTCATCGTCGAAGGTGCCAACCTGTTCATCACCCAGGACGCCAAGCTGCGCCTTGAGAAGGCCGGCTGCATTCTGTACAAGGATGCCTCCGCCAACAAGGGTGGTGTGACATCTTCCTCTCTGGAAGTCCTGGCCTCGCTGTCCTTCAACGACGAGGAGTTCGTTGAGAACATGTGCGTCCGCGAGGACGGCACCGTTCCCGAATTCTACCAGTCCTATGTCCGTGAAGTGCAGGAGGTCATCCAATCGAACGCCGCGTTGGAGTTCGAGGCCATCTGGCGCGAACACCAGCAGACTGGTGTCCTTCGCAGTGTGCTCAGTGACCGTCTCAGCTTGGCCATCACGAAGCTCGACGAGGAGCTCCAGATGACCGAGCTGTGGGACAATGTCGCGCTCCGTCGCTCTGTGCTTGGTGACGCCCTGCCCCGCCGTTTGTTGGACAAGATCGGTCTGGAAACCATCTTGGAACGTGTACGTCTCCCTTCCTTTATAACTTGTTCTTGAATCCCCGCTAATAATTTCTAGGTCCCTGAGAACTACCTCCGTGCCATCTTCGGTAGCCACCTGGCCAGCCGCTTCGTGTACGAGTACGGCAACCAGCCCAGCCAGTTCTCCTTCTTCGACTTCATGACCAAGCGCCTGGCTAAGCTTCAGTCGTAAGCTTTTGGAATTTGTTGCGAAAGTGCTGGTTTTGATACTGTTTTGACATTATGTTTCTTGTTTGATGAGAAAGACTTTCCCGAGTCAACGAAATACTTAATACGGAACGAAAGAAGATCTGTTCCCTTGACGAATGTATGGTTAAAAAATTTGGTGAGCGAGAGCAGAGAGAGGCCGTTCGGGCAATATCAATGATCCTTTAGAATCAAAATCCTTACCCATTGGAACTTAACAGTTTAGTCCTACATACCTCTAGCATGCAAATTATATTATATTACAACCGACTTCTTCACTTCCATCTTACCTCCATTTATTCTGAGACACAGACTCGGCCATGATCAGCACAATGTTCACTGCCTGTATGATATGTCAGTATATCCTATCAAATAGGGCCAACCCCCGTAGGAGCTGACGACCTCCAGTCGAACCAATAGAACTCACCAGTAACAAATCAACACCCTCGGAAACCTCAACCTCCCACTTCGGTCTGGATTTTACCTTGGATTTACTATAATCAATCACGTTGTGTCGCGTGATGTGCATGATCTTCTGATTACCCATCATCACACTCGTACTAGACCCACCTAGCTGCATCACTCTCAACTCAACTTTTGAGCCGCGGAATACGTCTTCTGTGTTTGTCTGCGCTAGACCTAGCCCCGGACAAAGACTAGCATTCTGCAATGAAGACGAAGAAAACGGCAAAGCCGGCGCCGGCTCTTGCGGCGGCTCAATCGCATCAAGTAGATCTCGTAGGGAATTAGGCGAGTCCCGACGGACAGAGTCATAAGACGGAAGAATAGAATGAGAGTGCGTATGCCTCGGTGATGGTGAATCCCGAGCGAGATCATCCCGTGAACGTGAATCGGGGAGTGGTGGATGTATCTCTTTCTCGTTCTGTACCACACCCGCATCTGTATTCCCTCCACTACCGCGCTCTTCACCAACACCAGAAACAGCACTATAAGGCGGCGGTTCATCTGGGACAGCCAATCCCACGCTCCCACTCCCTGTAACTTCAGACGACCTAACGGCAAGCGCATTCACAAACCGCACTTCAAGCCTACACCCACCCCCAACTCTAGACCCGGATCCATCCGTGGCCCATGGTATAGAAGCAACTAACAGATCCGTGGACTGGTTCTGATTTGGAAGTCTGACACTCCATTTCCGTGCACTAGATAACCAATGCCGTCGTAAGACGAGCACTGGCGCGCCCTCTGCGTCGTAGATTATGCGGTTCGTGTTTGGCCAGGGTTTTCCGAATACGGTGTAGAGGAGGATGTTGCGATCTGGGCTATCGGGGGCTTCGTGTGTGCGGGTGCGGTGGACTGTGAAGGTCGGCGAGGGGGGCTTGGTGTCTTGGGTTGGGGTTATTGTTAGAGTTGTTGCGGTGTTGGTTAGGAGGTCTGCGGGTGGGGAGAGGAGGTGGGTGGGTTGGAGCGCTATTGGTGTTGTGGGGGTTGTGAGGGGGTTGATTTTTGATTTGGGATTGGGCATTGGATGAGTTTTGATTATGTTTAAGGAGTGTATAGCGTAGATTTAGGTAGGATTGGTACTTTGTATAGTGGAGATATAGGAGTTGGAGAGATGACGTGGGGGGTCGGGAGTGTCGGATAGGTCACTATTTAGGAGTATAACATGTATACAACTGTTATAATTAGTAGAATAATCTAGAAACTACTGAAATCCGGTTTTTCTTTTCTTGGGATCATATAAATAGGATTGGAGAAGTCTTTAATCACTACCATATTACCTTAGTACGGATATAATGGATATAGCAGTGTGATATACATAAAACCTCGTACACCGGACTGTGCTTAAGTGCTATTTCTATAATTCAAGTAGATCTTAAATAGTTAGAAACTAGACGACTTCTCTTATATGCCTTGGGGATCTGAAACCAAGGTGGAACCATGGCCCACACAGGGAAAAATTTTGCTTCAAAGGGAAGATGATAGAAGAGGATGATAGAAATATAGAAATGTGGATATAAAAAAAGGATAAGCTTATTTCTGTCAGATGTCAGACGTCAAATGTTATAAGTCATACCATCTAAGGTCAAAACATTTCCGAGTGTGTTAATTAGCCTGTTAGGGACTTTTAAGATTTCCTTGGGTCAGGCCAGGAACAAATTCTACGCGTGTCAACGCATAAAAATTTCATTAATCCTTTCTCCTCATTTTAGACCTCCACTCTCTTTTTCTCTCTTTTAAAGTCATGTTTGTGGGGCGATTAGTCTATAGACCGTTGCTGCATTAGCCTCTCTGTGCGAGAGGTATTCTGAAAGAGGTCTTATTCCTCTAATACTTCCCTAGAAAAGACAAACAGTCACTGCATTTCCACTGCCACGTTCAATTTTGCTGCACGCCATGTCGGATACGCAGGAAAAGTTTCCGCCGATCACTCCCCATGCTTATGCGGAGACAGCCGAGGGGAGCCGAGCCGAAGATAATGACCACGTCAATACCAACACAGAAATCTCCCACTCAGATGAGGCTAGCTCAAAGCCTAATATACCGACTATCCAAAGATGGCGGACAGTAAGCCAGCAAGTGCGGACTCGCGCTGCGACGATAGCCGAGAAGCTCGGTCGACCCCCCGAAAGAGAGGCTGATGGCTTGGATTCGCCAATGTTACCAGAGCACTATGGAGCAACAGACGATATTCAAGGATTTGAGGCCCGCCAGGCAATTGATGAAGAAGCCCGGCTCCCCAGAATAGACTATGATTCACAAGCTCGGCATTTGGTGGAACGAATGGGGGTTGAATCCCAACCGCAGCGTCCACGCATCGAAGAACCGCGTTCGGGTTCGACAACCCCAGGAACTCCAGATGGGATGGCAACACCCGGAGGTCCACCGGGAGGACTCCTATCACAATTGCTCCGTGTGTACGCCAACAACATCCACACTGCTAGTCGGATGAGTGTTGTCTCCTCGACATCAGAAACAGACCTGGATACAGAGAGTGTCCCAGCATCCGGCACAGTGACACCGGGCGGAAAGAAAGACAAGTTGAAATGGTACAACAATGCCAACCACCCCAGTAAACCAACCCACAGCTATACCTCCTCCCTCATCAATGCATCCATGGATCTGGGCCGGGTCGGGGTCCCTGGAGCCACGGGCCCCCCACCAGTGAATCCCAAAGAAAGAAAGAAGCAAAAGCGCAAGAGCAAGAAAAACATCAAGCTCACCGTCCACATTGCCGCCATTTTGGCCCGCCAACAGTACATCATGCAGATGTGCCGTGCTCTAATGAAATACGGTGCCCCAACCCACCGCCTCGAAGAGTACATGATGATGACCTCCAACGTGCTGGACATTAAAGCACAGTTCATGTACATCCCGGGGTGCATGCTGATGTCCTTCGACGACCCGCTAACTCGCACCGCCGAGGTCAAGATCATCCGCGTAGTCCAGGGACTGGACCTCTCCCGTCTCGCAGAGACGCACAACATCTACAAAAACGTTGTCCACGACGTCATCAGTGTCGAACAAGCAACCCATGACCTAGACGAGATCATGCAGCGCAAACCGCGCTACAACCGCTGGCTCCTTATCTTCCTAACCGGCTGCGCCAGCGTCGCCGTCGGCCCATATGCCTTCAGCGCTCGACCCGTCGACCTCCCTATCATCTTCATACTCGGCTGCCTAGTAGGCTTTATGCAACACGTTGTCGCGCCAAATTCAGCCACCTACTCAAACGTACTAGAAGTCACCGCGGCGGTCCTCACCTCCTTCATCGCACGCGCGTTTGGCAGCATCCAGCACAACGGCGAGCGAGTCTTCTGCTTCTCAGCGATGGCACAGTCCTCAATCGCTATGATCCTACCTGGATTCGCCGTGTTAAGCAGTAGTCTGGAGCTGCAGTCGCACCAGATGAACGCGGGCTCGATCCGGCTTGTCTTCACGATCATCTACTCGCTTTTCCTCGGATACGGCGTTACCGTCGGCACGACAATCTACGGGCTGATGGACCACAACGCTACGAAGGAGTCGACATGTTCTAATATGGAGGTCTGGGGAAACGAATATATCCAGCACTTCCCGTTCGTCGCGCTGTTTTGTCTATTCGCCGCACTGATTAATCAGTCGAAGCCGAAACAGCTGCCTGTCACGATCTTCATGGGGGTTTGTGGCTATGTTACGAATTACTTCAGCACCAAGAAACTTGGGTCGAATCAGGTCGCTAATACTGTTGGTGCCTTTACGATTGGCCTTCTGGCTAATTTGTATAGTCGGTTGTGGCATGGTCATGCGGCTGCTGCTATTATTCCGGGTATCTTTACCCTCGTTCCGTCGGGTCTTGCGTCTAGTGGGTCGATCATTTCTGGCTTGCAATATGCTGAAGCTGTTGCATCTGGGAATGTATCTAGTGCTGCCAATAGCGCAACTTCAAATAGCTCGCTAACCTCGCTGGGATATGGTATGATCCAGACGGCTATTGGTATCTCAGTTGGACTGTTTATCTCCGCTCTGATTGTTTACCCGCATGGGAAGAAGAGGAGTGGGATCTTTAGTTTGTAGATTCGGATTTGTTTGATTGAGCGATATATTTGTTTGGCTTGTGTTGTATCATTTGCATTGGCGTCATTATTTTCCAGATCGGAAAGCCTTCTACATATTTATACCAGATATATCATCTCACCACGTCACTATATACATACCAGCAACAGCAATTCGAATCCAAAATGAAGGTGGCAAAAGAGTTATAGAAAGGCAAACTAAACTAGAAGAATTAACAGCGATGACTCTAGAAGTGCTTCATAGGCGTAGGGTCAAAGTGTTGGTGGGTAAATACTCAGTACTAGGGTCTGTATATCGGCTGATATTCGTGAACTCCCTAAGATCATACACAGGATAAAATATAGACGCAATCGACTTGACAAACGTAATTAGCGTTAGATCGACGATTCCAATCAACGACTTAACAAGGGCTTTATAGCTATCGTGGCTGACGCAAGCAATTTGAGTGATTTCACCCTGCGTTGAGCGAGGGTACTGCTTTCGCGCTTGGTGCTGGTCCGATGGGATCAGGCCCTAAATTACATCGGCGGTGCGGTGGGAATTGGGGATTTTGACATCTTCAAAGATGTCAATTAGCGACTTCAGGTTCATCCCCCGGAACCAAAGATTTCCTTTCTCAAAGTCAACAAGGCCATGCAACTTTCTTACACTGCGTGGTGAGTCCTTTCCACTTCTTCTTGGCCTTCACAAATAGACAAAGAATGTGACTTGGAAAATCGTGGGGATGTCCATGAGGGTACAAGTCCCGCAATTGATGTATTCCTGGTTCTTCCGTGACCATAGTCGGTACATCGACGACAAGCATGACAATAGCCGTGGTAGGGGTAGGGACACAGCCATCAAAGTACTTTTGTAGAATAGGAAGGGGTAGCTCGTCCTCGCTGGCGTAGCGGGCAAACAGGAAAGATGCTGGATCTCTGAAATGTTTGTTCTTCATGTTTATTTATATGACCGTAATTATCAAAGGTTATAGAAAAGTCGTTTGCACATCTACACAGAATGATATCTAAAAAGACCACTGGAGAGACCACTGGAAAGACCACTAGAAAGACAACCAAAAAGACAACCAGAAAGATATCACAGAGCCGCTTATGCGGCCCAGTATTGTTGTATCTGTTAATGAGTGTAAAAGCCCGTGGGTCACATTGGAATAAACGAGAATAAGAATAAAGAATCTATGGCTTGGACAAAGGAGACAAGATGGTAACTGTCAATGGATTGCATATTCAATGAATCTTGTTAAGATGTTGTTTGCTCCACGTCTATATAATAGTCTCCTCTCTCTTATCCTTTCCATATATTGACAGAGTTCTCTAGGATCGTATTTTGTTCACACTAGACCCCCGTTGTCTATCTCAATATGGTGGAAATTAAAAAAGAAGAAACATATGCTCTAAACATGGCTGAAAGTAATGGTCATCAGTCTGAAGCCACCACACGCTTAATCCCGGCCGGGGTCACCGCGGCTTTTACCCCGAATGAACAGATGTCCACTGTCACACTCACCTCTACGAAAAAGAAGGCCGACCCTCCCGTCCCTGGTCCTTTCCCCATCATACCCCGCCAAGGACCCCCCTACGACTACGCGTGGTATCATTCACCTCTAGAGGAGCCTTCTATTTACCACATGAGTAACCCAGCAGCGGCGGTGACTGCATATGAGGCCACCAAGGCAGTGAACAAACGTGTTCAGTTTGATTTGCGGAACATGAAATCCGTGTTGCTGGAACGTGGTTTGATTGAGAACTCTGACTCCGATGAATATGCCAGTTCATGGGATGACGCCGTCAATGTTTTTGCTGGTGCGAAGTAACTGGAGGTGTTGCTCAGGGGGTGTGCGCTGATATGGGCAGATGGAGGAGCCCGTTGGGCCTGTTGAGGACACTTTTTGATGCTTCGGTGCTCTTCTTAAGCAGGTTCTGTTGGTTAGAAGATAATAAACTGGTATATTTTTCTAATTTATCGGTGTTTTGTAGACATGGATTTTTTCATAGCTCCTTTTGGTGGTTTATAGAGGGTACACCAGTTGACCCATTTAGGGGGAGAGTCCCACAAGTGATTTTAATGGTCACGTGCTCCCTACTATCTTAGTAGAAGCGTCATTCTTTCCCTTTTGGCTGTTCCTGTTGAAATTGAAGAAGAATAAAAGATATATTTCAGGCAGTTTAATAACTAGAGCTCTTGATAAACATGAAATAAAATATAAAACAATGCGAACGTAAGAACCGAGACATGGAGAACATAATAAAAAACCAAAAACTCTCAGAAGTCAAGAAACAATACAATCATCTCAATATGAAGCCCATCAACCGGGTCCGTCTACCATGGTCAGCCGTTCTTATAAGGTCAATCATTTGGCAAGCTTCTCAGCAAACCACACCGCCAGATGGCTGACAGTCGGATGACTCCACGTCAATGTAGGGGGCACCGCAATCTTCAGTGTTAGCTGCAGCTGGCGACGCAGAGTGACTGTCATGACTGAGTCAACACCCAGATCGGCCAGAGCTGCCTTTGAATCCACATCCTCAGCAGTCATCTGTAACACCTTGGCCACACAGCCCCTGATCTTCTCGTCCAAATAAGCCTTAAGCTCCGGTCCAGACGTAGGCACCGCGTCGCTGGAACCGGCAGCCGCCGGCGAGGTGTTAGACACAGTGCCCACGCGTCGCACCGCGATATCATTGAGAATAGACACTGGAATCGGTTCCCCGTCCTCAAAGGCACGGCTTCGCAAAACAACTCCGTGGTCCATATCATACTTGGCGAGATGCTGCCATGCAGCAAAGGCCTCATCGCGCGTCACGTCCGTGATTCCTTTGGATTCCAATTCAGCGTTGATAAAGTCTGTGCTGGCACCCATGCCAAGGCCACGCCACGATGTCCACTGGAAGGACACGGCTGCGTCACCTAGGCGCGCACGGTGGGTGGCTAGTGTATCCAAGAAGGCGTTACCACTGCCGTAGGAAGCTTGACCAGTGAACCCGACGAGGTTTCCACAAGAGGAGAACATGACGAAGAAGTCGACGCTCTTAGGGGGGAAGACTTCATGCAGGGCTAGCGCGCCCGCAATCTTGGGTGCGAGAACCCGGTTGAAGGCGTCGCGAGTGGTCTGCATCACTAGCTCGTTGTCCAGCACACCGGCAGCGTGAACGACACCCTGGACCGAAGGTAGGGAAAGTCGGTCCAACGCCGTGGTAAGCTGCTCGACCGCATCCGGTTTGGTGATGTCCAGGGGCAGGACATGGACCGAGGCGCCGCGACTCTCCAGGAGGCGGATCTTGGCGATGGTCGGCTGGAGATCCTCGCTAACCTGGTCCCAGGTTCGGCGAGGGGGAAGGGCGCGTCGCGAGATGAGCAGCAGACGTCTGGCACCCTTCTCGACCAGGAAGTCAGCGACCTCGAGACCGAGGACGCCAAGACCACCGGTGATCAGGTATGTGCCCTCGGGGCGGGGAAGCAGGCGAGGACCTTCGCTGGCAGGGAGCAGCTTGTTGCGCGGCAGGCTGCGGAACCGGGAGGTGCGAGCGATTCCGTCGTTGATTCGGATGATGTCTGCCCCCTGGATGTATCGCATCGTCGACAGGGGGATGACGGGCTCTTCAACGTCGATGAGGGTTCCTAGATCAGGGTGCTCACTGGCGATGACCCGTGCCAGGCCGTACAATGGGGACTGGGCTAGAGCGGTAGGTGTTTGACCCTCGCCGATGTTCGCGGTAAGAGTGAAGACTTTGATAGGCAGTGAGCCATTGACGGTGAATTTAATTAGTTCGAGCAAGTTCCAAGTGAATGACTCGGATGCGGCGGGAACCTCGGCCAGCGAGGCGACCTCACCGGGGATGTAGGTCACCACGGTTCCCTTCTCCAGGGGAAGGGATGAAGCGTTGCTGAAGAACTCCTGTGTAGAGGAGAACTGGAAGGAGTTAACCCGGGTCGGCAGACTTGCGGCATACAGGGCCCTGGTGGTAGCATCGGGCGAGACCAGGATCACTGTCTCGATGGACAAGGGCTCTTCGGCCGGGGTGGCTGGTGGCCAAGCGATCTGGTGCACGAGACTCTCCATGCTGCCACTGACGCCAGGAGTGCCTTCAATCTCGGAGAACCGCATGGCTGTGAATTTGGCAAGGACCTCACCCGCCTCGCTCACCACGCTAACGTGAGAGGTGGGCACCGAATCGGAGGCCTCCTGGACGTAGAGCCAGCTGATCTTGGGCGGATCCTGCGAGGTGAAGACCTCTACCCGCTCAATCTGGGCGGGCATCCGAAGTGCAGGTGTCGGGAAGATGGTTGAACCGACGGAGGTGGCAGCGTCGAGAACTGGGGCCCAGGATGAAGAATCCCAGGGCAGGGGGGCATCTCCCGAGATGGCAGGATTGACATCAACACGTGCCAGCATCTCCTTGTCATTGCGGTAGTGCTCTGTTACCGCCCATGGGAATCCCATGGCAGATACACCCACCTTGTCCAGGTAGTCAATCGAAAAGTTGTCTGCTAGTTTGGTTACCAGTCGCGATTTGACGGCAGCGAAGTCGATGCGATCTTCGGAACCAGCAACCTTCCGATCCCAGTATGCAGTGGTGTGAGTGACCCAGGAGGCATCGTCATCCAACTGCGAGGGCTCACTCGGGATCAGTCGAGACACAACCTTGACTTGATCCTGCTGCACTACGACCTGGACGGATCGTGGTGCGTTAATAGCAACGGGAACGCGGAGAACAACGTTCTGCAGCATCTGGCCGCCTGTGCCCTTCAAGAAAGTATTGATCAAACCTGCAGCCGGAACGATCTCGGTGCCGTGCAGAGGGTGGCTGCCCGGGAAGGGCTTTGTGTCGTTATCCAGCCGGGTTGTGTAGACATAGGTGTCGGTGCCGGGCACTGGGATACGCTGTCCCAGAAGTGTGTGCTTCTCGACATCATGCGTGAGACCAGTGTGAAGCGGCGCAGTCTCTATCTTGCGCCAGATGGGTTTATGCATCCAGGTCGTGGTGGGAACTCCAGTGGCCCAGCGTCCGGGCATCTGTGCCGCCCAGTTCACTTCCGCACCGCGGCAGTGAAGCTGTGCAATGCTGTGTAGGATATGCTTCTCAGTTGGCTTTTTCCGAAGGAGAGTTGGGATGACCGCAAAGTCTTCCATGCCTGCATCCATTAGTGTCTCGTTGATAGAGTGAGACACCACTGGGTGGGTTGAGACTTCAAGGAAGAGACGATATCCGTCCTCAACAGCGGCCTTGACAGCCGAAGTGAGACGCACGCGGTTGACCATGTTGCCGGCCCAGTATTCCACGTCGCGCAGGTCTTGGCCGCGGGGGTCTGCCAGTGCGGTGGAATACAACTTGACGTTGGGACTCACAGGGGACAGAGTCTCTGCGAGCACATCCCGAAGGGGATCGACCAGCCCATTCAAGGTTGGACTGTGGAAGGCAATATCACTCTTCACAGTGAATGTCTTCACGCCTCGTGCCTTGAGAGCCTCTGCTGTTTCGGCCACAAGCTCCTTATCTCCAGCCACCACACAGGAAGATGGCGACGAGTCAATGGCCACAACCAGGTCTGATCGGGAACCTAAGATCTCTTCAGTCTCGGCACTAGGGAGGTTGACAAGGATCATGCCGCCCTTGCCCATAACCTGGCGGTACAGCAACGCTCTGCGGGTGACAATAAGCGCACCCTCTGCTGGGGATAGTGCTCCAGCCACAACACTGGCCGCGATTTCGCCCACGGAGTGTCCAATCACGGCCTGTGGAGTGATGCCATTGCTTTGAAGCAGGGCGCTGAGACCAATTTGCATGACATAAGTAAGGATCTGTACCCGATCAGACGACTCAAAGTCACCCGTCCGGAGTAGCTCAATAGGGGACAGCCCAATCTCGGCTTGGATCAACTCATCGAGTGGCTGGATGGCTGCGAAGAAGACCGGGTTGTGAATAAGTTGCTTGCCCATGTCCGGCCACTGCGCACCGTGCCCAGAAAACACCCAGACAACGTCCTTGCTGATGTCTGAGCCCAGTACACGGCTCTGGGTCGTGAATGTATGGTCGACCCCATTGGCCAGTGATTGCAGGACTTGCTCAGCATCACGGTAGTCATCAACTACAAGCGCCGCTCGGTAGTCGTGGTGATCTCGTCGAGTAGCTAGAGTAGTGAGAATATCACTCAAATTGTGATCCTTTCCTTCGGCAGTCATCCAGTCGCGCAATGTTTTGGCCTGCAAGGCTAAACGTTTCTCCTGGGGTCCGGACAATAAAAGAAGGCCTGGTCCGCTGACTGCTCCATTACCTAGTGGGTCTGGCTGCAGGATAGGGCTGAATTCTTCGATCACCGCGTGAGAAACAGTACCTCCGTACCCATACGAGCAGACACCTGCTCTACGGATGGGGTCTGATTCGGGCCACGGGGTGGCCTCTTGAACGACCTTAACACCGGCTGTCTTCCAGTCGATCCGGCTATTGAGCTTTGTCAAGTTGGCCTGCGGTGGCAGGACGCCCTTTTGGATGGCCAGAACTGCTTTGATGAAGCCCATGACTCCCGCACCAGCCTCCAGGTGACCAATATTGGGCTTGATGGACCCGATGTAGCATGGATCATCCGCGGGGCGGTCGGCGCCGTAGACACTTGCAATGGCGGATATTTCAGTTGGGTCGCCCAAGGGCGTGGATGTGGCATGTGCTTCCACATAGCGCACGGTGTGAGGGTCGATATTTGCAGCAGAGAGAGCATTGTTTGCTGCTAGCTGTTGCGCCACGGAATTGGGGGCCATGATGCCGTTGGTCTTGCCATCCTGGCATACCGCACTGCCCTTAATGACTGCCAGGACATTATCGTGGTCGAGCAATGCACGGTGCAGACTTTTGAGGACGAGGGCGCCGGCACCTTCACCTCTAGCGTACCCATGGGCGTCATCATCGAAGGACTTGCAAGATCCGTCAGACGAGATGGCGCCGGCTTTGTCGAGGACGCGGGTCAGTCCTGGGCCGCAGAGGGCATTGACACCTCCGACAATAGCCACCTTTGATTCTCCCAGTCGGATGGCCTGAACTCCATGATGTATGGCGACGAGAGACGAAGCACACGCCGCATCCACGGCGGTGCTAGGACCCATCAAGTTGAGGTGATATGAGATGCGATTGGGCACGCCACAGTATGCAGTGCCAATGCCCATCCACGCCTCGACATTTGGCAGATCCTCTAGCACTAGCTTGGAGTAGTCGTCTGAGTTAACACCCCAGAAGACTGCTGTGTCACTCCCAGACAGACTCTTGGCAGGAATACCGGCATCTTCCAGGGCTTCCGATGCCACTTCCAGAGAGACTCGCTGTTGGGGGTCCATCTGCTCGGCCTCCTTAGGGGAGATGCCAAAGAACTGACAGTCAAAGTCCTCCAAGCGATCTAGGAAATAGCCACGCGACGTTGTGTTCTTGAGGAATTTCTCATTTCGTGCATCCCGACGATAGTAAGGCTCCCACCGCATGGGTGGAATCTCACCCATTGCACTCTTCTGGCTGAGGAGCGATTGCCAGAGAAGTTCAGGGTTGTGGTTACCTCCCGCTACGCGGCAGGCCATTCCCACTACCGCCACATCGTTGGAGAATTCCTATTCACTGTCAGTAAAAGATACGCTTTTGATAGACGATGCAACACGTCAGAAATTGGGGCCACAGACATATTCACTGTACTCAGTCCCAGGGGTTCCGACTGGTGCTGGGGATGTTTTCCCAGAGGGGTATGTAGAAGTTGCAGCGGAATGCATGTCTGCCAGCAGTAGTGAAAGAGACTCAGTCCCTTATCAAAGTCTCGCTTTGTTCATGAAAATGTTCAGAGCTGCCGGATGTTGCTCTTCCTTTATACTTCTCGTTCATTACTACGGACATCCATTCCTCCGAGCCTCCTCTAGGCCTCTGCCTCACGGCAAATTCTTATCGCCTCGGTGAACCCGGCATCTGGAACGTTCACAAGGTAACGTTTCAAGAGATAGTGGCTGCCGCTGCCCAGTTCCCAAATTGGGACATTTTTTATCTCCATCCATCGTTCATTCGTCAATTCGGGAGTTTGTTCGGGGTTCCGACATAATGCAGCCAAGCTTCGCAAGATTAATCTCACTGACGGCCAACGGGAATAACCGACGAGTATTGACTTCCCGCCCGTAAGCAGTGACAAGTGGCGATCATGAAAGTGTGTTTAGGGATTTGAGACGTTGAGGACAAGCCGCCGTCAGCCCTAAGCCTGAATGGGATGCATGCTGATTAACCCAAAGGAGCGCCGGGGATGATTTCTTCAAAGGGTGCCCGTTTAACTGTCTCACCGTTTAGGAACCTTACAGGAACTCCGTAAACATACTCCGGAGGCGAATGTGTATCTAAATATACTCATTTTGATCAGGCCATTTCGACATGCCTTGAAAGGCAGTCCATAGAGGACTGGACTCTACATGTGAGAATAGCAAGGAATCAGGATATCAAGTATATAGGTAGTAGCAGGCGCATCTGGAGTATTTCTAGATATCTTTAGGAGAAGCGCTCAAATATTCATGCTTTTGTTGTAAAAATCCGACTTCGAACAGCTAGCCAACCATCTGAAGTGTCTTGTTACAATGGCCCCATTTGTGCCCTACCACTACTCAGCTGGCCAGTCGACTATTGTCAAGTAATCAATCCCCCTTGTCCTTCTGTATATTAAATAAAAACTCTATTGGTCGCTGACGTAGACCCAATTTTGCAGATTTGGTGGCCTTCTGACCACCGAATTTCTCGAACCTCCACCAGGCCGTTGCTTTCTGTTCCGACAGACATACCGCCACACAGTTGAAGGATCAATTCCGGATAACCTGCGCAAGCTCATCAACAGCCCTGATCGACCAAAGGGTCCGCCGCCGCATTTCCATCAGTTTCAAACCGAGTACTTCCGTGTCGAGAGTGGAGTACTCGGGATTTCAGTGGATGGAGTTGTCCGCCGCATCACCCCGGAAGATGGAGAAATCTCGGTGAAGGCAGGCAGTGTGCATAATTTCTTCATTCATCCAGATTCCCCCGAGAGCATGACAGTCTACTTGAGTGCATCTGACTCCGGAAATGACTACCAGCTCGATCGGGTTTTCTTTGAAAACTGGTACGGCTATTGGCACGATGCATTGTTGCATGATGGAGGTATCGATTGGATTCAGTTCCTCGCAGTAAGTCTCTCTTCTCAGTGCATAATTTTCCTTGCCATCAGCTGACATGGTAGTAGATCCAAGACGGCGGGGATGCCTATACACCCGCTCCCGCATGGGTGCCCTTCCGTCGGCAGGTCGGATACTGGACCTGTGTAATCGTGGGCCGATGGATTGGCGGACTCCTAGGGTACAAGCCCTTCTTCCGAGAATATACTACGGATTGGGACTTTGCCGTTGCCAAGATGAAGGGTTCCTTCTTCCAGCGACATCTGGTGCATGCTGCATTCGAGGAAGAGAAACCCTGGGCGAAACAGGCAGAGCTGGAACCCAAGGCTAAGCCTGAAAATGCCGAGTTTGAGCCGTGGGTTGAGGATATGTCCCCCACACCATTGGCATTGGGTCCAGTGGCCTACGAGGAGGGGCAGTTCAAAGGCGCACAGGCCAAGTCGCTGAATGGGTCCAACGGTCACTCCACAGGGGTGGAAAGGAAGTTGGAGCAGTTGGGGTCTTCGACACAGCGACGAACAGTGGTCAACAATGCGGACAAGTAGAGAGAGATATGTGACATATTTTCCAAGACTTGAGTTCGAACCTTATTTCCCTTGGCTTCCTCGTAGGGCAAATACAAAATGAACTTCCAATTGACCAAAACCCTGTTCAGGAAGAAGGTTTGGGCAATGAAAAGAGTAAATCAGTGGTGACCCAAGGGGAGATAGCATGCCCCTGGGTGTATTAATTGTCTTCTAAGTTGTATTGCATGATGACGCCATATTTGTGAAGGTCGAGCTTATAGGTCTCATGGCAAAGCTCGTAGGGTCGTAGGGAAAATACAACGCCGAGGATTATTACAGATAGTAACAAGAAGGATGGGAATAATATGAATAGTAATAATAAGGAGAGCAAAGAGATACTAATAGTACTCAGGCTAGTTTCTGTTGCAGGCGAATCGCACAAAGTGGACGAGGATTTGTGTAGTATTCATCTTCAACGACTAATTCTTGACTGGAGGGATCCATGGGGAGGCATTCGCTTCCTTTTCTGCATGTCATGTCGAACTGATAGTTCCGTATAACTAGTGTAGTTGCCACCTGGACAATAATGACTCTCTGTAAGACAATGAAACTTTATATGCAATCCTGATGCGTCAAAGTCAACAACCTCAGGATACTGTATCCTTTACATATAATTTTACGACACTACATATGGATGTAGTATTATGTATATTATACTAGAACATCCTAAGGACTTTCGAAAATGGTAATGCAAGTTTACCCTTATTCTACGGCGTTGTCATTTATATTTCTAAAGTCAAAGGTTATATATAGGAAAGTCGTCTGCACAAATTAAGCGGCTTTCTTTTGGCCGTCAACCTACAAAACTGGCACAGCTAAAGAGAATGTATCTGAGGAGACCACTGAAAAGGCTACTCAAAGGATATCACAAGGCCGCTTATGCGGCCGACTATTCTTGTCCTCTTACATAGACTATCAAGTATAGACGGATCGACATCGTGCACTTGATGTCAATAGGGAATGTGAAACTGTCTATTCAGTTGAGGCTCCGATCGTACCTTACATCATTAAGGAGACATCGTTGATATTCTCTCGGTTGACAGAATGGGGTGTGCCCATAAATATTATATGCATACGTGAGATCTCTATACGAGCAGACTCCGATTCTCCTTTAGGAATCTTAAACCATCGCCCACTTAGCTGATCCCCCATCTCGAAAGAGGTAGTATCCCCGCTCCCCGCGTTGATGAGAACAATAAGTATGTATAGACAATATTTCTGCCCCGAGGAACAATTTTTGGCCATTTGTCAACACTATGGATATCCTACAGTTCGCACCAACGCATCTTCTGGCAATACTGCTTAGCAGTACCAGCGTATTGTTCCTGGTCACGTATCTCCTTCGTGCAGGACATCGACCCTCAGAACTACCGGACGGTATGTGGTTGCAGTGACGAGCCAAGACTTCATATCTAACTAGTTCACAGGTCCTCCAACCGTTCCACTTTTTGGAAATGAGCTGCAGGTGCCAAAATCAGATGCACATTTCCAGTAAAGACCAACCACCCTCCGTGATGTATCAAGGCAATGTGCTAAGTATTTCGTGTAGGTTCTCCAAGTGGGCCAAGCAATATGGCGGCTTTTTCACGCTCAAACGATACAACAACACCACCATTGTCATCAGTGACCAGAAACTCATCAAGCAACTGCTGGACAAAAAAAGCAACATATATTCTCACCGACCAGCGTCCCTAGTATCGCACCTTATTACGCAGAGTGACCATTTGCTCGTTATGCAATATGGTGAGCGATGGCGCATGCTGCGTAAAACCATTCATCAATACTTCATGGAGCCCCGCTGCGAGCGTGAACACTGGAAAGTCCAAGAGGCTGAAGCCAAACAGATGTTGCACGACTTTCTGACCATGCCAGAGGATCACATGCTGCACCCTAAACGGTACAGTAACAGTATCACCAACTCTCTTGTCTTTGGTATTCGTACCAAAACTGTCCACGACGAGTATATGAACAAGCTTTTCTACCTGATGGACAAATGGTCATTGGTGCAGGAGCTAGGCGCCACCCCACCTGTGGACTCGTTCGCTTTGCTGCGTTATGTCCCGCAGTGGCTGTTGGGTAACTGGCGCAATCGAGCGATCGAAGTGGGTGATCTAATGCAGTCGCTTTACAAGACCGTTCTAGATCAGGTTCGGGAGCGCCGCCAGCGGGGTATTCAGCGGGACTCCTTCATGGACCGAGTACTAGATTCAATGAAACAGACCCCACTCACGGAGAATGAGTTGCGATTCCTAGGAGGAGTTCTGATGGAAGGAGGGTCCGACACTTCCTCCTCGCTTATATTGACCATTATCCAAGCTATGACTAAATATCCAGAGGTGCAAGCGAAGTATGCCACTCGGATATTTTCTCCCCATCTGTTTCAGGAAAAGCGCTAATGGAGCAATCTCACAGGGCCCATGCACAAATCGACTCCATTGTCGGCCAGGACCGCTCTCCAGCTTGGTCTGATTGGCCTCGGCTGCCCTATATAAACATGATCATCAAGGAGTCCCACCGGTGGCGTCCCGTCAGCCCTTTGGGTGTTACTCACGCTGTCGCTGAAGGTCTGTCTTACAAAATCTTACAAATTTGAATGCATCTTTCGGCATTCCAGACGCCGAAGACCGAGAGAAGAGCGAAAGAACACATTGGCTAATAATATTTTCTAGATGACCACATCGACGGAAAACTCATTCCGCAAGGATCGAGCATCGTTCTCAATGTCTGGGGCATGCATCATGATAGTGATCGATGGCAGGAACCAGAGCATTTCCAGCCTGAACGTTTTGCTGATTTCCCGGCTTTAGCCTCGACCTACGCCGGCTCCGAGCGGAGGGATCATATTGGTTACGGAGCGGGCCGTCGAATTTGCCCAGGCATCCACTTAGCGGAGCGAAACTTGATCATAGGCATTGCCAAGTTGCTCTGGGCGTTCGAGTTTGTGGAGCCACCTGGCAGTGATAGTGACATTTCGGCCCACTCTGGAGCTAGCAAAGGCTTCCTCCATTGCCCCAAGGACTACGGATGTGCCATTCGCCTCCGTTCTCCGGAAAAGAGAGCGACCATTATGCGAGAATTTGCCGAGGCACAGGAGGTGTTCGCTCAATATGATTAGCTAGATTAGAGAATAAGCACTAGAATACGATTGACCCCTCCATTGGGGGAAAGTTGTTTGAGGGTCCATCGAAAGCACGTATATCCACTCCATGTACGTACATGTCAACGGCACTAAAACCCTATTTATTTGCAGATCATCCGTAATAGTGGATACATTTAATGTAAATGAAGTCCACGACTGGTGTAGCTTGCTTCGTAATTGTTCATTTATTGCCTCAATTAAACTCAGTACTTTGCTCATCAAGGAGTGTAAGATTTTAGTAGCAAGAAAGGCAGCAATGAAGGTCCTCATCCTCCATACTAGCAACTGAATCCCGACAAATTGGGCCGTTTACCATGGAATAAAAATTTGATCCCTGCAATCAATGCACATCGTATTTTGGAATCACAAACGGGCAACTCCGCATCTGCAATATATGCATGTCGCCTAGAGGAGTAGCGGAACAGCGGTCCTCACTCCGATTTCTTCACAGATTAAAGCTAATTTGTGAGATAAGGTGATCTACTCAGCACGCCTTCATGCTTGATTGGAGTTCACGGAGTCTCTGAAAAGGCGTGGGGGTGGATAACCTTTTGTGAAGAATATCCCTGCACGGCCGGAAGATATTATGGGATCCGAGCTCGAATTTAATATATTCATTTTCATTTCTTTGTCATCACTTACGAAACCATACAAGGGTCTTCTGTTTCATTAATAATCTTGATTTCATATCCCTAGATCTATACGGAGGACTAGGATAATGTTTGAGATTCATACAGGGTCTATAGAGAGTACAGATTCCCTGATTTTGGTATATATATCAAAAACTATATATATCTACTTATATGGAGTCTGAACTTTCCAATATCACTTGGGAGCGAGGGCCGGATTATGTCCCGGGGCAAGGTAAGATCTGCTGTCTACGGAGAGTGTATAGGGAAAAGACGGGATACGAAGTTCAACTCGGGATTCATCAATCTAGAAATGTCTAGAGTCGTCTATTCTTATCTGGCTAAGTTGGTCCAATGGTGCAATTTACGCTTATTATTTCCCTCTTTAGGGTTAGGCATTATCTGAATGAGAAGTGGCAAATCCTTTGGCCTTGGAAGAACTGATGAGATGACACACTAGTGAGATTATGTGCATTTAGGTAGTATCCGGGCTTATTCCGAAAATATTTTTGTTTCTCTTTTTGAATGCAAGTCTCAATTCTGTGCAGAAAACCCTATGTTATGTACTTTTGTCAGATCTGACACCTCAGGCATCAACTTGCCAACGCATCTTGAAGGTTTTCTTTCACAATATACTCTCTTTCCCATCTCCCATCTGGAAAGGAAATTACTTTTAAGGTTCCGACCGCCATTTGGAGTCAAACTGGTGTGAATCTGACTTGAATCTGACCTCTTTTTGTCCGATCCGCCATGTACTCCACTTTCTCCGCCAACTTCGATACCACGATCGATGCCTCCCGTGAGAGGTCAGCCACGCCCATCACAGCTCCACGACCAAAGCGCAACCAAGTTGCTCGTGCTTGTGACTGGTGTCGTCTGAATCGTGTTAGATGCGATGACAAGCAGCCATGTCAGAACTGCTTGAATCGAGGAGGTACCTGCAGCAACACAAAGCCACAGGAGGCCACCTCGCTCCCGGCTGCAAACCGGTAGGAAATCATCCCACCCTCAGTATCATATCGTGATGTAAATGGCTTGCTAAAGTTGTATATATTTAAAAAAAAACAGAGAGTTACAACGACTACGAAATAAAGTCAAGGACCTTCAGGATCAGGTCGAGAAACTCAAAGATAGAACGGAAATCCAACCGACGGGATTCGCGACGCCACCACTGTCAGATGCTGCACACGGTTCGTTTGACTTCGGGGAGCTCACAAATACCACGGAAGGATGGCAAGGCGTCCAGCAGGCGGGGCAGATTTACTACGGACCTTTGTCGTCCTCATATTTTGTCTCCCGAATCACTCGCCATCTCTCCGAAGCACTCAACGAACCACCGGAAAACACCAAATTAGAGGCATGCGTGGCGCGCTTTTATGATAGTGCTCCGACCCAGCAACCGTCTAGATGGGTTGGAACCCCGGCCAGCCAGTTGGATCAGAACGCGGACGGAAATGACGAGGCCGAGGATCTGACCCGCTCACAAGAGGAACACTTCCTCAATCTGCTATGGCAGTCCTTCCATTGTGTCTATCCCGTCCTCTCCGAACGCGAGTTCCAGGAGCATTATGAGTCATTATGGGCTAATTCCACGCCTGGTGAAATGTCTACGCGGAAGCCATCCGCCTTAGTTGATGTGTTGTTAGCAGTCTGTATGCAGTACAGCAGCACGTTCTTCGTCAATGGAGACAGTCAGCAGGAGGATCCGGATGCTGGATGGCAGGCCAAACACGCGAATGCAGCCAGTCGAACTTACTACCAGAGGGCCCAGAGACTTCTGCAAAGTGAGCTCGAAACTCCAACCATTATGCTCGTGCAAAGTCACATTTATTCGATTGTCTACTTGTACAACACATCTATGCTAAATACGGCGCATATCAACTTGGGTGCCACACTGCGAATCGCCCACGCGCTGCGGCTGCATATTCGCCCACTAGACGGGACCTCGTCCGAACAGCAGGAGCTACAGCGCCGGATTTGGTGGACGCTCTATCGAATTGACAGCCAGCTCTCGATGACCCTGGGCCGGCCGCCCCTCATTCAGCTGTCCCATGTCAGCTGTGGACTACCCGGAGACGATCAACAGCACGCCCGGCTATCCGGCACAGTTCTTCTGTCGAATCATGAGGACATCAGCTGGCTCAGCTTCCATGTCCAGTGCACGAAGCTCACGTTCCTTGTTCAGGGTGTACAGACAGCATTACATCGGAAATGTTCCCAGTTGCTCAATGGGGATAAGTCGAAGGACATCTACGATGACCGAGCCCTCCTCGAGAATTTGGCCGAGTTTTTGGAGCGGGAGATGACAACCATTCATAACTGGGTGCAAAATGTGCCGCAGTCTTTATGTAATCCCCGGAAGGGCGCGGGAGACCCTTTCTCCACCAATCGGGACGCATTAAATCTTTCCCCGTACATCCCTCTCTGGCTGCAGCGCCAACGACTCCTACTAGAGCTCCACTATCACCATCTTGTGATTTCGACACTGCGTCCCTTTATCCGATTCCCTCCCGTGAGCTCCTCCGTGACCCCACGAACCGACGGTCACAATATCACCTGTCTGAGCCACGCTATGGCGATCACCAGTATCCTAAACCAAGTACTGTCTGAAACGGATCTCCTACGCGGCTGGTCACCCATATTCCAGTACCAGTGGGATGCCATCCTGTGTACCCTAGGCTTTGTGCTCGCTAATGCCGTGTGTCCCCCAACGCCTTCAGCCCGTAAGTCGCTGCAGACGGCGGTTCGCACACTGGACCTCGTAAGTGATCACTTCCCGGCGGCCAGAAACGCGGCGCAGGTCGTCCGCGATGTCAGTTGCCAGGCCGATCGGCTCATAGCCAACGTCCAACAAGGCCTGACCCGACGACAAACCCCCCGCCCTAGCCAAGCCTTGTCCACTAGATCCCAGAATTCCAGGCCGCAGTCGAGCCAGAGCTTCGCCACGCCCGGGCCACCTAACTCGCTCAAGCGTGCACTGCCACCGACTACCCTGGAGGTGTCACCCCATCAGCCAATGCCTAACTTTGAAGCGCGCATGCAATTAATGGACATGATGCCTATGGGGTCATTACCAGAACTATCACCTTCTTTGGTGACGACGGAGTCTATGTCCGGTGTGATGCCTGTGACGTCTGCTGACATGGTCACTGGTACTGAGGCTCAGTGGCTACATGCTAGTGCGATGATACTGGACTCCTGGACGACTAGCTCATGATTAAACGTGTATTTCCTTTGCTGCTCTTGATTCTTTGGTGTTTTTGCCTTTACATTTTGTCTTAAAAGTACCGCCCTATCTAACTCTAATTCATAGTCCGTAGCCAAGCAGCAGGATCTGTTAGGTGGAGAGAAATGGAAAGGATACAAACTGGATCGGTAGCTTATTTACATATTTAGTGAATTGAATTCTTTTTCCTACTAGAAGTATTTGGCAGGCTACTCCCTATTTTAATGTGTATACTGGTTTCCTATTCATATACGAAGAAGGTACGTGCGAATACTTTTTTACCAAGCATTTTCCTAAACTACTCTTTTATATCAAGGTCTTGACAAGTTCTATATGAGAAACTTGAGTTCCATCATGACCCTAAAGGTTCTATCGGTCTCATCCAACATCTCGTCGTGTCAATTCATCCAATTCATCCAATTCATCCAATTCATCCAATTCATTCAATTCATTCTGGTGGCCTGGCACAAACGACCACCATCCTCAACTTGCCAGTCTTCACTGCCCACTGCTGTCGTAGCATAGAACGTCTGGAACGGATCATATTTCTTCTTGATCGCGTACAATGAATTATAGTTGCGACCGTAAAAGGTGTGTTGCCAATTTGGTTGTTGGGGATCAGCCTAGGTGATAGATAGTTAGCTAGTGATTTCCAAATCAGGAATGTATTTCTCCTTGCCTCGCTCATATAACAACCCGAATCTGGACTCAGGTCGGTTAGGAGCGGCACCCATTTTGTCGTCATTTGATTTGCCAGCGTTTTCATCTCAGCGAGGTTGGCACCGGCGGGCCAGTTCCTGTAGAGTCAGTGAGTATATTGAAACAAAGTCAACCATCACGTCAAGGATGAGAGCGTACGTAGATAATATGACAGTCATTGCTGCTGTACGCCATGCAGGATGAACTGAATTCCACAAATTGCCGGTCACAGATGACGAGACATTGAGACCAATGCCCACGAAGATAGCCCCATCCTCGGTGATTTTCCGGACCGCATCCGTGAGCTGAGTGTTATTATTCTGAATGACATCAAGCGGAAGAAGACGACCACCGTATTGAGCGTTTTGCACCAGTTGAGTCGGGTTGGGCTCGATCAGTTTCATATAATGCTGGAAATACGAGGCCGACTGGGTGATGTTCAGTGTATAAGAGATGTTCAGCCCACGCAGATCATCCAAAAATGGTGCCAGCAATTTCTTTGCGTCAACTGCTGTAAGAGCAGGCAGTGTCAGTGGGGTGAGCAAGAACGAGGAGTTTGTGATTTGTGCAATTCCCATCCCACCAGCCGCAGTATATGTAGGCAGGTGACGATGGTAGTGGCCTACGGCTTGGAAGAAACGGTCCGACGTGGGATTTTTGTTCTTGAATTCAAGAACGACGCCTGTGACGGGGAAGTCGGGAAACGCTTTGACGGTCATGGCGTACACGACGCCATATGTCCCGCCTCCACCTCCGCTGAGAGCCCAGTACAAATCTGGGTTCTCGGTGGGCGATGCAGTTAGTAATCGTCCCATTCCATCTACCACCTCCCATTCCAGCACCTGGTCGGCTCCAAGACCGAACCGAGAGCTCAGAGCTGAGTGGCCTCCTCCTTGCGTAAAGCCCCCGACGGGGCCGACAGTGGCACATTCCCCGCCTACGATTACCAGGCCTTTTTTATGGGCCGCCTCGTTGATGTCTGTACCTTGGATACCCGCGGTCATCCGGACCGCTGGTCCTGTGTAGTGCGGGCTGGTATAGTTCAGGAAGTTAATATCCTTGGCATAATGGGTCCAGATGGATAGTGCGCCTGCACCTGTTGACTTTCCCGCATAACTAGGACAGATTGTTAGCGAGGGGATATGTCTTTCGTACCGGAAGATATATACTCATGGCCTGTGTTGCGAATGACGAGACGAATGTTTCGTTCCTGGGAGAATCGAATGGTTTGGATGAAGTCGTCTGGGGAGCTGGCGTTGACGGCATAGCGCACCATGGCACCCAGCTTGCAGGGCTTTGATTGGGGACCAAAAGCATCGCAAGTTTCGTTGGCCACGGCGGCTGCCATGATGGAAGAGGATGATGCATCGCTATTGGAGGGGATTGATTTAGCAGGCCAGTGATGAGGCTGGTTGGATAGGTTGGATTACTTACTGGATCTCTGGATTGGTCCACTGCTCTCTCAGAGCACGACACTCACTGGCAGAATAGAATGGGTCATGACAGGGCTGTCCCAGTGGTTGCGTGTCCACTAGACGTCCGCCAATCGATGTATTGAAGCGTGCCCAGTCATCTAAGGACGGCCAACAACTATCACCGGGCATACATCGGCAGCTCGAGGACAGGCCGGCAGACACCTGCGAAACAGACAAGATGCCTGACAGGAGAAGACGTGGGGACCAATGAAGACGCATTGTGAAGATGAGTCTAGCAACTCTGAGATCTAGCTGCTTTGCATACTCCGATATGGCCAAACAGCATGTTCTTATAGTTTTCCTTGGAGCTTGTTGTCACAGTCAATTCCTCGGACCCATGAAAATGACACTCAGCTGTCTGACACCCCCCACCATGTGAGAAGTGGATATTTCTTGAAGGCTTGATGACGTCCCGGATGGGGAAGCATATTCTGTCTCCGATAGCTGCTGTTTCTAGGCTCGTTGTTCACAATGTCTTCTTGTTGGCTCCAATGATGACCCTCACCTTGGTCCCACTAGACTTCTCGACTAGTATTACCTGCATGATACCTTTCAGGCTCCGAGACCAGAACTCCGATGGTAGCCTCCCGTTCCTCGGAGAGCGATTTGGAACAACGTTTCTGGAAGTTGGATCATACCTGACACCCTGATGGTTAACCTCTACTGTCTAAATTTATATCACACCATATATTTTCGGATCACTCCTAACTTGACATTTGGTGGTGCATGAAATATATATCTCCCTCGGTTGACTAACGGTTATATATAAAGAGAATAGTAAACATCACCACTATTGTAGTGCCATATAGAACTGTGAAGACTAAAAGGCTGACCGAGAAATCCTAACGAAAGATGTATATGGTGTATGTCTTCGCCCTTTATTGGCATACTAAAATACTTAGACAGTAGCCTACTGTGGGAATATGAGCGAGAGGCGAAAATCGCGATTTGGTTAGTGATTGGGGTGTCAATGGACTTTTAGCATTATATGAATTATTGTCTAGATATATCTCATTTTGCTCCTATGAAACACTGTTTGAACGTCTCTATTTAGTCTCTGCTCTGGGTTGGAGGAGAATACTAATCTAGATATGCCCGTTGGAAAAAGACGATTCTTGGGTTTAGAAAACAATATCATTGCTCATAGCTCATTCTGAGTTCTAAAATCTAAAATTGGGTGCCAACGTGAATTCCGCCATCAACCAACATATTCGTGCCAGAAACGAAGCTGGCTAGAGGACTCGCCAGGAAAACTGCGACAGCGGCCACCTCTGTCGGCCCGCCCAACCGCTTCAGAGGAACCTTCAGTCGCTGTTCCTCCACCCACTCGGGGTTGATCTTTGAATAGAGTTCCCAGGGACCACCCTTGCACAGAATAGGTCCCGGTGAGATAGCATTGACGCGGATGCCCTTCGGGCCTAAGAAGTGGGACAATTCCTGAACATGCTGCAGCTGTGCTGCCTTGCAGGGCCCGTAGGCAGCCGGAGGGGACCGATAGAATTCCCGTCCCATAAAGGAGCTCTGAACGATGATGGATGCCTGGGGGGACTTTTCCAAATAGGGAGTGGCGGCCCTGACTAGCTCAACGAAGCCCATAACATCGATCGCAAAACTGCTCTCCCAGTGCTCAGTCTCGCCTTCCATGTGCATTGGTGATGCTATAGCTTGTCAGTATGCTTTTAAACCAGTGGATTCTGGGAAAATAACTTACCATTGGCGATAATCACATCAATTCGTCCGAGTCGCTCGGCTGAGCTCTCGACCCACTGGACGATGGCGTCTTTGCTAGCAACATCGAATGCCGTGCCTACGGCGCGGGCGGTATTGCCCTCAGGGAGTGTCGCATGGAACTCATCAAATTCCTTATTGGTGACTGTCCGGGCACAGTACGACACATTGGCTTCCTCCTCTAGGAATTTGTGTACCATTGCCTCTCCCATACCCCGTGTGCCTCCTGATTCCCATATTAGTCGGATGCAGCTTGATATAGCTTACTTATTCTTCTCACCTGTAATGAGCACATGGGCACCTTTGAGACCAGTTGTGAGAACCATAATTGCGAATAAATTTGAAAGTTGAAATTGGGAGAAGAAACAAAGGGAGTTGAAGAGGCGAAATAGGTTCCGGATCCCATCGGACTTTGTAGTATTTGATTTATAGGATTGAGATAATCGGCTCTTAGACCCTTTTGGACAAATAAAACTACCGAATTTCTTCTCCGAGCCACAAGAAGCCAACACTTACCCGATTGGGACTGTCTCCCAAACTCCGAAACTCCTTTTAGGAAATCACATATATTTACATCCGGCCTCGAAAGGAGGTATCAGGAGTTGAGATATTGTTTTTATTTCTTTATGAATCCATTATTTGTACCCTTTCTAGTCCGCAATGTGATTCTCGCACGGTAGGGTTGTGATAGTTTTGCTTCCCATCTCCATAATGGTAGATAATTATCATTCGTCGCTGGACGGGGCAAAGACACCTATCCAGTCCGATGGATCAGTGCAGAAGTCTGACTTGGTTGAGACCGATGGACCGTCCTCGGCATCGTCACAGATCGCAGCTCCAACGGAGTCAATCGCAGACAGCGTTCGAAACTTCCTTGAGATACGCCAGGGCAGCATTCCAGATGATACCGGTGTGATATTTGACAACATATCAGCCGTGGGAAGTGGAACTGGAGTAAGTATCACTGGTTCCAATCGAGATTCCTTACTAGGAAGCGATTTGATTAATGCTTGGTAGTCACAAGATGCACCCACTGTCACGTCGGCGGCTCAATCAGCCTTTGGGCTGTTAAGTCCTCTGCAAAACAGACAAAGAAAGCAGTATTCCCGACCCATTCTCAGCGGATTCTCAGGCACGATAAACTCCGGAGAAATGTTGCTGGTATTAGGTAAACCGGGGAGTGGATGTACAACTTTCCTGAAGACACTGTCAGGTCTGTGGGATGAATATAAGGAGATACAGGGTGAACTCACTCTGGGTGGCCATCTGTTGCAAGATGTTATGGCACAGCGGCCACAAGATATTCTCTTCTGCGGTTAGCCCTCGCTTATTGCTGTTTTGTCCTTTGAGAAACATACTGATTCCTCCATTAGCCGAGTCCGATGACCACTTTCCTACATTGACCGTCGCGGAGACCCTGCGTTTTGCAACCAGAGCACGATGCGGCCCCAACGTCTCAGCTCGTGAGATTGACACAATGGTTGCTCAGCTGGCCAAGCTAGTCGGTCTTTCAAATGTCCTGAATACCAAGGTGGGAGATGCGAAGATTAGAGGAGTGAGCGGTGGAGAGCGACGGCGTGTGTCTCTCGCGGAGGCCCTAGCCACCTGTGCCCGGTAAGTGGTCCCTTGTGCTCAAGTACCAATAGTGATTCATCGGCTAATACATCCTCACAGTCTGATCTGCCTGGATAATCCAACACACGGACTGGACTCGTCCACAGCGGTCGAATTTATGGAAATGATGCGCGAGTGGACGACGCAAAGTCGATGTGTGGCCGCGATGAGCGTCTATCAAGCCAGTGATGCCATTGTTTCCTACTTTGATAAAGTACTAGTGATCAACTCTGGTCGCCAGATCTACTACGGCCCGGTGCAGGAAGCAAAGGCATATTTCGAAGATCTCGGGTTTGAGTGCTTATCAACCACCACTATTGCCGACTTCCTCAATGTCATGTCCGCTGATCCAGACGTGAGACGAGCCCAGGAAAACAAAGAAAACCAGGTTCCACGAACAGCGGAAGAGTTTGAGCGTGCGTTCAGTGCGAGTCGCATCTACCAGGAAATGCAAACGTCAGTTCAGGTGGCCAAGGAGCGATCCAAAGCTCACCCCAGTGCCCTTGTCAAAGCATCATCTTTTGCTCTACCTATCTGGCACCAGATTTGGTACTGTGCCAGCCGCCAATTTCGCATCGTCACCAGTGATTATAGCTTGTGGGCGGTGGAGCTCACCACCATCGTCATCCAGAGTATAGTATTGGGTACACTGTTCCGGAACCAGCAGCGAACTACAAATTCCCTGTTTATCTTCGCATCTTCCTTGTTCTACTCCGTCCTAGTGCCCGCCCTGCAGTCCATGGCGGAATTCGGTAATGGATTTGCTCAGCGGCCGCTCATCCTGAAACAGAAACGATATCAGATATCTCGCCCGATTGCCTACGCGCTTGGCCTGGTCACGACGGATGTCGTATGGAAGGTAGCAGCGATCTGTTATAATATCCCCTTATACTTCTTGACTGGATTCCAACGGACCGCTGGGAACTTCTTCACCTGGTTTTTGATTATCTACCTGGAGCATCTCGCCTTGTCTATGTTCTTCCGCTCTGTCGCCATCTTCTCTCCCAACATGCATCGAGCCGTGCTCCCGGTGGGAATTTTCTTTAACATGTATGTCCTTTACACGGGATTATACGTGCCTGCACCACAGATGCAAGTATGGCTCGGGTGGTTGCGATATCTAAATGTCAGTGCAGACCGTACCATATGATTTGGATTAACCACGCTAACATATCACAGCCCCTATATTACGCATTTGAGTCTGTGATGGTAAATGAATTCAGAGACCTGAGCTACCAGTGCAGTGCCTCAGATCTAGCCCCAGCAGGGCCAGGATATACCGACATGGCCAATCAGGTCTGTACTGTAGTAGGATCGCAGCCTGGGAATAGTCTCTTGTCCGGGGCTTCATACATTCGTGCCCAGTACGGATTCGAAACCTCCCACCTCTGGCGGAATGTAGGCATTAACGCTGCCTTGTTCATATTCTTTGCCCTTTGCTCTGGGTAAGTCACCAAATACTGAACCCTAGTCCTCTAAGAACCTCAAGACTGACACTTTAAATTTGAACAGAATCGGGATGGAGATGCTGAAAACACCTGCGGGTAAATTGGCTACCGTATTTTATAAGAGCGGTCCACGAGGAATACATCGCCGTGATAAAGTCGATAGCGAAACTGGACCAGTCCGTGAGACTGTGGAGATATCTGGTGGCCAAATCAATGGCGAACATCGGTCACAAGAACACCAGGACTCTGACAAGAGCCACAATCTTGCATGGACTAATCTTTGTCTCGACATCAAAACCAAGGATGGCGAGCAACGTCTACTGAACAATCTGAGCGGCTCAGTCAAAAGTGGACAACTCAAGGCTCTCATGGGAGTTTCGGGTGCCGGAAAGACAACCCTGCTGAATGCACTTGCCGGTCGTTCCATCGGCACTCTCACAGGAACACTGGCGCTCAACGGTCAAGTGCTTCCCACATTCTTCCGAAGTCGAATGGGCTACGTTCAACAGCAGGACATTCATCTTCCCACCCAGACTGTGCGTGAGGCATTGCAGATGACAGCGCGACTTCGACGCCCAGAGTCCATATCTGTAGCAGAAAAGAATGCCTACGTCGAGAAAGTGATCGAATGGCTGAATATGGAACATATTGCGGACGCCCTTGTCGGTGTCCCAGGGGCCGGACTCAACCTTGAACAACGGAAGAAAGTCAGTATTGGCGTGGAGATGGCATCAAAACCAGAGATTCTCTTCCTGGATGAACCGACTTCTGGTCTCGATGGTCAATCTGCTATGTTGATTGCTCGCTTGCTTCGTCGTCTAGCAGACTCGGGTCAAGCTATCCTGTGTACGATTCATCAACCGGCAGCCGAGCTCATCGACCAGTTTGACAAGTTGTATCTGCTGAGCCGCGGAGGTAACTTGGTTTATGATGGTCCCTTGGGACCCCGCTGCCATGAGGCAATCCAGTATTTCCAGCCACGGAGTCGCCCCTGTGGCCCGGAAGAGAACCCAGCAGAGTATTTTCTGTCGGTAATTGGTGCTGGGTCTCGAAACGACGCCCATATGGACTGGGCTAGTCTCTGGAATGACAGTCAGCAAGGCAAGGAGCGAGAGAAGGTGGAACAGAGCCTGGTCCCTGCCGTACAACAAGCACCAGCGCTGGAGCAACAGTCCTTATATTCAGTGCCGTTCCATGTACAGCTGTGGGTGGTGGTTCAGCGAACGTGGCTCTATTACTGGAGAGAGCCTGATTATGTCACGTCAAAGCTCTGGATGAGCGTCGGCAACGCCCTGCTCAACTCCCTCACGTACCTGCAGTCCCCTAACACGGAGCGAGGAGCGTACAATCGGGTCTTCTCTGCCTTCATGTCACTCATTGTTGGCCCCCCGCTAGGGTTGCAGGTGCAACCGCGCTTCGTAACTCTACGGGATATCTTTGTCCACCGGGAGCGGGAGAGCTTAACATACCACTGGATGGCGTTTGTCTTGGCTGCATTTATTGTGGAATTGCCCTTCACGTTCCTCAGCTCGCTTGTCTATTGGCTATTGTGGTACTTCCCCGTTGGCTATTTCTATGCCCCCTCGCGCGCAGGATACAGTTTCCTCATGTACGAGCTCTTTGGTGTGTTTGCCACCAGTCTGGCTCAGCTGTGCGCATCTCTGATGCCTAATATCGAGGCAGCCTTTGCGGCCAACGGATTCTTCTTCATGTTCTGCAATACCTTCGCGGGTACGCTTTCACCAAAGCCGGTGACACCCTCGGGCTGGCGCTGGTTTTACAACATCTCCCCTCTCTTCTATCTGGGTGAGGGCGTTACTGTGGACGTATTGCAGGATTTGCCCATCCGATGCGATGAGTCCGAGGTTTCAATCTTCCACGCGGCGAATGGCACCACCTGTGGTCAATACGCCCAAGAGTTCTTGAAAAGTGCCACAGGATATCTACTCAACCCCGCCAGCACGGCAGATTGTCAATACTGTCGGTACCGTGATGGACAATCATACGTAAGTAGTTCTATTCAGAGAGGAAGTCAAGACAATCTGGAAACTAATCATTCACTAGTACCAACAATATGGTTATGAGTTTGCTCATCGGCATCGAAACATTGGCATTTTCATTGGGTTTATTGCATTCAACTTCACCATGGTTCTGGTTATGACCTATCTCACCAAAACGCGCCGTCAGTGATGGAAAGATAGGATCTACTCTGCTGTAGCCCTGGGCTACAGAAAATTTTGTTTCGGGGGTGGTTTTCTCGTTAGATAGTCAAAGGGTTAGAAAATTACAGAATAATAGAGAGATATAAATTTGGATAACCTATTTTTCTTTGGATTATTCGAGTATCACTCTCAGTCACATTATCCTGTTCTTAGCTGTATCGAACTCTACTCTACGTTTTACTGTCAACGAGGACAAACATGGCATGTACTACAGCTCCGACTTGCAAATAGCCTTTTTAGAGATAGTCGTTTCTCCGCACGTAGCTAAATGGGGAAATGGAACTATACCGACATGGGAAGTGAAGAATCCCTACCATGATGGGCTTCCTTGGCCAATCTGGTTTGAGCACAACCCCGACTTCTCCATGGAGTAAGCCACAACATCTGATACCAAGAAGCCTTGGCTACCAAGACCTCATTGGTCTTGGCTCAGCGGATTGCGGGACAAACCTGTATTTAGATGACTGTTTCTTCAGGGAATTTGGGGTATTGGCAACCTTATTATAAGATCAGAAGCCCTCTTTTCCTTCAACCTGTGGTCTTCTTCCTAATCAATCAATACCTTCTGTTTGCCAATCCAACGCAAAGCGATATGAAAATGTCCGCCGAAGGAACAGTTATGCCCGCCTCAGAGGAGGGTCAGCTAAGCTATGATACCTCATCCTCTCAGCCCAGAAACAGCAAGGAACAAGACTTCCAACCCACCCCACAGATTGGCAGCCCAGTAAAGTACCCCTCTTCTCACTCGGGATTACAATGTCTAATTATGACTGTTCCTAGACTGCTTTGGGAATGGGCGCTTTCGCAATTGCCTTTACCACCTTATCAATGAGTCTTATGGAGTGGCGAGGTGCAGCCATTACCAATGCCTATATTGGTAACTGCTTTTTTACAGCAGGCCTGGGTTTGGTTTTAGTCGCCCAGTGGGAGCTCGTGCGCGGGAATTCCTTTGGCCATACTGTCTTTGGAGGGTTCGGTGAGCATCCCCTTCTTCATCTTGCAATCTCATGCATTAAGCGGTATCTAACGTATCTCCCTCCCGCCCAGGCTTATTCAACTTGGCTTTTGGTGCAATCAATGCACCAGCCTTTGGGGTGGCGGAAGCCTTTAAAAATGACCCGGCCGCGTTGAATAATGCAATTGGCTATTTCTTACTCGGTAAGTCCTTCTGCAGATATTTTTTTCTTTTCCTTTCCCTTCGCTGAGGTTTTGGCTGATATGACGTTATAGTATGGGGTATATTTGTTCTGTTCTTTACCATTGCCGCAATGCCAATGTCAGTTGATACATTTATATGCACAGATGCTCCGTCTGAAAGGGTTGTCGCAGCTGACCTGGAATAGGAACTTTGTGTACACGGCCATGCTAGGAACCTCTCAAATTACATACACAGTGTTGGCCGCCTCGTATTTCTCGTTTGCCGACGATAATGTGTCAACTGGAGTCGCCCTGAAGAAGGCCGCAGGTGCATTCGGGTTCGTCTCGGGTTTGTTCGCCTGGTACACGGTCGGCCACCTGATGTGTCAGGATGCGCTCCTATTCTCGTTCCCGTTGGGCGATACGAGTCCCTTGTATGCGCGCTTGCGGCGCCAGAAGAGATATTGAAGAGTATCTTCAGCAAGAGACCAGTGTTTGAGGGGGTGATGTTATCTCGAAAGGCCTAGTAGTGTGTGAGGAGAGCTAGCTTTGGGGGTTGGGATCGACTTGACGTGACGAGAGTAATTGTGGGATCCGATGAAAGTCATCGCGTTGTTGAATAGAATGCTATGATCATCTGCTACGATGAACAGATATAAATTCTATACAGCATGTGTTAAAGTTGGACTCTTGCAAGATGTAGTGTATACCGGAAGTGTAGTATAAAACGGGAACCGTAAAAGCATCTTGCCTTTTATTTTTATTTTTGTTTTTGTTTTTTTTCTTTGAGATTCACGTATACTGATATAAGAATTCCCTTTCTACCTCTGTCCATACCCCCTTAAGCTCTAAAGAAAATGATCGCAGATTCGGCCGGTGAAAGGGACTACATATAGGCGGGATTAAAATTCAACCCTTCGATGCGGCATTATTTAGTCTATAAAACAATTGCATAGGAGATCAAACTGCATCGGGAGTGCTGAGCCCGGAACCAATTAGGGTTACTATGTACGATTGAACGACATGGGAATCGATGAGAATCAACTGCAATTCTCAACACTAACCTAGCGAGAGTAATCAATCTCCCGCTAGCATATATTTGAATGTTGATCTCTGGCTAGATATGATTATATACAAGGAGTAGAGATCATCATTATTTCGAGCTGAAACGCGCTCCAACATAACTGTATAGACGAATCCGTTACGCTCCCCCGCGGGCTTTATCAAAACTCGACCTGCTGCCAGTACACACATCGGTCGGTATTGGTCGAGTCTGGTTTGATGTGCACCCCGTCATCTGCCAGAGAAAGCAGATCGGCTTTTTCGTGATAGAGAGGCACCTCAGGGTCTCCCCTGGCATTTGGGTTCCCCGTCTTGACAAACTGCACGATCTGACGCTGCATGAGTTGTGCGATGGTGGCATTCAGCGACGCGCTAGAGCCCTGTCCATTGTAGAAGACAGACGTGGTGTCAGAAAGATGCATCGCGGGTGGCACAGCGTACTCGATCGAATACCCTGGCGTTGCCACTGCTTCGTGTAAATAACGGGTGTTGCAGGAGGTGGAGAGCTCGGACCAGAAAAGATTTGCGCGTTCATGCTGACTGCGATACGGCTGGCTGCCATCAAAGATGGGTGGGTAGAGAACCTCTGTGGTGTGAGCGCATACGCTGGCATTGGCACCTCGAAGCAACACATCCACGTATCGGTTAAAGGTGACATCGTCAGTAACATTGGCTGGGGCCAACATAAAGCCTTCGTTGGAAGTATGTGAGGTAAGGATTCGGACTGAGGGATCGACCTTGCGCTCTAAAAGGAGTCGCTTGGGGCTATCGGGTACAAAGTCTCCATCAATGGCCTATGATGAATAACAGACAGTCTAGTCAGTCTTTGAATAATAAACAAACGCACAATAAGGGAAATAGCTACAGGGGGTACTCACAGGCCCTAACACGCCAGACGCATATGGACGGGACGCCACCAGCTCGTAGTTAGCATCTAGCAAGGCCTGGGTCGGCAGACGTCGGGCCTCCTCCAAGCTGGTGACATTCAACAACGCCAGGAATGTATCCAACAGGTCGTCCTCGACAGCTGAAGTCTTTGTACCCGGTTCCCAGGCTGGGCTTTGTGCAATGATCTGGGCAAATGGAGGGCTAATGGCACGTCCGTAAGCCGTCAGTTGCATCATGATTGAGCCCCCACCGGCCGAGACACCCATTACGGTGACACGCGAGGGATCACCGCCGAACTTTGCAATGTGTCGTTGCACCCATTCCAGCGCCAGACGTTCATCATATAGCCCAGCGTTAGGTACACCCCCTGCCGACTTAAACTTCTGGCCTGAAAGCCATCCAAATGCGCCCAGCTGGTTGAAACAATTCCCAAATAAGCCACTGAATGAGAAGACTAATGTGTACGGGGAAGAGAAGGAGACCACATACTCGATAATTGACTCCGACATAGATTATGCCGGGGGATCCATTTTCCCTGCTGGCTTTGATCAAGCCGAATGGGTTTTGATCGGACTTAGAGCCGGACACATAGGCTCCGTCCTGGAAGTACACCAACACGGGCGCACCATGCTTGGGTTTTCCATTGCCTTGTCGTCGCTTAGCAATCACACTTTCTGGGACGTAGACATCAAGGAATAGGCAATCTTCCGATTCCAGAGGATTCCGCTTTGCGACGGGTGGCGGCTTGGTGCAGCGATCCTCTTGATAAACCTTGTCATATGCGGCGGTGAAATTAAAATCAGCGCCTGCGTTCACGGCACTGACAAATGCACCTTGTACATTGAACCAACAAGCCTGGGATTGGGGACAGATATTACCAAGTCCCTTGCCATTGACAACCTCCTGACTGCGATTGCGTGGGGAGACGGGCAGCGCAAACCGCAATTCTCCTAACGGGGGCTCGGCATAGCGGATATTAGAGAATTGGTAATAGCGACCGGTTGACTAAGTATCACATTCACATGATTAGGGCGATTTCTAAGCCTTTCATTTGTTTTTTCTCACAGGTATGAAACTCACGTTAAAGCCAATAGCTTGATGGCGCTGATAACCAAGGTCCACAATCGGCAACTCGGCTGCCACAGCAGACCCTGCAGCCAATAACAGACAGGCCAAATCAATGATCTGCATCGGGAATGAATTACAATGAATTCCAAAAGTTTCTTGTATTTCAGCATTTAGGATTTTCTTCAGTCTTATTCAGTTATATATGTGGAGCATATGTGTGAAAGTACTCCGTAGATCACTCTAAATAGTAAGAAACAATAAGAGAGGCTAAAAGGGGACTCGAAATAATATTCCGTTTACGAAGTGATCCTTTCTCTCGAGCTGCATACCAAGGTTCTATCCAGAGATTATAGCTAATCACGTTCCATGGTTGGAACCTGCAAAATCTTGGAACCGATTAGAAATTAACAGAGCGGATCCATGGATGCAGGTGGGCCCACTTGATTACCTTTAGAGTCGGATTAGGTGAGCTCGGGAGCTCCCGCTCCGAGTCCAAAAGGAGATTCGGAGTTGGTTAGTAAAACGGTAAGCTGTGGTTGGTCAGATACCAACCTGACAAACATGAATGTCCCAAAGGAGTAATGCATTGTCACGAAAATCTCCTGTTCCAGCACTGCTCACACTTAAATAACCAGGCGCGGTCGGGAAAAATGGGACCTCAATACTTTCAACAACCTTCTACAGCGGCTATCTATACTGCTGCCTTCCATTTTTACTTTATCGCGACTCCATTGGGCAGGTACCTAGAAAGCTAATTCCCCAATCAGCTGACTAAGTGTCGCTTGATTCGCTTCCCACCATGAGTATAGACAATTCTCCAAGTACGAGCGTGCTCGAAAGTCAAACGCCAGATCGCGTGGACGAATCACTTCCGATCCAAGCCGGGGATGGTGAGAAGGATGTCGTCCAGGAACGGAATATTACGGGCTTCCGCTGGTTGCTCGTCTGTATCGCCGTGTTCTCAGCCAATCTGCTCTATGGTTTGGATAATACCATTGTGGCCGATATCCAGGGTCCTATTGCAGGTGACTTCGACGAGTATACCCGGCTAGGTTGGCTCGGTGTGGGCTTCACCTTAGGATCGGTAGTTTTCATTCTCCCGCTGGGCAAGGCTTACGCTATCTTCGACACAAAATGGCTCTTCCTCGGTTGTTTGACCATGTTTGCAGCCGGCAGTGCCCTCTGTGGTGCTGCCCCAAGTATGAATGCCATCATTGTTGGGCGTGTGTGGGCTGGAGCAGGTGGAGCGGGCATGTACCTGGGGTAAGTTGTATCATGACAGGCAAAAATAGAGAAAGTACTAACCAAGCGAATAGAAATCTGAACCTGATTACCATCCTGACGACTCCCACGGAGCAGCCCGTGTATGTGGGTCTGGTTGGATTGATCTACGGCACTGGTTGTATTCTGGGCCCTATCATTGGTGGTGCCTTTTCGGATAGTGCAGCCACATGGAGATGGGTATGTGAAATCCCGTTCTCATTCGTCTAGCAGATTGTACTAACCGCATTGGACAGTCATTCTATCTCAACCTGGTCATCTTTGGAGTCATGTCACCAATCTATGTATTCCTTCTTCCCTCTTTGCCGCGCCCAGCAGGCGAAGGCCGCAGCTTCTTCAAGAAGCTTGTGGAGCTGGACTGGGTGGGCACAGTCCTGTCCGCCGGAATGCACATCGCCATTATCTTGTTCATCGTATTTGGCGGTGTCGAATGGTCCTGGACTGATGGGCGGAATATCGCTCTGTACGTGGTCTCCGCTGTCTGCACCATTGCCTTCGTGCTCAGCCAGTACTTCTGCGTGGGAACCGACAAGGAAAACCGATTGTTCCCAGGCGAGTTCTTGCGGAACCCCACCATGATCCTCCTCTATGTCATCATGGCCTGTGGAGGTGCCGCCCTCTTTGTGGCAGTCTACTACATCCCACTATACTTCCAATTCGTGCATGGTGACTCCGGCATCATGTCCGCAGTTCGGTTGTTGCCGTTCGTGTGCTTCTACGTGGCTACTATTCTGCTGTGTGGATATGTCATGCCTAAGACCGGCTTCTTCATTCTCTGGTACCTCGTGAGCGGTATCTTCATGCTCATTGGATCCGTGTTGATGTACACTGTGAAATTGGATACCAAGCCCGCCAACGTCTACGGTTACTCCATCCTGATGGGACTGGGCATGACCACCACACAGGCTGCCTACGCAGTGGGACCGACCATTGTAACTCCCGACCGTGTGGCTGAGTGCCTCCAGTTCATGAATATCGGCCAGGGTCAGAGTCAACTGTTGGGCTTGGCCATCGCAAGTGCCATTTTCCAGACCAAGACCCTCAGCGGGCTGACTTCCCTGTTGGGCGATAAGGGTTATTCGCAAGCGGAGATTCAAGGTGCCGTCGCCGGTGCCCAGAGTACCCTAATGGAGCGGCTGCCCGAAGCCTTGAGGGAGCAAGCCCTGAAGGTGATTGTGAGTTCGATCGGTGATGTCTACGTGATGGCGATATCGGCGGGAGCCCTGTACGTGCTTGCATCCTGCTTGCTGCCTCGCCGTCGTTTCTAGAATTTTTCTGGGGAGGAGGTGGAATGGTATTTGGTAATGGGGTTCCTTTTCTTGTTCTTTTTACCAGCCCAAGGTAACCCTCTGGGTTGTCTTTCGCTCTTTTCGTTTATAAATCGTAATGTAAGTAGTTAGTGGAGTCAAAATACATATCTCTAGGAGATAGACTAGAATATACATCAACAATGGAGATGTTTCTACGTTTCAAAGCAGATGAAGCCGGTTGACCGGTTATCATCCATGTTTATACCAATGTAGTAATATAATAGTCTCCGGAACTCCGGCTCCGTATCCTACTTAGTACTAGTATAGAGCAAGCATAAATGATTATATATATCTAGTCCTGCTCTCCCCACGTTCTTGTATCCGACATTGCCGAAACAAAGTCTTACTTCGCAAAGTTAGTTATTATCCAACACAATACGCATCATGGCATCTTCTATTCCAAGCACCTACAAGCAGGCCATCTTCAAGGAAGCAGGCGCTAGTCTAACCTTGGAAGAAGTCGCATTGACTCTACCTAAACGCGATGAGATTCTAGTCAAAGTCGAAGCCTGTGGCGTGTGCCATTCGGACCACTTTGCGCAAACGAACCTCATGGGAGGAGGATTGTGAGTTATCCCTTGATAGAACCCTGAAATACATAAAGTTAAGACTAATTTTCTGTTCTTCAATAGTCCGATTGTTCCCGGCCATGAGATTATTGGACGCGTGGTTGCCGTTGGGGAGGGTGAGACCCTTTGGAAGGAAGGAGATCGGGTTGGAGGTGCATGGCACGGCGGGCATGATGGTATATTATCCATTTCCTGACTTCAAAAAGACCTGGTTTGATGGGGCTATATACTAATTCACTGAACAGGTACCTGTGGACCATGCAAAAAGGGCTTCTTCCAAATGTGCGATAATGGAGTAGTCAACGGCATTTCCCGGAATGGCGGATGTATATCTTACCCTTTTCTATACTCTCTCTTCCCTCATTTTCGATCTTTTTATAATCCACCCAATCGATGGAATAGTATCCCAGTGCTAACCTCTTCACCCCGGTAGATGCTGAGTACTGCATCATTCGTCGCGAAGCCGCTGTGAGCATTCCCGACCACGTCAATGCCGCCCAGTATGCGCCCATGCTATGTGCCGGCGTGACCGTCTTTAACTCAATGCGCCAAATGAAAATCCCACCGGGTGAAGTGGTTGCCATTCAGGGCCTGGGTGGGCTCGGACATTTGGCGCTCCAGTATGCCAACAAATTTGGCTACCGCGTCGTGGCACTCTCGCGGGACTCCTCAAAAGAGGAGTTCGCCCGTAAGTTAGGAGCACATGATTACATTGACACCAGTAAAGAGGACCCCGTCGCTGCATTGCAGAAACTGGGTGGCGCATCTCTAATAGTCTCTACGGCGCCTGTGCCGGAGATCATTAACCCGCTAATCCAGGGCCTCGGTGTGATGGGAAAGCTGTTGATTCTGTCTAGTAAGCTTTTCTGGAGATTGTGTTATGATATTTTCCTCTGTACTGACAAGGATATAGTTGTTGGTGGTATTGAGGTGCATACTGGCCTGTTGGTGAGTGGGACTTGCTCCTCTGAAAATAAATTATCAGAAGAAGACAAGAATAGGAATATACTAATCCCATTGTAGGTCGGAAAAGGTAAGTCCATCTGGAGTTGGCCCAGCGGTCACGCCACCGATTCCGAGGACGCCATCGCATTTGCGGACCTGCACGGCATCGATTGCATGGTAAAGGAGTTCCCCTTGGAGCAGTGCAATGAAGCATTCGGTATGAAATCTCCTTTCTTTGGTGGGTTCATTATCTCTAACGTCATGTCCTATTTTCTACAGACGCTATGATGGAGGGAAGCGTGCGGTTCCGTGCCGTCATCACTATGAACTAAGGTTTGGAGGACATATGGAGGGTCCCATTATACGGAGTACTTGTGGTGTTGTAGTATACTTGTGGTATTGGTAGTATACTGGTTGTATTGGTGGTGGTTGGTTATACTTGTGGTGTTGGCGGTATACTGGTTGTGTTGGTAGCATCTGCGCGAGCCAGAGTGTGAAAGCTGTGATAGATTGAGTATTTACTGGTACTTTGTTCTATATTCCACGTGTCATTCTTCATCTTCCCCCATATTTGGACTGTGCATTGCCCACTCCCTAGCAGTTGCCCGAAATATCGCACGCAATCTTTTCGGCCAATGCATCTAGTCTTGGTTAGACATTCTGTTTGGGGAAACATAAATATAAGGAAAGAAGACTTACAAATTGTGGATTGAGGGTGACCAGGTGGTAGGAACGGGAAGGCCGAGGCATCCACTACGCGCAGGGCATCAACGCCAATAACTCGAGCTTTGGAGTCCACCACTGCCTGGGGGTCATTTACTCGACCCATAGCGCACGTGCAGGAGGCGTGGAAAATGGTATCGAAGCTCTTCCGTACATGATCCAGAATTTCCTCGTCCGTGGCGACCTGAGGGCCGGGGAAGTATTCAGGGCCAATGAGAATGGGCTGGATGGCAGTGGTATTGAAGAAGTCACGGGTCCGCTTGAATGCTGCCACCGCGAGTTCGACATCCACTGAATCCGTGAGCCAGTTAGGGTTGATCAAGGGTGGCACGGCGGCGTCGGGCGACGTGATCGTGATATTTCCCCGCGAACGCGGCGTACAGAGCGAGACCGCTAGTGAGGCGTATTGGTAGCCATCACTGGGATTGTCCCGAATATAGTTCTTCTGATAGCCGAAGTATCCACCCATGGATAGGAACTCTACCTCCGGCCAGTCATCTGGGTATTCGGCGAGCACCTGACGGGTATGGTTTGAGAGCCAGGCGGATCGCTTGGGTTCGGGGATCTTTTCCCACGCCAGGATGTCCGATGTGGGATTAGCGTAGATTCCAGCCGCTCGCTCGTTGTAGTCGCGGTTGGCTTGTGCCTCGAACACTGGGTCAAGTAGGGCTGACTGCGTAATGACATTCACCCGATAGGAGGGGGCGTAGATGATATGATCCTGCATGTTTTGTCCCACGCCAGGCCGATCCGCCACGACAGGAATATCATGTGCCTTCAGCGTGGCCGCGGGACCTACGCCAGAAACCATGAGCAACTGTGGGGATTGCAAGGCCCCTGCTGAGAGTACAATTTCCTTGCGGGCGGAGAGCGTGTACGGGAATCCCGATGTCTCCACGTCAACCCCGACAGCCCGCTTGCCGTGGAAACGGATGCGTTTCGCCAGGGCAGATTGAAAGACCGTGAGGTTTGGATCGGTCAGGCCCTTGCGCAGGAAAGAGGTCTCGGAGGAGTCACGATGCATTGTTGTAGCATTGATCGTGTACAGACCGTAGGACTGGCCCAAGAGAGCTCCACTCTGGAACCCGCTGCGTACCTGGAGACCAATCTCCATGAAGGCATGTTTCGCCCACGTCGCAAAGGCCTGGGCGTAGTGAGGATAGGTCACGGAAAGAGGACCATCGCCGGTGCCCAGCACGCTTGGATCGCTCATGACACTGGCATTGGCTCCGCGCAGCTCGTCGTTTGCGGGGGTGTAATTAAGGCTCTTTTCGAAGAATGGCAGAAACTCGTCCCAGGCATAGCTAGGGTCCCCCACCATGTCAGCCCATTGCTGGTGTGCCGCCTTGGTACCGCGTTGATACGCCATGTAATTGCGCGCCGAGCTGCCCCCTAGGCACTTGCCCCGTGCATAGTGGCTCATTCGGTTGTAAGCACCCTATGTCAAATTCATCAGTATAAGGATCTCCATTGCTCGGTGGAGACAGCTTACCGCTTGTGGGGTGGTGTGGAAGCCCCAGTCGATGCCGGGGTGCCAATCGTCGAGATCCGTTCCCACATAGAAGGCATCTTGGGCGGGGATCTGGCTGAGATTGCCATTGTTCAGCTCATAGAATCCACCCGCTTCAATAACGGCCACCGAGCCAGCGCCCTGTTCGGCCAGTCTCGTTGCGATGGTCAAACCGGCCGTACCTCCGCCAACAACAAGGTAGTCAAACGTTTGATTCTTGGGGATGCCAAATGAGGACCCTAGCATTCGTCGCGCGTACGCATTCCGGTGGGTTTGCGAGTCCGACGGCCCCTCCGGAGCTGCAGCGCTAGCTACAGCAACTGCGAGGGCCGTGTGCAGGATGCTCGATATCAATCTCATGATCGGATACCCAATTGGCTTCACAAGAAAGAAATTGGCTTCGGAATTGAGTCAGAAAGCGTCTGACTTCTCGAACAGCCGAATCCACGGCTTATTAACGTGGCCTCCAAGCAATTCATCCTTCAGGTTTCCCGTCGGCCGAAGGTAGTCGCGGTGGGGAATTGTTGGGAATAGCTCGTATTGTGCCACCATAGCCGATGAAGTTGCCAAAAGGAGACAGTGGGAGTTTCGGAGTCATACTTCACAATCGCGAAGGATGAATCCGACGGCCCACTTTGTTCCGGTGATGATTATATCGAAGGATTCATGGTGCTGGTGATGGAAGGGCATAAGTATATCGAACCTGGCACCGGTTTACCAGAACTTTGCAAACCCAATTCCAATCAGTTTCTCTCTCAAATTTTTGAAACTCTGCAAAAATGAAACTCTCTTTGTGGATCAGCCTCGCTGCCTCTCTGATTGGCCTCCGTCCGGTTGCCGCTCGGGATGATTTCCCCGGAGATTATCCCTCGAGCCCCCCGCCTCTTGGCCCTAGTGACTGGGAACGGACACCCGTATCCGTTTTCTACAAAGTGCTCAACACTCAGCCGGATCCCGACTATGATCTCCTGAAGGAGCTGGTCACCTATGATTGTACCTACGTCTCATTGACGTTCGACAATCCCACTCTTCATGGGATCATGCCTTGGGCGGGCACACACACCAATGTTGGTCCGCAGGCCTTCATCGATATCTTCACTCGAGTAGGCCTGTACTGGGACCGTGGCCCATTCACCATTGACTATATCTTTGGTGATGGTGGCAATGTGACCGCCTGGGGCTCATTCACGGCCACGTCGCGCACGCTAGGCAAGACGGTTATCTCGCCCTGGGCCGCTCGTGCACAAGTGAATTCGGCCAACCAGATCTTCGAATTCCACTGGATGGAGGATACCTTTACCACTGCTTCGTCCTTTGGATCGGAGAATAGTACCAAAGTGTTTTATTCCAACCCACAGGGAGGCATCACTAAGGCCTAATTGAGATCCCACACTATAGTGGGTCAGGGGAAGACGATCCCCCCGGAGGAGTTTCGGATGATTGCCTCTTTTGGAAGCATCCGAATAGGGTTTAGCGTGGTAAAAATAAGCGCCTATAAATGAATTCCATCATTTTCCAAGCGCATATCTGCATCTTCTGTAAGCATAACTCCGTAACTAGGTATCCGTGGACTTACCTAAGTGCATAGTAGACCCTCGGGATATCATCTGCCGTAGTACCCCTCTCGTACTCTCTTAGGAGTGTTCCGTAACTCCTGTCTCAACCAGGGCCATCGATTCTTGTCCTACACTAGAACCTAATCAGGACAATTGAATGCAAGCAGGAATCTTGGAAGACTGGCAGTCGCTTGGTCGTACAGGCCGCATGATTGCCAGAGATATGTATTTGAAGGGAGAAACCCCATCACCAAGTGCTGGTCCAACAAACAATCAGTACTGCAAGAGCTTCCAATGACCGTCATGGCGAAAATCGATGTTCACCACCATTTCTACCCCGCGGCCATGCGTCAAGGTCAGTATCATGCGCCATGGATCAAGAGCCCGATTAGTTGACTTCAAACAGCCTTGGATCGTGCGGGAGGTGATCCCTCTGGCTGGTACACTCCCCCATGGACGCTGGAGCTGGATCAGGACATCGCACGACGGATGAAGGTGACTACCACCATTCTCTCTGTTACTGCACCGGGGCCAAGCATCGAGCCCGACTCTGCCAAAGCTGCGGCCCTGGCACGCAGCTGCAATGAATCTGCCGCCGCCATACGGGATGCTAAGCCACACCAATATGGCTTCTTCGCCTCAGTGCCATCCCTGTTCGATACAGAAGCTGTCTTGAAGGAAATCGACTACGCCTGCACCACTCTCCATGCTGACGGAGTTACACTATTCACCCGCTATGGCAAGGGTCCTCACTACCTAGGGCATCCAGCCTTTCGACCCATCTGGGCCGATCTCAGTCGCCGCGGGGCCGTGGTCTTCATCCACCCAACCCATCCAGTCGATACACAGCTCGTCAACTCCTGGCTACCGCAGCCCATGTTTGACTATCCGCATGAGACTGGACGGTCAGCCATGGACCTGTTAACCAGTGGTATTCTACAAGACTATCCTGGATGTAAGATCATTCTCTCCCACGCTGGTGGGACCTTGCCGTATCTAATTCATCGGGCGGCTACTATGCTTCCCTTGATGCCGAAGACGCTTGGTCTGTCAACTGAAGAGTTGGTGGAGGCTGCCCGGAGCTTCTACTTCGACACGGCCATTTCATCAAACCCGGTCACATTGAAGGCGCTGTTCGAATTTGCTGCACCTGGCCATGTACTATTTGGCAGTGACTTTCCAAATGCCCCGCATGATGCAATCCAGCGCTTCACAAACTTTCTGGAGGCATATGACCTGCCGGAGGAGACCAAGCGACAGGTGAATAGTGGGGCTGCATTGGAGTTGTTTCCGCGACTGAATGATGTCCCGGGAAGAGCGAGACTCTGAAGTGGATAGCATTGATGCCAGAAACAATTGCAAGAATATCGGAGTCAAGGTTGATGAGATAATGTCAGTGACATAAATTCTATTTTTATAGCACAAGTAATAAAAGGATTAACTCGCAACATATCATGAACCTATCAATATCTGGTTTCTCTGTCAATTTTGAATTGGGACTTTACTAGCTCGAATTAGGGCAAGCAACAAGTTCTCCCTCCCAACCTTCAAGTTCCACCTAGCATTCAGATCATCCTCGTTTCTCCTGATATAGCAATAAGTATTCTTTCTACGGCGTAGTTCTGGGTCGAATATAGATCCTCGCGATAAGACCATGAAATATCTATCCAACTAGATGGCCTCAAATTTCCAAGTTTGCTCATGTCATCAGGTTACCTCGACCTCGGGGATTCGGTTTTGGGATGATTAGAAAGAAGCCTTCCTTCTTTTGGATATCATATTTTTTTCCCTTGCATTTACTCTAGAATTCTGTATATGCAAGTCAACTCTTCAAGTGTTTCTCCATGGGGAATCTTAGCCGGGGGGGAAACACTCCTTTGGGTAAGTGAATTTCCTTTGATGATCGCAACCAATCCCATGAAGCAGTTGAGCATCGACCCCTCCCAAGATCGACCTTGTCTGTCTATAAGTCAGCATACCCCATTATCATCTCGATGCTGAAGAAATCCAAGCCTTGTCCGATTCAGCCACGATAGGCCCATATTAACTATGGAACCATTTTTGTTGTTACTCCTGGTCTTGTTACTAACCATCGTTCTCGTACGATATGCCTTCACATATGGCCATCGAACCAGTAACATGCCCCCTGGTAAGTGTTTCCTTTCAAAGTTGATTCAGAGCGAGGTTCTCATCTGGTATAGGGCCACCTACCCTGCCATTCATTGGAAACATCCACCAGATCACCAAGAAGTACACCCATATAAAGTATGATTTCCTCCCCTTACCATTTGTAACAGAATGAAAATACTCACCTGAAATGTCTTCTGGATTTCAGATTCACCGAATGGGCCGCCCAATATGGCGGGTTGTATATGCTCAAGATTGGAAATGGCAACATGGCCGTCATCACCGATCGTCGAATTGTCAAAGAAGTCCTCGATCGCAAGAGCGGCATCTACAGCCACCGCCCCCATTCTTATGTGTCACACGAGCTTATCACTAAAGGCAATCACCTTCTGGTCATGCATTATGGCGACCAGTGGCGCACCTTCCGCCGACTGGTTCACCAACACCTGATGGAGACTATGGTAGAAAGCCAACACACCACTATCGTCAACGCCGAGGCTATACAGCTGGTGCGAGACTATATGGTCGACCCGGAGCACCATATGGCGCATCCGAAGCGATACAGTAACAGTATCACCAACTCGATCGGTAAATCTACCTCTTATATATTCGCTACCTGAAAACCGCTAAATCCACATCACAGTGTTTGGTATCCGCACGGCCAACAGGGAGGGATCCAACATGCGACGACTTTACAAACTCATGGAAGAATGGTCGGAAGTAATGGAAACAGGCGCAACACCACCAGTAGACATGTTCCCCTGGTTGAAAATGATACCACAGTGGATGTTTAACAACTACGTCTCTCGGGCCAAGGCTATCGGCGTGCAGATGGAGACCCTCTATGTCGATATCCTGAAGAAGGTAATCAAGCGACGGGAGGATGGTCATAACAACGGCACATTTATGGACAAGGTCCTGGATAGCCAGGAAAAACATAACCTCCCCTGGCACCAGCTGGCCTTTATCGGTGGTGTTCTGATGGAAGGTGGCTCAGACACTAGCTCCAGTCTCACCCTGGCTATTGTACAAGCATTGATCCAAAACCCCGAGGTCCAGCGAAAGGCACAGGCTGAGATTGACGCCGTTGTCGGCCACGACCGGTCGCCCGTCTGGGAGGACTTTGAGCGGCTTCCTTATATCAACATGATTGTCAAGGAAGGTCACCGATGGAGGCCCATCCTTCCACTCTGTTTCCCCCATGCACTAGGAGAAGGTAAGACCATTTGCTTCTTCTTTCAATTTCTGTCATTTCTTTTCAATTATAATCCTCCTCTAACCTCCCATGGCTGTTCTAGACGACTGGATCGATGGAAAATTCCTCCCCAAAGGCACGACAGTTGTGATCAACACATGGGGAATGCACATGGATCCATCCCAACCCGACGACCCAGCTGCTTTCATCCCCGAGCGCTTTGCCAAGCACCCTCAACTGGCTCCCGACTATGTCCCGGGGACATGGGAGCGCCGCGATCACTACGGCTACGGAGTTGGTCGCCGGATCTGTCCGGGCATTCACCTGGCTGAGCGCAACATGTTCCTAGCCATTGCTAAACTGCTATGGGCATTTGAATTCCAGCCGGGAGAGGGCCAGATGGATTCTGATCCTGTGACTGGGTACCACAACGGCTTCCTTTACTGTGCCAAAGACTACCCTTGTCGACCTGTAGTACGCAACGAGACCATCCGGGCGACTATTGAGAGAGAGTATAAGACTGCGACTGCAGATGTGTTTTCCCGGTTCACTGAGGGATAGATGATAGTCAGGGCAATGGCATTGAAGTCATTGATGGAGCTGTGGTAGAAGAGAATGATGTTGCTAGATATTAGTTTATCAAGTTTCCTTCGCTTTTGGTCTTCTTCCTTGATCCCATCTGTAATAGAAATCCGGCCTAAGCCACCATACAACGAAAAGAGAAATCCCATAAACAGCCCCAACGATCCCTAAAGTGACATCACCCCCGATAAACGTTCCAATACATAGCAAACAGGCCGTGTTCATGAGCCAGTAAGTGAGACGAATCCAATGACCTTTCTCGCCTCTGGAAGAGAAGGCTGATTTGAACGCGGACAACACGTTGAGCAAAGTTAGCAAATAAAACGGTACAAACAGCACCAGAGCAAACCAGAACCGCTCCATGAATATGGCTGAAAAGATGGAATAACTGCGAAGTCCGTTAGCGACCTGGGAACCCGAGCTGTTCAAAGTTATGGTAACTCACCCGACAAGGATAAACGGAAACAAAAGTCGCCACCAGATTCTTCCGCGTCCAAGGGCTTGCAGGAACCCTCGAATAATGCTTCCAATGATAAGGGGTACAAGTATTGTGCCAACCATAAGTGGCACCGCAATCTCAAAGAAGTTCGCCAGAGACCATGATTGGTTGGCTCTATCGTCCACGATCTTGGATTTGGTTATGGTGATGTTTTCTGGATTGGTTGGATCAATGGTGGTAACATTGCGCCACGACGGTTCAAACGTGTATTGGTCGATATTCATTCCTAGGAAGCTCTGGAATTGAATGAATTAGAGAGATGACTTCACGGGAGTTGTGAGAAGAACTTACAGCCACAAATGCAAGTGGCAAGTACAGTCCGGCGAGAATTCCCAAGATACTTGTTCGACGTATTTGGAGAAAATCTAGCTGCTCGCGAACGGCTCGACATACATCTGGTATCCTTTGCAGAGACGACTCAACTTCATCATAAAGGTAGCTTAGGTCCTTCATTCCCATTTCGAGCTCGTTGATCAGGGTTATCTCATCATCGGCACGATGCCCTTCAATCAGGTTAATTTGGTCGACCAGCATCTGAAGGGTACATCGGTTTTCTCGACAGCAATCCTTGGCTACACGGTGGCAGTCTTCTAGATGTCGAAGATATTGCATCTTGCTCGCAGAGGGACGAAGCCGTCCTTCGTACGCCTGATCAAGTTAGTTCAAGCACAAGGTTGATTACTATAGACGGCAGCGTTCACCATATAATTGATATCATCGCATGCTTTTGTCAGGAATGTGACAAGCTCCTCGGTAACCTTAGCAGATACAACTCGGAAGAGCTGCATGATATACAGAAGGCCGGAAACATCATCCTGAAAGACTTCGGAGAGAAAGTTGTGTCGTAATTTCACTAAGGTGCTGTGAGAGTTCGCAACCACAATCGCTCGCCGAACTTGCTCGTATTCCGTCGATGTCAAAATGACATCCAGAGTCTTTACTTGAGGATGTTTTCCATATGGCCGAAACACGTATACTGTAAGATCCGTCACGTAGTATGGAGCATTAATCCATTTGAAGGGGAACTTCAATGGCACTCGGGCGTAATCTTCTGGTTCCTTGTTGCCTATGTCTAGTTAGTGCAGGTATGAGATGCATGAAGCTGGGTACTGTACAATGAGATGGCAAATTTGGTTTCCATGCTGGGAGAGAAAGCTCCTTTGCACATACGCTTTCCGTAATTTCATTCATTGTCGCATCGCCTAATCTCCACTGGCTTTGGAGAATTCGGATGACCATTTGACTCGGCACAGAATAAGCTTGTTGAAGACGCTCATTACCGAGAAGGAAGACTCTGTGAATGAAGGAAAATACACGACCAAGATTCGTAGTGTCGGGGGTGATGAGGCAGATTTCCAATGCAGACTCATTTTTCTCCATGGAAGAGCGCAACTGCTCGTAGCACGCAGACCAGGTATCATATTTCTCGAATTTAAGCTCCTCCGCATTGGTTCCTTTATATAAAAATGTTTGCTCAGCCAGGCCGAAGTTGGATCGTCCGGCGATTTTGCGGTAGTTCTTCTTCAGACACTCATCGTCGGAGATTATTTCAGATATTTCATCATTCGAATTGTGTCGGAACTTTTCATTTCTGTTATTATAATTCCGAGGCTATTGGAGGGGAAGTTCTCACGATAACTTTAGCACTCCCTACTATTTGTCTAGCCAGTTTTTGATTTCTTTCCTGAAAGAATCGCCTTCCATCATGGGCAGTTTGCGCTTGGGGAGACAAGTCTTCCAAGTCGATATCTGTGCTTGAACGAGACCAGCCGATAGGCGTACGTGTCAAAGACTCCGCCATGGCTGAATATTTTATTCAATACCGGGATTAAGCCACATTAGCTGTGGTGACAACATATATTCGATGGGATCTACCTGATCCAGCTTGGGGCAGGATCAAAAGGTGAACCACAGAAACACTAAAAAGTATTCTGCCAAATTGTTTCCAGGGGGGCAGCGTAAGGCGTATTCCTAGCTATAAAAAGAAAATCATTTGCTGATCTTAGCTCATCGTAGTTGGGGCTCCGAGGCGCTGATCAGTGCACGAACAGATCAAACAAACTGGTCAGTCCTCCCAATTTCATAGGGGAGATTGTCAAAGAGCAGGTATTTCTCATGGCTTCTTTATGGGTACTATGGTACATTGCCTTGCTATTAGATACAAAAATTATTACACTGCCACCTCATTTGAGATGCCGTCAAACTCCAGCCCATCCTCTTGATCAGTGCGTTTGATCGTCATCAGATGCGCCCAATGCTCGGGATACTTCTCACTTGCCCATTTCTCCACCTCATCTTTCCAGTATTGGTACGGGATAGCGTTGTAAAATAATCCGATACTAGGGCCTATATTAGCGATAATCACACAAAGGGCGAATGAATGTACTCACGTATTGCTTGTAGGGGGGATCCCAATCTCAGCTTCCATATTGTTGATAGCCTCAACGGCCAGATCAAACTCGCACTGCGCTGCCAAGGCCTCCATATACGCCGAGTAGAGCGGGCGGTTCGCAGTGATCTCCAGCTTCTTGACCTTACTCATCATCTTTATAGCCTCCTGGGCGCCATTGTGATGCTTCTCGCAGACTTTGAAGAAAATTGTGATAGTCTTGTGACAAGGGCCCTCCTCCGACTGGAGGATTTTCCGGAAGATTTCCATGCTCTTTTCTGGCATATCGCACGCGGCGTACGCCATCATCAGACCATTTAGGATTCTCGTGTTGAGATCCACTTCAAGATCCAGCTTGAGCATGTTGTGCACAAGCTCCAGATTAGTTGCATCTGCCGTGCGAGCCAGGCCTTGGAAGCAGCGCGCATAAGTATCTTGCCTAGGGCGTCGATCGGCTTCGTCGGCTTGACGCATATGTCCAAATACCAAAACGGCAAGATCACTGCGCTTCCGGTTGAAGAAGGAGGTCATGATTTTGGTGCGGATTGAGACCCACGTCTCTGGGAATGCGATCTTCAGAAGCTCGTATGCATTCCACGCATCTGTATCGGACTGGCTTTTATCCATGATGTACTCTGCTAGCGTGTCGCGCACCGGCATCTTCTGCTCATCGCTGTAGCTGCCCAGTCGCGGGCGTAGTAGCTCTGAAACAGCCTCGAGGTCGTGGCGGTAAAGGAGCATGTGTGTTAATGCGGCAATGGTTGTAGATTCTAGGCGCACATTCTCTTGGAAAAGCGGGTCTAGCAGGGAGGAGATTTGGTCGAACAAGGCGTCCTTTTCCTCGGATCTACAGAGCATCGCGACGAGCTTGTTGGCGATGGGCAGGTTGTGACTTGTAAGGTAGGTCGCATCAACCTTCTCTTCGAGAATTTTCAAAGTCTCATCGACATCACCAGCCTGGATGCAGGAATCCAACTGTAAGATATGAGTTTGGCTATCTGGACTGAGACCCCACTGGCCTGCCAGCATCATGAAATCAGAAGCCAACGACGGATTCTGCATCACGTTTGCATACTTGATAAGGCTATTAACAATGTCAATGTTGATGGAGCCCTTGAGCTGAGGATTCTTCGCAGTCCATGCATCAACCTTTTGGGCAAGAGCAGAAGCATTGCTGCCCTTTGCTGCTTCCCAGAGCAAAATGATCCCAGCGGTTTCTTCATTGGGTTCATCAGGGAGAGACTTGAAGATATCCTCGGCCAACTCTGCCCGGGAATTCAAGAGATAATATTTAATGAGAGCCTCCTTGGCAGCCATGGACGGTTCTGAGCCATCGGCAATTGGGGAGTCGTAGACAGTTTGGGCCGCTTTCCATTGATCATGGTCAACGAGAAATCTAACTATCTCTCCATGTGAGGCTTGGTCAAACTTGTTGCCATGGTTTCCCCATTCATCAACAATCCTGCGCACCTGTCGTAGATCGTCCTTCATCGCAAATCCTTTCATAATTGTGAGCCAGGGCGATGGGACAGCCTTGCTCATTTGACCCCAAAACTTCAATAAAGTATGTCTAGCATCCTCGGGATTGCCATTCATAGCCAAAATGTTGATATAGAGACCAAGGGCCGGTCGGCTGATCTTCCCTGTACCAAATCCATGATCAAGGTTCAGTTCTTGGTATGCGTAACGGGCAAGGTTCATGACAACCTCACGAGCCTGTGGGGCACACCCAGACTCGGAGAGTACATCCAACACTTTTTCGAGGTTCTCAATGGAGAAAACATTCTGCCAGTCTTCTTCTTCCATCTCGCCTTGTTGGGATCTTAGATGTTTGAATGTGACGATCAGCGCCCGGGCTTGGAAATGGCTGATGAGCATTGGCGTTTCAAGCCGCATTGTGAAAAAGGTTTGGAATGCCTTGGCGAGAATATCACTCGGGGGAGCTCTGCTTCTATCTTTAAGTGCCCTCATCAAATCAGCCATTGGTTTCAGGCCTTTTTCAGAGGGCAGTGTAGATTGTGACCGCTCGGGGTCTGAGCTGAAGACAAAGAGGTTGCGTCGCGATATATAAGGGAGACTGGGTATGGCAGGTCGTACACGGGCAGGAGTGATTGTGTGCAATAGACGATGTCGATGACATTGGGAGAACCGAAGTGGCTCATTGTTGATAATTGCCCGAAAGACTCGTCTCGTGAGTTGGGACTGCATTATGAATGATGTGCCCTGAGATTTATAAGCTCAGATTAGACAAGAGAGGTCGGATAAAAACGTGTAGTCCCGAGTTGACTCGCAATCTGCATGGAATCGTGAGAAATGGGGGTTCGCGACGCGGAGAGATCTGGAGGCGGAAGAAGCCTTGGCAAAAAAAGATCTCATCTCCGCGTTGCCCGGTCTCCCTATCACCATCTTCAACATCTACAACTAATCAGGGATTGAAAGGTTAAGATGTCTCTGAACCTCTTTTCCTCCTCGTCATTGCTGCGCAATGCCGCGACCACAGCCAATGTTGGCTTGTCGCTCTGCCGCTGGAGCTCGACCGCTGCCATGAGCGCCTTCACTGCCCAGCGCGGCACAAGCTCACAGAGTATGTGATGGACCCAATACACCCAGATTAGCTATTTGTTCTCTCATTTGATGATATGAGAAGACATTCATTTGACTGTGATTGGCGGCTAACGTCTTGCGATAGCCTCCCAAGTGGTCCAACGACGCCGTTTACCTAGTCGCTTGAAGTTCCTTGAGGACCAGAAGGCGCAAGGCGAGAGCCGAGCCCTTGAAAGATACCAAACCCGTGATTTCAAGGCTGGAGACATCTACTCCCCTCACGATCTTAGCCCAGCCGAGATGAAGAAATGGGGAAAGCGCCAGAACCCCCAAAGAGATGCTTTCGACGCATTGAACGTAAATCCTATAGATTTGTACAAGGTATGGAGTCCCTGAGGCAGTGGAGTAATTGATTGTATGGCGCATATACCATGACGAACAGCCACTAACTGTTGGCTCTTTTATCATTACAGAACTTCTCCGTCATGTCCGAATATATGACTAGCATGGGCCGTATCAAGCCCCGAGCCGTCACCGGTCTTCGACCTGTCAACCAGCGGAAAATTGCTAAGGCGCTCCGGAGGGCTATTGGCATGGGTCTTATGCCTAGTGTTCACCGACACCCCGAAATTCTTGCAGCTGAGATGCGGGCACGTATGGAGGGCCCTGGAGGTTTCTAAGCTGAACATACTTTGGAGTCATTGTTTTTGGGATCTAAAACAGATTTGGGGGGATTTCCTTGTACAAGTACAGGCGGTGCCTGGTGGAAGGGGCACGACTTCGTGTATTATTACTCTTAGCGCTATGCATTGATTTTATTTAGACCTATGACTTCCAACTTGCTTTGTAGTAGAATGTTTCAAACCCATCAGATTTCTTGTATATGTGTTGACACTCATATTTCTCCTTTCTGTACTTTGTCAATGCTTGTTTTACGTAGACAAGACGTGGCTGTGTTCCCCGCTATTATTGTGGCCCGGGTACGTCAGTGTCGATAAACACTGGACTTCCCTCTACTTTCCCCCAACTCCTCAGTTTGAGTGTGCGCACCTTAGCGATGTCACTTACGAATGGTGAGAACCCAACAGCCTCACATTATCTTTTGTTATCCTGACATATCCAAAGAGTCCATCTGGGCTCCTAGCCCCTCCACCACCCGTGGCCAGCCCACCCAGCTTTCTTCTGATGCTAAAGGCGAGCGATTGGCCTATGCAGTATGTAATTCCAAGACTCTCTACAATTGCAGTGCCTCGCTCTTACACAAGCAACTATAGTCCAACAAATCTATCTTCCTGCGATCAATCGACGACCCCGCAGTCGCTAGACAGTACACCGAACACAAGGCGCAGACAACTGTCGCACGCTTCGCCCCCTCTGGTTTCTATGTTGCGAGTGGTGACGCTGCTGGAATTGTGAGAGTATGGGACTGTGTCGGTGAAGGAATTACCAAGGGTGAATACAGCATTGTTAATGGTCGAATCAACGATTTGGCCTGGGACGGTGACTCTCAGCGCATTATTGCCGTCGGAGATGGCAAGCAGCGATATGGACACTGTATCACCTGGGATAGTGGAAACACCGTTGGTGAGATCCACGGTCATACGCAACAGCTCAACACCGTGTCCATTAGGCAGCAGCGTCCTCTGCGTGCGGCCACTGCTGGTGACGACAGGAAGACCGTCTTCTACCACGGAGCGCCATTCAAATTCAACAACGGAATTGCCGACAAGCACTCAAACTACATATACGGAGTCGGTTTCAGCCCGGATGGTTCGCACTTAGTCAGTGTTGGCGCAGACCGGAAGATCTGGCTCTACGACGGCAAGACTGGCGAGACCAAGGGTCAGATCGGCGAAGGAGAGCATAAGGGCAGTATTTTTGGTGTGTCATGGGCTAAGGACTCGCGAAAGTTCGTGACTGCGAGTGCGGATAGGACTGTCAAGATCTGGGATGTGGAAGCTGGCAAAGCAACACAGACCTGGACCTTGGGAGAGGAGGGTGCTATGGCTGTTCGCGACCACCAAGTTGGCGTGGTCTGGCCCCCGGAAAGAAGTGATAACCTGCTCATCAGTTTGTCTCTCAGCGGAGACTTGAACTACCTAGTCGAGGGAACCCCTGAGCCCCGTCAGGTTGTCTCAGGCCACCAGAAGAGCATTACCTCCTTGGCACAGACCACTGTGGATAACAAGGAAACTTTGTGGACAGGCAGCTTTGATGGAAGAGTCTGCAACTGGGATGTAGCTTCAGGTAAGGCTGAGGAGATTGAAGGAGATGCCCACCCTGGTTACGTTGCCGGGCTTGCAGCTACATCAGAGGGAAACGGTAGAATTTACAGTGTCGGCTGGGACGACACCCTTCGCTCTGTCGATGTTACTGCTAAAACATACACTGGCATCGCTTCAAAGCTCAATGGACAGCCGAAGGGCGTTGCGGCTGGTGACTCGACGGTGCTTGTTGGCGAAGCCGAAACCGTCGAGATTTTCCAGGATGGCAAGAAGACCGGAGAATATAAAACAGACTTTGTGGCTACAACTATAGCTGCGCACGGCTCTCAGGCAGCCGTTGGAGGCGAGAATGGATCTGTTCAGATCTGTGCCATTTCCAGCTCTCGGCTTTCCCCCCGGGCAGACATCAATGCCTCTCGCAACCCAATCTCTGCCCTTGCCTTCTCTCCAGACGCTTCCCACTTGGCCGTGGGTGACTTGCGGGGCCGTGTGCTTGTTTTCAAGGTTGCCGATGGCAGTCTAGTGACGGACCGCTGGACGGCGCATACTGCACGAATCACATCACTTGCCTGGAATGTGGCTGGCTCACACGTTGTGAGTGGATCGCTGGACACAAACATCTTTGTTTGGAGCTTGGCCAAGCCAGGCGACTGGATTGAGCTGCAAAATGCTCACAAGGAGGGTGTCCATGGAGTCGGATGGGTTGCGGGAGGCTCTAAGATAATCTCAGCTGGTGCTGATGCAGCGGTGAAGGTGTGGAAAGTGGAAGGCTTGAAATAACTGTGAAGTAGGTGTGATTGTATTTTGCTATTGAATGATAAAGATCGAGATCTTTTCTTTGCCAACCTCATACATTTTCAATCAGTATCAAATCTATTAATATCAAACATGGTACTCCGTAGACAAAGCAAAAACCAAAACAAAGAGGTGCGTGGCAATGGAGACTTGGAAGTGGCCGTAATTGCCCTTCCGTGGCCACCAACAAATCAACCTGCATAGCTCTCTGCACCTCCGCACAACCTTCTGATTTCTAATTTTGGAAGCCTGTAGCAAGGGCGAGTCATCGAATCTGTGCCATGGGGCTTGTACAATGCCCTGAATCCACGTGAAGTACGTGAAACCTGAAATATGCCGTCTGGAACTCCCAGCAGCTCCCGCCGCTCGCGCCCAACGGTATGTACTCGCATTTTCTGGCCTGGGAGAAATACTAATAATCGGTGAAGCTCCGTAATGCTACATTTGTTCTCCCGAAAACAGGCCAGCGCCTGAAAGGCCTCGTTAACCTCCGAAACTCTCCCCCTGTCTCCGACGAATATAATGACGAAAGGCGCGGGCTCCTCACAAACGAGATCCAACATTATGAGGGGCGCTTCGACGCGCTCAGGCGCCGCATACACGATAAATGGACCGAGACGAATCGGTTCATCAGGTCGGAACCGGGCATTGGTGTCTTGAAATACAGTCTTGCCTATTTGGTCGGATCTCTCGCAACTTTTATTCCAGCACTCTCGGCCATGCTGGGCCATCAGGATGGAAAGCACATGGTGGCTACGGTCACGGTCTACTTTCACCCTGCCAGATCTCAGGGTGGAATGTTCAAGGCCTTGATCTGCGCGTTCCTGGCGTTCTGCTATTCTGCCTTTTTGACTATTACTAGCATGTTCGTGGAGATGTTCTTCCAGGACACATTGGAAATGACTTCCCTTGGCCATGCTGTGGTTCTGATAGTATTTTGTGGTGGTGGGCTTGGTTTTGTCGGTTGGACAAAGCAACGACTCGGGGATCCTCTGGTCAACGTTGCCTGTTCACTTGCTTCTCTGTCAGCAATTACCGTTTTGACCAAGGAAGGTGCTGTGCAAAGCGGCGATTTGTCTCTTTCCAAGATCTTCCAGGTCTTGAAGATGGTCCTGATGGGTGTAGTAGCCGTCATGCTTGTATCCTTCTTCGTCTTCCCCATATCAGCGCGCAAAAAACTGCGCTCGAACCTAGTCACGGTCACTGATACATTGGCTCTAATGATGGCGCTTATCACGGAAAGTTTCTTGAGTGGTAGTGAGGAGGTGCTTGTCTCGGCTGAATTTGTCGATGCAGAGGCCAGGCACCGCAAGGCCTATAGCCAGCTTGACAGGCTCGTCCGAGAAGCTAAACTGGAGCACTATGTAGCAGGCACCGAAAAGGAGTACAGGCTCGAAAAGAACCTTGTCCGCTGGGTGCAAGATATCACCCATAACATGGGAGGCCTGCGTAATGCAGCCGCTCTCCAGTTCAGTTTGATTCGTGAGACTATTGCCCGTGAGTCTGGCTCTCCCGAAGTTCAGCAGGGTAGCTCCACTCATGTGGACTATTTTACCCCCCCTGAGCGATCCTGGTCATTCCCCGATGGGTCCTTTTTGGAGCCTATCGTTGAGAGACCAGAGGAGGAACTATCTCCAGGCGGTTCTATACGTTCTCATCAACTTGGAAGTGGTGAATCAACACCCAAACCCGCACTTCTCCCGGCGGATGTCTTCACGATCTTCATCTCTCATTTGGGTCCGTCAATGGTAAGTTAAACTCGAGACGTATTTGATACAGTTCATGACTGACTGGAAGCAGCGATCGTTGGCCTTTACGTTGAAAGAAATATTTAAAGAGATTCCATTTGGACCTGCACCAAACTACAGAGTCTCAGTGAATGGTCGACTGCGAATCAGTCTTGACCGGGCGCTTGATCTCTACAAAGAATCGCGCCAGAAGACGCTCGAATCCTTGTATCAACAAAAGGAAACCATGAAATTGAAGACACGCGAAGCTGAAGCTGATCTTGAGGAAGTATCAGCCAGCTGTAGCCATTTCAGCTTTTCCCTCCTTGAATTTGGAGAGCAGCTCAAAGAGATGCTTTCCATCTTAGATGAGCTACAGTTGGAAGTCGAAGAGCGGCCTAATGGGCGAACCTGGTCATGGCTTAAAGTTTGGCGGTGGTCGAGGACTACAGCGACCGCTAAAATGGGCTCCTTTGATGCTGGTATGTATATCCCCATAGCAATCGTTGAGATCACGAATATCATGCTGATGCCCCACAGACCCATCTTCCAGATCTTACAATCCACCCACTACCCAGCAGAACCTCCATAGCCATGCCAGACAAGCATCAGATGGCCTGATCGCACATGATAATACACTGCCTGTCAATGTTCAGATACAAAAGGCCCCCTCACCAAAGGAGACAACAAAGCAAAGACTTGGTTACCGATTATGGAAATGGCTTGGGTTCTTCAGACGAGATGATACGAAATACGCAATCAAGGTCGGGGCTGGAGCTGCAATCTACGCACTGCCTGCTTTCCTTCCTTCAACTCGGCCGTTCTATGGACGTTGGCGTGGGGAATGGGGCCTGTTGTCCTACATGCTTGTTTGCTCAATGACAATTGGGGCCTCGAACACGACAGGGTATGCCCGATTTCTTGGTACCTGCCTGGGGGCAGTCGCTGCCATCGCGGCATGGAACATCACCGCTGGAAATGTATTTGGTCTTGCATTCTTGGGATGGATCATGGCCGTCTGGACTGGATATATCACAATTGTTCGTGGGAATGGGCCTATGGGCCGTTTCATCATGCTCACTTACAACCTCTCCGTGCTATACGGCTATTCTCTCTCTCAGAAGGCGGCAAATTTCGACGAAGATGAAGGTGGCTCTAATCCAATCATGACTGAAATTGCACTCCATCGAGTTGTTGCTGTGCTTTCTGGGTGTATTTGGGGAATCATCATCACTCGAATGATTTGGCCCGTCAGCGCAAGAAGTAAGCTCAAGGATAGTCTGAGCCTTCTCTGGCTGCATCTGAGCCTTATATGGAAGCGTGATCCTCTATCCATCATGGCCAAAGATACAAGGTCTATTTTATACATGACACCCCGAGAGAAGCTTGAGATTGAAAGATTTCTGTCTCGGTTGGAGTCTCTTCAAGCTGCTGCAGGCTCTGAGTTTGAATTGAAGAGTGCATTCCCTGAATCCTCGTATGCCAAGATTGTTCGCCGTACACGCAGCATGGTGAATTCTTTCCATACCATGAACATCGAGCTGATGAAGAATGACTTGGTCACTGAAGGTGAAATCAGCCTTCTTCAATACACCAAATTGGAACGACACCAGCTATCTGCTCGCGTGAGCCATCTATTAACAGGTAAGTTATCTTTCAGCTACCAAGCATTTTGAATTTTTGCTGACCATCTTCTAGTGATTGCTTCATCAATGAAACTCGAGTACCCTTTGAGTGATGTGCTTCCTAGCATTGATCATGCTAGAGACCGGTTGCTTGCTCGCATCTATCGCTATCGCCTGGATCGTCAAGCATCTCAACAAACTACAGATGAGGACTGTGCTTTGCTTTATGCCTATAGTGAGTACATAGTATTTCTTTGGTTTTCTAGTTTCACAATATACTGACCCTCGTCTAGTTTTGGTGACGGGCCAATTATCGAATGAGATTACAGAGATCATTGCAGAGATCGGACAACTTTTTGGAGTATTAAGTGAAGATGTAGTGCAATTAGCTTGAAAATCTAGCTAATCAATTTGAAATATAAATTATTATCATATAGTAAAGTGATATATATGTAAATATTAGAAGGGCGGCGCACATCGATGTATCCGTTTCTGGCTTCTGGCGGGGAACCGCAAGTCGGAACCTCCCCTTCCACCCAAACTCATCGCCATCTCTTTCATTCCATCAATTTTCATCTACAGTTCATCAGAGTCTCTTATGAAAACATCCCCCCTTCCTCTATTTCTAGTTTGAAACCTAGAATCCTCCTTGATGAAGGCGTAGGTGCCAATATTCCCTGCCCTTCGGCGTCGCCCGTCGTGCTCTCGCGATTCCAACAACCATGCAGATTGATCCCGCAGCTCTGAGTCGGAGTGACTCTGTCTCAAATTCAAAAGGCGTCGTGCCCAATGGCTCAGTATCCGCGAAGACCTCGAGAGCTCTGATATCAGTGCCGAGGCTCGAGCTGGAGCATGCCTACACGGATCTGAAAGCCGCCATCGGAGACAAGTGGTCTGAGTACAAAGAGGCTACGGCTCTGTTTTTACTAGGTATGCTATGATGCGCATGGAATTTTTGGCTAGAAAGCGATTGCTTGAGCTCCCCGAAGACTGTATCCCCCTTCCCTTCTACGTACTGGCATCCGGTTCGATCACCTCCTGACCTCTTGCCTGATTATAGGACATTACAACCAGAGCGAATACGCGTCGCGAGTCGACTACTTCTTATGCGCCGATCCTAAAAACGAACATTTACACAACAATTTCGTATGCGCGCTCATCGGAAACCTCACGCGAGACCTCCCCGATCATGGCGTCGCAAACTGGGTATCGGCCAATGACAAACCATCAACGGTCTCAAAGCCCGTCTCCGGAGATGCCGCGGAACAAAGATTGAAGACGGAGGTTATGAAACTACCTCCGAGGGACCGTCGGCGCATAAAGGGTATCCCAGAGGTACGTAGTCGCAAACTATGACTAAAATCTTCACCCCAGCAACCGACAGCTAACTGTTACTAGCGAGATCCCAATGAGAAGGTGCTCACAGAGCTAGAAGAAAGCCATCTAGCTAAGCAATTCAAATTGCCCAGCCAGGTTCCCGCAAGTGCAGGCGGGCTTAACAAGACTAGTAAGCCGACACCCTCCCCGTCGAACTCGAGATATTCTCTCCGTTCCTGCGGTCCCCTACCAGGAAGTTATTTCTAACTATTCTCCTCTATTCTAGACTGGGAACTGGAAATCCGAAAACGATATGCCCAGCCCCTCGCCGCAGAAACAGGTGAATTCCCCGATGCCGAATCCATCCATGCCCGCATGGTTCCTATATGTTACGAAGAATCTCTACCCAGCGGTGCTGGGCTTCCGTGCGCTGAGTTTATGGCAATTGCGACGGAAACTTTCGTGAAGGAAGTTTTGTCCGTGGTGTTTTCGCGCACCCGTTCGAATGGCCCGTCCGGTACAATCAACAACATGATGAAGCGTCAGTACCGACACCAACTGGAAATCGAAGAGCTTGCATATACACGTGGGGAGATTTCAAAGGATGCTGCCACTGGCCTACTCCCCGTCGAAGCGAGAGAGGCCAACCTTCGAAAGCCACTGGGCGTTCGAGACCTGCGGTTGACTTTGGAGCTGGGAGGTGGTGTCCTGGGACACATGCCACTCATCGTAGACCAGATCATGGGCGGGTATTTCGAAGACGAACTCGAGACCGAAAGAAACGATCGTTTGGAGAATGGCGTCGGTGAGCCACAACAAGAAATCAAACCCGAAGACGAGATGGACTTGGACGAAGATGAAGACGGTTCTCTGCTAGACTGGGAAGGCGGCACACTTGGTGATCGAGATCAGTTGAGCTCCTTGCTCGACGAGTGTCTGTCCATGGCTGCATGAGAATTTTATACCCCCCGTCCCTTTTTTTCGTTTTTCATACATGCTACATTACATGCTGTTTCTGCTCTTTTTTATGGTTCTACTCACGGTTTGGATGGTGGCTCACGGCGTCTGGGTACTACCAAGGGAGGCTATCACTATTAGTGACGCCACATGATTTTGCATATGGATTTGGAGTTTGAAGATATTATCTTATCCGTTCGCGATCGCCTCTGCCTTGTTCCCTTGTTCTTCATATATTTGGTCATGTTTGGACCTTAAGATGTACAGTATCACTTCCTAAGGGGCAAGGCAAAGCGGTCGACATTGGAGGATGAGGGGAAATCTCGAAAACTAACAGACCTAAAAAGCTGAATGGCCATGACGCCTGTTGGAGGCCAAGCTTCTTCGATACCCATGAATTCTACTTTATACAATTTAGTTATCTTGGAAGTAATGAATAGTTTCACATTAGGACGCTTGATTTCTGCATAAAACATGAGTGACTGAGACATATATCTCTGTCAAAGATTGAATTCTATGGGCGGTCTGCCCCCGAAACGCCTGTAGATAACACATGAAGAATATGCCAGCTAGTTGATGGCAGTTGCGACGAGCTTCAGGATCTCCTCGGTTGTCTTGTAGGCATTCGCCGGGTCCTTTGCGATGGACTGCCAGAATTCACCGTGCTTGGGTTCCATCGATACGCACTTCGACACGACATCCGATCGTTTTTCCTGTGTATAGACGTTAGCTGGACATTCCAAAGATGACAGAGCCTGGAAAGGGGTTAGAAAAAAGGGAGATAACTAACCTCAGTACCATGCTGCATAAGGAACTTGTAATACCAAGCCCAGCCATCACCATAGTCACTATCTGAGACGATCGCCTTCTCAAACCAGGTCATGGCCTTTTCCAGTCGACGTTCACCCCAGAAGATACGCGCGACAGTGATAAACAGAATAGGGTCGTTCTCGACCTTCTTGATCGCCTCCAGACTGCGTGCCTTGCGCTGAGCGCGGGGCTCGAGATGCCAGATACTTTCGCTCCACAGAAGTCCTGATGTTGGGACTTCCTGGATCGCGCGAGCCATGAGGACCTTGGCCTGAGCGATATTGTTGGCGCGACGTTCAACGCGCACACTTTCGGTCCAGAGCTCTGCGTTCTTGGGAACCGCCAAACGGGCTTTGTCGAGCACAGATCTGGCTCGGACCACAGCGCCAGCTTTTTCTTCCAGTCGCGAGGCAAGTAGCCAGAGCGCAACGGACTTGGGGCAGGCTCGGGTGCCTGTTCCATATGCTTCGCGCGCCTGTGGGAACTTATTCTGTGATTCGTAGATTTGGCCCTTAATCATCCAGAGCTTGTCGGCCTTAGGGAAAAGTTGTAGACCTTGGTTGACTAGATCCAGAGCGTCATCGATGTTACCGAGCTGCCGCTCGAAAGCAACGCTCTTGGTCCACACGCGATCTGTACCAGCTTCACGGCGAGCAGTGGCCAGGAGCTCTCTAGCTTGGTCAGTCTTTTTGGCGTCGGCCTCTAGCTTGACGGCAGCCAGCCAGATATCTTCGTTGTTGGGGTTTTGGTTGAAGGCACGACCGAGGACTCGTCGAGCATCGTCAATATCCCCAGATTGCCATTTCTCCTTGGCAAGAAGGAGCCACAGCTCCTCGCTCTGAGGGCATGCCTCCACCGCCTTCTCTAGAACCTGCCAGAGAGCTTCTTTGGTGCCGTGGTTGCGTTCCAGGTCCGCTGCTGCGAGCCAGATTGATCGGCGGTTCACGAAGACTCGCAGGGCGTAAGCGTAAATTGCCCGGGCAGTTTCGTAGTTACCACGAGCAATACTAGCTTTTGCGTCGTCCATCCAGATATCCTTTCGGCTATCGTCCTCATCCAGGGCCCATCCAAGAGTCTCTTGGATGATGCTGCCACATGTAAGGACAGCACCTTCGGCTTCGCATTTCTCGGCTTCTGTAATCCATTCCTCTCTCTTCAACATGGCGTTCTCTCGGGCCAGCGACTGAATAGCACGCTTCATGACATTAACCTTGGCGAACGTGCCCATCTGCTCCTGGAGTCGAGCTGCAGCAATCCAAACCTCATAGCTAGTAGGAACAGCCTTGCGAGCAGCGTTCAAGACTTTCTGTGCATTTTCCGGGGTTTCAAGACGAGCAAGAGCAAGCCACAACTCGACTGACAAAGGAATGATTTCAACGGCCTTTGCCAACAGCAATCGCGCATCAGCTGGATCATCTTCCAGATTGACAGCTTCTTTCCAGATCTGCACTGACTGGGGAATGTGCAAGATAGCCTGTCGGAGGACATTCTTTTTGGCACGAGTGTCCGTTTCTAATCTCATGGCCTCGGTCCAAAGTCGTGTGGAACGGTCATTGTTCTTGATAGCATTGGCCGCAATTACCTTCGCATTGTGACCTTCATTGAGTCGAATGTTTTCCAGCCATGCGTCTTCGCTCTTGGGGCAGAGCTCACACCCTTTAGCGATGAGGGTTCTAGCAGCCACAATCCGGCCAGCAAGCTCCTCCAGGCGAGCTAGGGCAATCCAGCCGGGAGCATGCTTAGGATTTGTCTTGGTCACGGAGTCTAACAGAGTACGAACTCGCTTGATATCGCCCACCTCAACTTCGCCGGCTTTGGCTTCTGTCTGTGTCAAGCTGGTGAGGTAGCCCTTCGGGTCGATATTCGTAGAGGTTCCGGATGTACCAGCAGATGCAACCTGATCTAGGCGGACCTTCAGCACTTTGTCGCGTGCCGCACCGATATCTGCGAAGTTCATCGAGCCATCGGCAGGTTCTCCTTCGTCGACACTTGTTTGCGTGCCATCCTCGGCGATTGTCGTGCCATATTGAGCCGAGTCTCTCGCGCCAGCAATGACACTATCTGGGACAGCATAGAACCGCTGTCGGGCATTCTGCTTCTCTCGTCTATTCTTGCCTGTCAAATCTCCAACCTCCGGGAGGTTGGCCCACTCTTCTTCGGATACTGAGGCAAGTGTGCGTTTCAGATCGGCGAATTGGTGTTGGATTTTCGGGTTATTTCGTTCGTACTCCTGTTGTTCGGCTTTTTCTCGAGCTTCCCTGTAGTTGGCGAGAGATTCATGTCGGTATTCTGTTCAAACCGGGGCTAACCCGATAAACACATGGTTTAAGAGGGGGAATGGGAGGGATATGACTAACCTGCGAGCTCTCCGACGCTTGTCCATCTTCTCATCTACCTCTTGGTAGATGCGGTCTGCCTCGTCGTCTTCTTGGTCGAACTGTCCGTATGCGAACAGCCCGACCTCGTTGTCGGGATCCTGAAACCGCTCATCTTCCTCCTCCTTATCATCTTCTTTGCCACCTTTCTCGCGCGTAGTAGCTCCGTATGCAGTGGGTGCAGCAGCTCCGAGAAGCTGGGCTCTCTTGGTCAGAGCAGCCTGGATCTGCTCGGGTGTAGGTCCTTCACGCGCCGGTCCAAGATCGGAGCGAGTTGTGAATCCTGTCGCACCACGACCTAGACCAGCAACATAGTTCTCAGGCGCTGCCTGGCTTAGGAAATCCTTTCGTCCAGACGCCATGTCGGGCTCAACACAACTCAGAGAGCTCGACATCCTCGACGGCGCGGAAGGCGAAAGCGGGCTCGGAGGAAAGTAAGTCCGGCGCCGGTAATCTTATCGCAAAAAAAGTTCCGCCCACTTTGAAGTCGATGTGCTTTGTTAACGTCGCGGGTTTTTGCTCTGATTTCTTTTAATAATTGTCAAAATCCAGGAACTTATTACTACAATATGCCGAAGGTTAACAAGCCCAAGCGCAATAGCGCTTCGCAGGGCCTGTCAGATGCTGCTGCCAAGACAAAAGCTGCTCACAGCATCTTCAAGATGAACACTGATATTGGCCAGCACGTTCTGAAGAACCCTGGTATTGCTGGTAGGGGCCCGCTTTCACTACACTATGATTTATCTATCTAACAAAGTGGATATATAGCTGCAATTGTGGAAAAGGCTGAGCTCAAGCAAAGCGATGTGAGTTAACAAAAGACGGTGATGGCTTAACAAACACTAATAGTGTGAATCAATAGATCGTCCTCGAAATCGGTCCCGGTACCGGTAACTTGACGGCCAAGATTTTGGAAAAGGCAAAGAAGTGCATTGCTGTGGAATTGGATCCTCGTATGGCTGCCGAAGTTACCAAGCGCTTCCAGTCCACTCCATATCAAAAGCGCCTAGAGGTCATTCTTGGAGATGTAATGAAGACGGAGCTTCCATACTTCGATGTCTGCATCAGTAATACTCCCTACCAGGTATGTATAACCCCGGATCCCGTCCAGAGGTTCTTCCCCGGTCTAACAGAGTCAAGATCTCTTCTCCTCTCACATTCAAGCTCCTCGCTACATCTCCAGCGCCTCGCTCCTGCATTCTCATGTAAGTTCCGCAAGCAATACTAGAATTCGCAGAAACATTCTGTGTAATTGAGAGCTTACATATGAACCTCTCATACAGGTTTCAACGTGAATTCGCTCTGCGTTTATTCGCCAAGCCCGGCGACAAACTTTACAGTCGACTGTCAGTCAACGCGCAGATGTGGGCCAAGATTGATCATATCATGAAGGTTGGCAAGAACAACTTCAAGCCGCCGCCGCAGGTCGAGTCAAGCGTTATTAGAATGGTCCCCAAGAACCCACGGCCACAGATCAACTACGAAGAGTGGGATGGTCTTTTGCGAATTGTTTTCGTGCGGAAGAACAAGACTCTCCGGTCCAGTTTCATTGGTACGACAAGTATCATGGACTTGCTAGAAGCAAACTATCGGACATGGTGTGCGCAAAACGACATCCCTGTGGAGGATGGCCCGGTTGAGGTTGCCAACGACGATGCGATGGCAATGGACATGGGCGACGAGCAAGAGCAGGAACAAGCTGCCGATGAACCGGTCGACGAGGTCATGGATATGGATGACGACGACGATGTTCCCGATTTCTTCAAGGAGAACACAAATGCTCGCCTCGAAGCAGCACTCAAGAGTGCAGGT